GCCAGAAAACAGCTTCGTGGTTGATCTGGAAATGAAGAAGGCAGCAATGGTACGTCTTTAGGTTGCACTCCCAGGCACGCCCAGCCCAGAGAACAATGGGGGGCGGGACATCTCCTTGGAAACGCTCAGAAATCCCCAGCCAAGTCCCCAAGCCTGCGCCCAGCCAGCCAGCCCGGCCCACGATCTAACTTTCTTGGAAAGAGCTTTCTCCTCTTTCTGAGGAAGTATTGTGGAAGCTAAGGTGCAGGACCACCAGCAATATTAGTGGTGTACGTGTAGCCGGGGATTCACAGCTGTGGCCCCAGGGACCCAGAAACCAGGGCCTGCTTGTCCCATGACTGAGGTTCTTGGAAACTCCAAAGGGTCCCCAAGTGGCAGCCTTTGGTCACGGAGCACGTGGGGGTGGGGGAATGTTTTCTGGACAGAATGGTTCAGACTAAACAGCACTGTTAGGGGGTGGATGTCGCCTTTGCACGGAATTAAGGTCTCAAAGGGGTATTTAGAAATCTCCCATTTTTCGCAGTTTCGACATCATTCCTGAGCCACAGCGTAACAAATGCATCTGTTCGTGGTGATCTATACCCACTTCTTGTTCTGTTATCGGCCTTGGGTGGGCTTTTACGCAACTGAGTATGGGTGAATCCTTCCACGCTGTTCCTGACTTGTATGCACTGAGCTCAGGAGGTTAACTCTGTTCTTGCTTCTTTGTTTCTTTCCTTGTAGATACATTGTAGAGCTGTTTCTACCTGCTGCAGACGGGACTCTTTTCTTTTAATAGTTGCACCCAGACTTTGTGGAAGTGGCAACATTGTTGCATGGCTGTGGGTGTTTCTGGCTGTTTTGTTGCAAACTGAGAGCAAAGTAGTGTCTAAGCACAGAGCCTGGGGGACACACTCAGGGGCCTCTTGTGGGAAACTGAAGTCATGGGGGTGCTGTCGAATCCGCCCCCAGAATGCACAGGCCCCTCACAGTGCACCTGACAACGGAATGAGAGTGTGTGTGCATGCTCCATCCTACTTCTATCAAGCTTTTTAAATCATTTTTTTTTTCATTCTAGGAAAATACAGATCTTCTCTGTGTCTATGTATAGATGTGTTCGTATATGTATATATATTTGTATAGGCTTAATATCTGTATTTTCTTATATGCATTTAAAATGTAGAAACCACCTGGCTGGTGTCCTCAGTGGATGGAGCACCGTCCCATGGACTGAGAGGTCTGGGTTCGATTCCCGGTCAGGGCACAGGCCTCAGTTGTGGGCTTGATCCCCAGTACGGGTCATGCAGGAGGCGGCCGATCGATGTTTCTCTCTCACATCAATGTTTCTATCTCTCTCTCCCTTCGTCTTGCTCTAAAAATCAATAAAAACATATTTAAAAAATTAAAAATGAAGTGTAGAATCCAAGCGACTTAAAGCAGCCTCATCTCCATAGGAACACAGGTGTGTGTCCACCTCCGATCCAAGGCTGTGAGCTCCTGGTAGGAGCAGAGTGATCCTCGGAGAATCGCATGTTAAGGACAAGGTTGCTGAGCTGGTTCTGGGGTTTCTGGGATCGGTTCTCTGCTCTGAGAAGATCAAAGGCGCCAATGGGTCTCTTTCCAGCACAGATGGTTTGTGGTGTGAAGTGGCCCATAGAGAGAAAGAAGACGTCACCACTGAGCACCCCTGATCCAACCAAGAGACAATTCTGCCTCCAGAAGGCCTTCAGACTTGAGTTGCTCTGCCCTGACTCTTCAGCCTGCTGGTCTACCTCACAGATTTTTGGACTCGCCAGCAGCCACAATCATTCTACTGGTTCTGTTTCTCTGGAGAAGTCTGACTGACACAGATTTTGGACCCAGGTTGTGGTCCTAGAACTTGGCCCAGAGACACAGGAGTCAGCAAGGAGAAGCCTTGTTTGTTTGTTGAGAATCATGTATCATCATGATCACCATCACCATCGTCACCATGATTATCAGCAGCATCACCACCATCACCATCATCATGACTTTCATCATCTTCGCGGCCACCATCACCATCCCCAGGTGGCTCGTTATGGTCCTAGGAGCCCCACCAGGGGAGAGCATGAGGATTGGCCAGGGCGTATGGGGACCTGGGTCAATAATAGTGACCACTAACATGCTCGTCAGGCAGCAAACATACTCTGTAACTTGAACAAAATACACCATGCAGTGTTGCTTCTACTTTTCTATTTGGAACTTGGACTTTTTCACTGACACAGTAAGTTTTAACCTTTACTGTGTGTCATGTTCTGAGAATTTAATGTGGAAGTAGATGAAGGGGTCATGGTCTTCTTGGAACTCGCAATGAAGGAAATTGAACTGTTTCCCACAGCTCTGGTCCTCTTCCCCTCTGTCACTGCAGTCAGCTGGCTGTGACTAGTTGGATGTTCCCTCAGGTTTGATGGCAGGTTCCCATGGTTGGCATTGCTGGATGAGATAGAAGTCAGTGAACATCACTCACTCCATGGCCCTCATTAGCGCTTGGATGTGCAAGCAGAGACTCGGAAACTGTCTTCATCACCGTGTGTCTATACCTCACTTCTAGACCATCAACTCCACTTTACAGGCCTGTCTGCCATTTGTGGGGTAAAGTGGGTGGGGAAAGAAACTGAGGAGAAAGGCCCAGCCCCCCTAAATGACCTTGCTTTGAAAAGAGAAATAAGACAATCTCCAAAGCAGATTTGAAAAACAATACATCCTTCTTTGCATGATAATGACAGTGATGATGATGATGATAATGATGATGATGGTGATGATGATGGTGGTGGTGATGGTGATGATGGTGATGGTGGTGATGATGGTGATGATGGTGGCGGTGATGGTGATTATGGTGATGGTGATGGTGATGATAATGACAATGGTGGTGGTAATGATGATGGTGATGATGGTGGTGATAATGGTGATGGTGACGGTGATGATTGTGATGATGATAATGATGGTGATCGTGATGATGGTGGTGATAATGGTGATGGTGATGGTAATGATGGTGATGATGGTGATGATGATGATGGTGGTGGTAATGATGATGGTGATGATGGTGGTGATGACGGTAATAATGGTGGTGATGGTGGTGGTGGTGATGGTAATAATGGTGATGATGATAGTGATGATGGTGGTGGTAATGATGATGGTGATGATGGTGGTGGTGATGGTGGTGGTGATGGTGGTGGTGATGGTAATAATGGTGTTGGTGATGATGATGGTGGTGGTAATGATGATGGTGATGGTGGTGGTGATGGTAATAATGGTGATGATGATGGTGATGATGGTGGTGGTGATGATGATGGTGATGGTGGTGGTGGTGATGGCAATAATGGTGGTGATGATGGTGGTGGTGATGGTAGTGATGGTGATGATGATGATGGTGGTGGTAATGGTGATGGTGATGGTGGTGATGGTGGTGATGTTGATGATGATGGTGATGATGATAATAATTATGGTGATGGTGATGATCGTAATGATGATCATGGTGATGATGATGATGATGATGATAATAATGGTAATGGTGATGGTGGTGATGATAGTGATGATGGTGATGATGGTAATAATAATGATGATTGTGGTGATGGTGATGGTGGTGATGATAGTGATGGTGGTGGTGATTATGATGATGATGATGTTGATGATGTTGATGTTGATGATGATGATGGTGATGATGATGGTGATGAAGGTGATATTGATGATGATGATGAAGAGCAGGGTCTCCCTCACTCTCCCTCCCCTCGCTCATACCTTAGTGGGAACTCTGAGCTGATTTGTCAAGGTCAACCCAAAAGCAGTAAGAAACATGGAAACAGGTTTCCCAAGAAACATCATATTGTCATTTGTTTGGACCATTCGTTATTAAGCCTTTTCTGTGTGTTTCATTAGTAGCCAGACATGATGGCCTGCATAAAAATAAATGGATATTTTGTAGGGTTGTCTGCGACCCCTGATTCACTAGACGTACTCACCGAACCCAGAAAAGCTGTTATAGTCATGGTTCTGGTTGAATCCAGCAAAAAAAATAGACAAGTTAAAGTCAGCAAAGGCTAAAAGGCAGAGGGGCAGGTCCAGGAGAGACCAAGTGTGAGCTCCCAGGGGTCCTGACCCTGCGGAGTTGAATGTCAGCGGTTGTTTCTCCCAGGAGTGATGTCTGACAACGTGCGTGAAATACTGGCAGCCAGGGGATGGCACTGAGCCCTGATGTGCAGGGTTTTTACCGGGGTGGTTCCTGTAGCATGGAGTGGAACTGAGTTCAGCCCCACCCATCCCCAGGTCTCGCTGGGGCATGACCAGAAGTACCTGTAGCATGTGCAGGGTGGAGACAATGTGCAGACATGGTGAGCTAACTCGTCCCCTCTGTTGCAGGAATTCTCGTCCTGCAGCGACTCCAATGGTCTGAGAATCAGGAGCATCTCACCAGCAGGAAGGAGACACAGTGGGTCATCCACAGCTCAGTTCAAATCTCTACCTTGGTGGATGTCTCCACGTCCTGCTTGATGGTGTCTCCATCCCGTTCCACACCCTCTTTGCCACATCCTCCTCCTTCTCCAACTCCACAAGACACCAGTGTTCCTGCATTTTCTCGGCCCTGACACCCTCAGGAGTGGGCGACCTCCACCGCCCTCCTGCCCCAGCATCCGGCCGCAGTTCCAACCTGGCCGCCCCGTGTGTCCCGGGCTGCTCACAGCCATCTCCCCACGTCTGGCTGTTCTTCTGCTCCTCCGCTTCCTGAGATGGGTCATCAGGAGGGGGTACAGAAGCCGCATGGACACTCTCATCGGCAGCAATGGGCCGGGCCAGCGATGCCTCATGTCAACCCTCCGTCTCCGTCAGCGTGACCTTCTTGCCCGGCCCTCGTCCACGCCCGTCCTCCTCATCTGAAAAGAGGGCTCCCCCTCCCCGGGGCTGCCCGTAAGCTCCAGGTTCTCCTTTCATCCGACAGGAAGTGATCACATCCTCCCGGGTGCTAACGAAACACGGCTCCTCCCTGAGCTCATCTTGCTTATCTCCTCCTCTGAGAGATTGTTCCTCTATGGGGGCGTCCGGTCCTGTGCTCCTGTCCCCGATGCCCATGGTTCTTCTGCTCAGCCGTGACCCACTGTGAGCTGCCAGCCCGCCTCCTCCTCCCTCGGGCAGGTTTGCATCCCCGGGCGCGCAGGGAAGGTCTGACGGATGGCACGGAAGGGAACGGACCCCGTTCCAGCAGTTAGCACCCAGGTGTCCGTCACCGAGGACAAGGGGCACCCCCCTGGCGCCCAGGCGGAGCAGGCTTGCTGAGCCTGTGCTGCTGACACCCTGGAGAAGGTACATTTCTCTGTCGATGCCGAAAGCGAGCCAGGACGCACTCGCCACTAGAGGGAAGGAGACACCCCACCACGGCACCCCTTCGGGGCAGGTGCGATGCCATCAGCTCGCGCGCACAGGGAAGGGAATGTTCTCTGTGTAGACGCCGAACTTGAGCAGTGAAATAAGAAGCCCCCTTCCCCCCACGGTGCGGACTCTGAGCAGACCTCGCCGGGGCGTCCGGTCCCCCTCGAGAAGATCACTTTGTCTAGATCGTGGCATCGAGGAGGCAGGCGTACCAGGAAGGGGGAGCCACATGCGCACAGTCTGTCCATCCCCCTTTTCCCCGCGCAGTCCTTCCCGTGTCCCCACGCCAGCGCCCACTGCACGGGCACGTCCATGCCCGCCTGGCGAGCTCGCTTTGCCCAGCCCTTTGGACGAGAACACGGGTCCCACGTAGGAAGCAGCAATGAGGAAGCAGAACAGGAAAGGGGAGGTTTTAATGGAGACGCAGAAGACTCTTGGGTTCACATTTCCTGAATATAATCAGTGTGTTCACTTGGGAGCCGCCGAGAAGTTGTTCGATAGGACGGTCCGAGGTGGACCGGCCGGGGAGCCGAGTGAATGAAGGCAGGCGGATGGAGGACAGCTGGCGGCCGGCGGGTAAGCTGTGGTCCGTGCGTGTGTCCGGCTGCTGCATACTTTTCTGCTTCTCTGGTTGCTGCTGGTGGGTCACGCTCCAGGTCCACGGGGACCCCAGGGTGTGAAACGGGGGTTGCTGGAGGAAAGGCACCCATCTGTGACGTCACCGTGCGGAGCCTCGGACGGCACGTGGATGCTGTGCTTGACGGTCTCGGTCAGCTGCAGGAATTAGCCACCGTGCACGGGGAGCTTGCCGGCCTCCCCAGGAGACCTGTACTTGCCCCCTAAACTGGCAGAACTTTGGAAACGGTGCACGCTCACCATCATCGGCAGGGGGGACGGTCGTCCGCACACCTCAGGTCGACACGTGGCCGACAGACCTTGGATCTCAGAGCCCCCCGAGATGAAGCAGAGCTGGGGGCCAGTCAGGGTGAGACCCTGGGGACGGACCTGGTGTTTTCCGCTGGGTGTTGTCTGAAGGCGTCATCCACAGGCAGGGAGCTAGGCATCCAGGGCCATCGGGGGTGCCTGCCGATGACACCCCTGTCTCGGATGAAACTCAGAGCCCGTGACCTTGAGAAACAGCGCTCTGAAGGGGGCCGTGTATCTGCAGTGCCCGGAACACGGAAATCCACCGTGGTTGTCGATCCTGGTAGGGCCCCGACCGGGGACCACACCCGCAATCTCGGCCGCCGGCGATGATGCTCTAACCAAGGGGGCGACCCGGCCAGGGCCTCCGCTGTCCGCTGCGAGAGGGAATTTTTATGCCATGAAACTTTGTCTTAATGTTTTTAAAAAATCAAGGCACAATGACACTCCGTCAACGGGATGTTCCTGGACTTTAGTTTTCTGGCAAGTCCCATGAGGGTGCCGAGATATGTCTTATAAAAGGGGTGCGAGGAGGAGACAGGGACGGTGTGACCTACACCCCGAAGAGGCACTGCCTGAATCAGGACACGGCTTGTCCCCTGACATAGCTGAATTCTCCTCGGGGCGTGTGTGGGGTGCGGGTGGAGGGCCCGCCGTCCTAGCCCCGGGGTCCTCCCTCACGACGCACCCTTTCTGTGAGAGGGAAACCCATCGGGAGCTTCCCGCGAGGTGTGTGATGTCTCGGTGGTCGGCTTCTTTGTGTCCGTCAACTTTAGAGAAGTTCACCCCGTTGCCTAACCCTGGTAACGGATTTGGGTTAGAAGACGTCCATGGGGAAGTGGTCTCGCCATGTCACTTTATCTTAAGTAATTGGGGGAGTCGCTTCCTTTGGAGAGGGGATGCGTCTGCCCGCCGGCCTCTGCGGCCACCCCAGAAGCAGGCGGGGCGGTGGTGAGGAGGAGAAACGGGGACTCAGGAACCTCACGGGGAGGAGGGGAAGGTGGTGAATCCAGGCTGCAGCCACACAGACCTGAGCTGTCCCAGCCTCTGGTCCCTTCCTGCCCGTCCTCATCCGAAAAGCAGCTCAGCTCCAAGGGGCAGGTGCACACCGTGCAAATGGACAAAGCTGGGCAGGAGCAAGGTCAGACTGCAAGGGGGTGTCTTCCCCTAGAGCCTGCGTGTGGTGCAGTGAGGAGCCCTCTCCCCTGCCCCCGAGCAGAGACCCCCCCAGCCAGGACCTGCAGGAAGGAAGTCTGGATGGGGCGGGCCCAGCTTCAGGTGCCGGAAAGGGGTGCTTCCCCATCACCCAAGGTGCCAGGTACGTGGGTGTCCGAGATGTGGGAACAGGTGTGGTCTGCGGCTTAATCCCCCCGTTAGGTAGAAAGTGATATTCGGTCTGAAACCTAATATTGCAGAGTTCAGGGGACGTCTGAGAAGAGGGTTCAGGGTGCGGGGGTGCATGGCCTGGGGCTGCTGGACGGTGGGCACGAAGGAAGGAAGGAAGGAAGGAAGGAAGGAAGGAAGGAAGGAAGGAAGGAAGGAAAGAAGGAAGGAAGGAAGGACATTTGTGCTCATGTCCAACAGCAGCCCCTAGAAAAGTGATCCCCCAAGAACAGAGGGGCACCGTGTACACAGGTAGAGTCCACACACCCCGAGAAAATACCGAAAACGTGAACTGTGCACAATAAAACTGGGAACCCCAAGAACCAAAGACAGGCCAAATGACAAGGACTGAACACAGAACAGGCGTTTGAATGGTACCATTCTGACAACGTGTTTCACAGACTTTATTTTTTAAGTATTTTTATTCCTTTATTTCCCAAGTACACTGGACCCTCACTGTGATGTTGGTTTCCAGCGTCCGATACAGTGATTAGACATTTAAGGACCCGACGAAGGATCCCACGGATCACGTAGCACCGCCGACTCTCGGTAGTTATGAGAACGTGATGGGCTTATTGCTCGTGCCTTCTATCCCGGGACTGTTCTGCGACTGTGCGTCGGTCCTTCGAATCCCTTCCCCTTCTTCCCCCAGCCCCCAACGCCCTGCCCGGTGGCATCTTCCGTCTATGTTCTGCATCTCCGACTCTGTTTCTGTCTGATTTCTGTTGCTATTTAGACCCCACGTATATCAGACACCACGGGAAGCTGGTCTCGGCCTGTCTGACCGGCTGCATTGCAGGGATATGGAAGGGACGTGGCAAGATGCCCAGGTCCCGGGCACACAGTTGGTGTTTGTGGCATCTTGTGTCGCCGTGGTCGTTCCGTGATCCGGGACGAGCCCCAGTGGACACGGTGTTGTTGACTAAACCCCACTATAGAATAGGGTTTGTCTTGGTGTTGCACATTCTGTATGATGACAGGTGTCCACCATCGGAGGATATCACGGACTAGTGTGCTGGCCAGACACGTCCCCTGAGCTCTGTATTCACCCCTCAAGGCTCCTGGCCCCTGGCGACCACTGACTTTTGTTTTCCAGAAGGTCTTGGGGTTGGAATCCCACAGTGTAGCCTTTAGGTTGGTGCATCACAGAGAAATAGGCATTGAGCTTAACATGTCTTGGGATGTACCGATGCCTTTTATTTTCATCTCTCTCTCTGTCTTTCTCTCTCTTTTTTTTTATATATGTTTTTATTGAATTTTCAGAGAGAGAGATGGAAACATCGATGTGAGAGAGAAACATCGGTCGGCTGTCTCCCGCACGCCCCCTACTGGGGATCGAGCCCAGAACCCGGGCCTGTGCCCTGACCGGGAATCGAACCCGGACCTCGGTCCATGGGACGATGCTCAATCCACTGAGCCACACCGGCCGGGCTCTGTCTCTGTCTTTACTTACACTATTTAATTGTTGCCAAACTCAAATGAAAAATGTATATATTAGCCCTGGCCGGTTTGGCTCAGCGGTTAGAGCGTCGGCCTGCGGTCCGGAGAGACCCGGGTTCAGTTCCCGCTAAGGGCACGGACCTCGGTTGCAGTGTGTCCCCGGCCCTGGTTGGTCGTGCGGGTGGCAGCCACTCGATGTGTCCCTTTCACGTCGATGTTTCTCTCTCTCTCTCTCTTCCTCTCTCTCCCTCCCGCTCTACCTGAACAAAAAATGGAAAAATGTCCTCGGGTGAGGATAAAAAAAAAAAAAGTATATATTACTACCGAGTGGCCCTCTGATACATCGCTGTTTTGTTCTGGTCCCCACATCCAGTCTGATTGTTACGAGAGATGGGGAGCCATGAGGAACCCCTCAAAGTGACAGTGATTTCTTCTGAAAGCGTCTTAGGCCCTGGCTGGTATGGCTGAGTTGGTCGGAGCATCGTCCCATCCACCAAACGGTGGCCGTTTGAATTCCCATTCAGGGCACATACCCGGGTTGTGGGTTCGATGTCTGGTTGTGTTGAATTGGGAAAGGGTTTCTCTCACATTGATGGTTTTCTCTTTCTCTCCCTCCCTCCCTCCCTCCTCTCTCTAACAATCAATAAACATATTCTCCAGTGGGGATTTTTTTAAAAAAACATTTTAAGAGAACAGGAAGTATGAGCCATGGCTTCAGGGCTCAGCTGGACCACCAGACATTTAGGATTGATTCAAGGGGGGGCGTGAGGATGTGACAGGGTGCTGGTAAGTCCCCATCCGCAGTGTGGGAGGCACCAGACCTTGAAAGCAGAAGCAAATGGGTGGGCGGGTTCTTGATTTTGAGTCAGGCCAGCTCCAGAGCAGGAGGTGGATGTGGAGAAACGAAACTGTAGCCTGGGAGACAGTGGGGCAACCCTACGGTTTATCACTCAACCTGGGCACAGGGAGAGAGATGGGTCCTAATGTTAGATGGGTTCGGACACTGCTGATGCTTGGTCCAGCAGTGTGGCCACACCTGAACCGTCCATCTTCTCTGTCCTTTGCTGGAGTGTGAACCTAAAAATGGGCACTTTCATGACTGTGCTCCAAGCCTTGGGGGGTGGGTCTAGTACGTGTGTGTGTGTGTGTGTGTGTGTGTGTGTGCACGGGAGGTGGGGGCTGGATAATACCTCCCAAATATCCAAGTTCTAATCCCCATGGTTTTCATATGTGCACAGCCAGGGAGAAGCTGGAGACACAAAATGTACCTCTGAAAATGCAGAGCAGGTAAAATGCAAAGGAGAGACAGGCCACTCCGGTGTGCTGATTACCCAGGGATATTAAGGGAAACGTACAAATGACGTGTGTCTCAGGTGGCTGCAAGATGAGATGGACCTCATGACACGGAGCAGGCGCCAGAGAATTATAAAGGATACAGGAACTAGCTACGGGCGATAGTATGTGAGTGTTACCAGGTACAGAAATTAATGTCAATGCTTCACCAGGTCAGGATAATAACCTGTTCCAGAAACCAGCAAGTCGGAGGAGGAGGCAGGGAAGGGTGCTACTTTATGTCAGAATGGAACTAAATCCAAAGTCTGGCTGCCTGCCGCCATGAAAGCGAAATTTGTGAGACAGGTGCTGGTGGAAAAGGAAAGTGGTTTATTCAAGTGGCGGACACCTGGGAAGATGGGGGACCCTTGTCACAAAGCCCATCTCAACATCTCAGTGCATCAGAGAGTTGATGAGAAGGGAGAGGAAAAACAGAACAAAGAAACCAAGGAGAGCCCTGGCCGGTTTGGCTCAGTGGTTAGAGCGTCGGCCTGCAGTCCAGAGAGACCCCGGTTCGGTTCCCGCTAAAGGCATGTACCTCAGTTGCAGTTTGTCCCCAGTACTGGTTGGTCGTGTGGGTGGCAGCCACTCGATGTGTCCCTTTCACGTCAATGTTTCTCTCTCTCTCTCTGTTCCTCTCTCTCCCTCCTACTCTATCTGAACAAGAAGTGGAAAAATGTCCTCGGGTGAGGATAAAAAAAGAAATAAAAAAAAAGAAACCAAGGAAAGCAAAAGTTCTCCACGTGTAAGCAGCATGGGCCTTTCTGATAAGGACCTCAATACTGGTCAAGCGATGATCGGGGGTGCACCCTCCGGATTCTATGTCAACCTGACTTTACAGTTGAAGGTCAGCAATTCTAGAGCTGGGGTGACTGGAGGTCAGAGTCTGAAGCTTCTGATGTTCATTCCTAGGATTTTACACAAACATGCAGTTTAGCTGCAAGCTACGTAGGAGTTCGAGTCCGATTGTACCGAAACAACGTCAAAGGAATGGTGGAGTAGGTTACAATTCCCCGCTGTTATAAGAATGAAACATTAGTTACAAACACACAGTCTCTGGGGGGTGGGGAGGTTGCAGAAAGCAACCTCCGTTCTGGCTTGGGTCTATCCAGGGAGACAGACAGCAGCCGTGTCATGGAACAATCTCTCTCTCATGCATGGCCGAGGGACTCGGCAGGTGAACTAGAGTTGAGGATATGGACATGTGGGGGTGGTCCCAGATTATCTTGTCAAGGTCAATGGATGAATACGGCTGTGTACTTCTGCCAAGAACCCTCAAGAAACTATGTTTCCTCAAAGTGTGACTCTCTCTCTCTCTCCATCTAGCTTTTCCCTGTTTCTCAGGAAGCCTCATGGGTTCCTTGGTGAGAGCCGTCCTGGTCATGGTGCTTCTTGATCCAGCACTTCTGACCCAGGAGCACCAGGGTGAGTGTATGAATGTGCTTGACTCCTTTCAGCCACTCGCATTTAGACGACTGGCATGTGAAAACATGTCCCAATAGGCGGGCCCAATTTCATCTTATTTCTAATGTATGTGACGGACCCCCCCATATGACGGCCCCCTGGTTCTCTGCAGGTGAGGTCAGTGAGACTCAGAGATCACCACAGTATAACATCAGAACCTTCAGCAAACGGAGAGACCAGGATCAAGACCCTGGTTGACTTGATGACGGGGGAAGGGAGACAAAGCCCAGCCCTGATCTAAGCTTACAAGACATGGAACGTGTAGGTCGTGGGGTATGGAGACGAGAAAAGAATGATTTCTGAATCCGGTGGCTCCATTTTTCAGATCTGTCAACCATGGAACCTCTCCCCAGACTAAACATGAAATTTGACCCATGGAAAATGAAGTTAACTTGGGACTGCAAAGAAAACACCACCGCGATCCAATGTGGGATTAGTGACGAGGAAAACGGACCCGTTACAAAGAAGGTAAGATGGATTTGATGCCCTCTACTGGAATGGTTTAGGCAGCTCTCATCAGCGTAGCAACAAGGCAGTAACAAACATCGGTGACAATCACATATAAAACATGAGGGCACAATGAGAAGCCAAGGTTCGAGCTGTACCAGAAAGTTCTTGCTCATGTCCAAGAGATGTCCAGTGTCCTGATTCCATGGGTGACTGAGGAGGTCCCTGGAAAAATATCTGTTCTAAAAGTTAAGAGACGGCAGCAGCCATGCTCATAGGAAAGTAGTCCCAGATCTGAACGTCCATGAGGTTATACTTAGAAGGGGGAACCAGGAGGAGGTTGCACCCTTGGGACACTTGGCCACGGAAGGTATGGGCAGTGAAGCTGGCTGGCAAGATGGGGGACCCAGAGCAGTAGAAGTAGACTCCAAGCAGGCACTCAAATGCTCCTAAAATTTCCAGGGGTGACTTCTAGGAGGATAGACTTCTCCAACAACAGTGATGGAGAAAGACAAATAGTTTGTTTTGTGCTTAGAGATACTGGCTGCCCATCCTCAGAAAACAGCAACCTTTTGGTTGGTTGATGCATCAACGATGGTCCAGATTTAATCCTGAGAAAGACATAGCATTAACCTGGAGTGTTCAAAGAAAACAAAATAGCAAACTGACTTGGATACAATGTCAACGGGGAGGCTGGGAAGGGCTGTGGGCTATGAGATAGGACAAGAAAATGCAATAACATGAAAGATGGTGCACTGAGCTCCATGAAGTTTAAGATAATGTGGGATCTTGCTACTCGAATGGGGCTCCACCGACATCGCTTGAGAGCTTGTGTTAGAAATGCAGGGTCTCAGGCCCTGACTGACACTTGCCAAACTAGTATCCACATTTTAACAAGATCCCTGGTGACATAGCTCTGTTCCAACCTTGCAAATGCTACTCTAGGCTATCAAGTTGAGGTGCCCCTGCACGGTGGTTCATGAGCATCCACCCAGAGAAAGTACATGGGGGAGATGTCATGCAAAACGGCAGATGACGTCACTGAGTTGAAATGAGAGAAAGCAACATCATGATGAGATGATGAGAGGAGAGAAGCTTTCTTCCTAATTCACTGGCTAATTGCATCTTTCTAGGTCAAGGAGAATGAATGTCACTGCATCTTTCAAAACTCTATTATTCATAAGGGATCCAAGCTCCTAGTTAAAGTAAATATCAACCAAAGCCAGATTAGAGAAGAACTGATCTTCACTAACGCAGGTAAGAAAAACATTCCAGTGATTCTTCTCTGTCCCGCTATTGTCACAGTAGACCCTCCTCCATTTAGCTTGATGACGATATAATTGAAACATAGGAATTGTATATATTTATGGTATACAACTTCAAGCTTTGGTACAGGTATGCATCGTGAAATGATTTCTACAACCAGGCTATTGACATACCCAGCATCTCCCATGGTTAGCATTTTTTTGTTTGTTTTATTTATTTGTGTGAGGGGTGGGGTAGTGGGAGAACACTTGAGATCTATTCTCTCAGAAAATTTCAAGTGACCAATATGTTATTATTAACTAGATCTTCCCATTAGATCTCCAGAATGTATTCCTTCTTGCAAAGCTCAGTGTTTGTGCTTTTGACTAATATCTTTCCATTTCTCGCTCCTCCCCACCCTCACTATTCTAGTCTCTGGTTTTGTGAGTCAAATCTTTTACATCCCATATATGTGAGATGCCACAGTATTTGTCTTTCTGTGTCTGACTTATTTCCCTTAGCATAATGCCTTCCAAGTCCGTTTATGGTGTTTCAGATGGCAGGATTTCTCTCTTTTATTTTTTCATTTTTTTTTTTTTTTATTGATCATTTCTAGAGAGAAGAAGAGGGAGAAATGGAAACATTGATGTGGGAGAGAAACATAGATCGGCTGCCTCCTGCACACCCCCTACATGAAATTGAGTCCTCAACCCGGGCATGTGTCTTGACTGGGAATCGAACCCAGACCTCAGTCCATGGGACAACACGCAATGCACTGAGCCACACCCGCTGGGCAGAATTTCTTTTTATCATGTCTAAATATTATTCCATTGTGGATACATCCCATATTTCTTTATCCATTTATCCATCTGTGGCCACTTAGTTTGTTTTCGTTTCTTGACTACTGTGAATAATTCTGCAAGGAACATGAGGGTGCACATATCTCTTTAAGATCCAGATTTCATTTTTTAAAAATATATATCCAGAAGTGAGATTGCTAAATCATATGGGTGTTCTATTTTGAAGATTTTGAGGAACTGCTTGGGTCTCCATAGGAACGGCAGCAATTACACTTCCAGCAACAGTGTACGAGGGTCACCTTTTCTCCACATCTTCACCAACACCCCTCATCTCCTGTCTTTCTGATAATAGTCATTCTAGCAGGTGTAAGGTGAAATATCCCATTGTCGTTTTAATTTGCATTTCCCTGATGATGAGTGATGTTAAGCACCTTTTTTTCTTTCTTTCTTTCTCTAAATATGTTTTTTATTAATTTTTGAGAGAGAGAGAAAGGGAGAGAGAGATAGAAACATCGATGTGAGAGAGAAACATTGATTGGCTGCCTCTTGCACGCCCCCTACTGGGGATCCAGCTCACAACCAGAGCATAGAATGACGAGGAATTATAACCAGGGCCTCTCAGTCTAAGGGACGATGCTCAGTCCACTGAGCCACACCAGCTGGTCAAGCACCTTTTTTCATGTATCTGTATGTCTTCTTTGGAAAAAGGTCTATTCGGGTCTTTTGCCCATTTTTAAATCAGATTATTTGGATGCTTTATTATTTGTTTTCTGTTGTTGAGTTTTTAAAGTTTCTAATGCATTGTAAATATTAACCCCTTATCAGATACATATATATATACATGTAACAAATATTTCTCCCATTCAGTAGGTGGCCTTTCACTAGGCGAATTGTTTCCTTTGCTTTGAAGAAGACTTTTAGTGTGATAAAAATCCCGACTGTCCAGTTTTGGTTTTGTCTCCTGTTCTTTGCTGTGATATCAAAACTATAATTGCCAAAAACAATGTCAATACATTTCCTTCCCATGTTCTTCTCTAGCAGTTACACAGTTTTAGGTCTCATGTGTAAGTCTTTAACCCGTTTGATTTAATTTTTACTCACGGTGTGAGATAAGACTCCAATTTTAGTTATTTATTTGCCTGTGGAGATATAGTTTTCCCATCCTCATTTAGGGAGGAGATAATATTTTCTTCGTTAGGTTATTGGCACCCTTATCAAAGATTTGTTGATCACAAATGTGTTAGTTTATTTGGGGGCTCTCTGATCAGTTTCATTTTTCTACATGTCTATTTTTATGCCAGGACCGTACTGTTTTGATTACTGTATCTTTGTAATGTATTTTGAGGTCAGGAACTATGAGGCCTCTGGCTTTGTTCTTTCTCAATATTGCTTTGGATGTTTGGAGTCTTTTGCAGTTCTATATAAGCTTTAGGATTTATTTTTATATTTCTGTAAAGAATGCCATGGGATTTTGGTAGGGGTCGTATTGATCTATAGATCACGTTGGGTAGTATGCACATTTTAACAATATTAGTTTAATCCATAAACATAGGATGTCTCTCCATTTATCTGTGTGTTCTTTCATTTCCTTCATCAACTTTGTAATAGTGTATGAGTGTGTTCCTAAGTACTTTACTCTTGTTCTTGCTATTGTGAATGAATTGTTTTATTAATTTCACTTTTGGACAGGTCACTGTTAGTGTGCAGAAACAGCACTGATTTCCATGGGTTGATCTTGTATTCTGCAACTTTACTGAATTTGTTTATTAGTTCTAAATATCTTTCTTGATTGTCTATTTGTTTGTCTAGTCTTTAGGGTTTTCTACATATATGACCAATATCATGTGTAAACGGTGGTCATTTTACTTCCTCCTTGCTGATTTGGATTATTTTATTTCTTTTTCTTATCCAATTGCTCTAGCTAGGACTTCCAGAAGTATGTGAAATAGAAGTGGTGGCATTGGGCACCTTTGCCTTGTATAGGACCAGAGAGGAAAAAGTTTCAGTTTTTCTCTGTTGAGTATGACGTTAGCTAAGAGCTTTTCATATTTGATCTTTATTGTGGTGTGGTCAGGTTGCTTCTGTACCTATTTTGTGGAGTGTGTTTTTTAGCACGAATGGGTGTTGAATTGTGTCATGTGGGTTTTCTGCCTCTTTTGCCATGGTCATGTGTCTTTTCTATTTCATTCTGTTGATGTGGTGTATCACGCTGAGTGATTGCTGTGTGTTGAACCATCCTTGAATGCTTGGAATAAGTCTCACTGGGTTCCGGCATTTTATTCTTTTAATGTGCTGTTGGATTTCATTATCTAGTATTTTGGTGAGGATTGTTCCATCTATGTGTATTCGGCATATTAGCCCATAGTTTTCTTTTCTTATGTCTTTATCTGGCTTTCATATTCGGATGGTGTTGTCTTTGTAAGTTTGGACGTGTTCCCTTTTCTAATTTTTGGACGAGTTTAGGAAGGATTCATATTACTGCTTCTTTGATGACTTGGTGGATATAGAGATCAGGAAGCCATCTGGCCCGGCCCCTTTGAACCTTCAGGTGCAAATTGTTTTGTTTGTGTCTCTCCCCAGGTGAGAATGACACGGCAGCACAGAATGTCTCCTGTAGCATCTACAATGCGGATTTCATGAACTGCACCTGGGCAAAGGGTCGAGCAGCCCCTGGCGACGTGCAATATTTTTTCCATATCCAAGACTTCAAGTACGTGTTGACCTCACGGCGACAACCACGAGAAACACAGTAAAGAAAGAAAGAAAAGAACGGTCCTCATGGTTGTCTGCCCACTTTGGAATCTTACAGGAGAGGACGCGAAATAGAATGTCCTCACTACGTAGAAGACGCGGGGATCCACGTGGGGTGCCACCTGGAAGGCGCCTCAGGATTTTCTTCGAACATTTACATCCTGGTTAACGGGACCAGTCGGACGAAAGGGATCCAGTTCTTTGATGACGTTTTGTTATTGCACAGAATAGGTAAGAATGAGGACCCGTGATTGAGCGACTGCTTATATAGCAAACACAATTTGTATTGAAATCTGCATACGTTTCCTGGGGGCTAGAAATGATGAAAATTTATCTCCTCTCCGTCCTGGAGACCAGATGTCTGAGACGGGGTGTCCCAGGGCCGCGCTCCCTCCGAGGCTCCAGGAGGGTCCTTCCGGCCTCTTCCGGCTCCTGGGCTCCAGGCGTCCCTGGGCGGGGGGCCCGTCCCTCCCGTCTCTCCTCCGTCCCCACGGGGCTTCTCTTCTGTGTCTGCGTCTCCTCTTCTGTCTCTTCCAAGGACCTGTCATTGCACGGAGGCCCCCCTGACCCAGGACGGCCTCCGCTCAGGTCCTTCACGGACCCCGTCTGCAGAGACCCTGTTCCCACACACCGTTGTGTGTAATAACAGAACCTACTTCTTTTCGGGCTTGCCAAGGGTTACAGATGCTTCCGTTCTGTTTGCTTCTTTTGATTGTATGGAACCATATGGCTACAGACACAGAAAAGATTGCAAAGGAAAGGTTTCCCCTCTGCTTTTATTCTGAATTAAAGTCAGTGGCATACGACCATACCGATGGCCCCCTGAGGGCGCAAAGGCCCGTCCAGTGCAGTATAACCCCAGGCCCTGGAACAGCACACCCTGGACACACAGAGATTACACTTGCAGCGAAGGCCCCCACCCCCAGGACAAAAGGATGGACAGGAGGTGGGTGCACAGGCCCTACTTTCTCTCATTTGAGGGTTGCACTGAAATGTCTCTCCAAATTAGAGACGCAGCCACCCTAGCACAGCAAGACAGCAGTTTCTAGACCAAATCCTACAAGTAGGCCACAGGGGTTCCCAGCTTGCTCAGTGTCCCGTTCCTGACCGTGGGGCAAATCTGCATTCAGAATCCGCCCAGCAACCTTGTTGGACATCCTTTAAAAACTCCCAAGTCCTGGGCTACCCCTCACCTAGTCCCCGAGCAGGGAGGCATGTGGGATATTCAAGGAAAAACCGGGTGACCGGGTTGGATAGGAAGATTCATTCAATGCCAGTTCTCCTGTTAACTCCCTGGGGTGCGCCACCTGCAGGCTCAGCTGTGCGGGGGACCTCCGGCTGCACGCCCCTGGACATGCACAGGTGTGTTTGTGTAGTTCGCCTCCTTCTGTGTGAATGTCCTGCAGGGTCAGCAAAAGGCTGGTCGTCACGGTAGGAAAAATGTCTCCCCGGGCCCTACGTGTGGTATTGCGTTCTACATTTAGAAAGAATGTACTTGGCACAGAGCCTCGCCAAACGGTGGGAATTTCCTTTGATGTTGACGAGGTGATGTTTGGAAAGCCCCTGAGAATGGGCGTTGGTCACTAGAACAAAAATCCACGTGATTAGAGGTAAGAGCAGGGGCAGGCAGGCAAATTTAATCACCCATGAACGCTGATTTGATCAGGCCTTAATTTAAAAAGTGGGTTTCGTGGAGCTCTGGGTTGGGGGACAGTGGCACTTCCTTTGTTCTGAGCTTGGAAATCCAGGTTCCCAGTGACGTCAGGGTAGGATTCAACGTGATCGGCTCTCCCCGTGCAGATGGGACTCTCATGGGGTGCACAGTCCCAAGAGGAGCGTTGCTAGACCAAGTCGTCCAAACACCACCTCCAAAGGTTCCAATCACGAGTCAAGTCTCTGCGTTTCCAAGGGAACCAGCACCAGTTAAAATGGAATCAAGATAACTACCAATTTGTACCCCTTAATCCCCTCCCCTTATTCATTCACCCCCTGCTCCCCAACCCCACTCCCTACCTGGCAGACACCAGTCTGTTTCGTGTGGATGATTCTCTCTCTATTCGGGAACTAGATTGATGGGTGGTCACTTCCTAAGTTCTATCAATGTCTCCTCACAGGTTGGTCTACCTGAAACTCAGAATAGATTTTTTTTTTTTAATTAATTTATTTATTTTGTTATAGATGTTTCTCCTTTTCCCCCCACTGATTCCTCCCCGCCACCCTGTCCCCAGCTTTGTTGTCCTTGTCCACTGTTCATGCATACATGCATATACATTCTGTGGTTTATCTCTCCCCCACCACCCCATCTTCTGGGGATTGTCAGTCTGTACCCCACTTCCACGTCTCTGGGACTACCCCATTCCTCAGACTGTTATGCTCATTATATTCCACAAATAAGTGATATTTGTCTTTCTCTGCTTGGCTTGTTTCGCTTAGGATAATACTCTCCAGCTCCCTCCATGTCGTCTCAGAGGATAAGAGATCTTCCTTTTTTACGGCTGCATAGTACTCCATTGTGTACATGTACCACAGCTTTTTTATCCATTCGTCTACTGATGGACACTTGGGCTGTTTCCAGATCTTAGCTATGTCTCCTGTTACTGAAAATTATTTTTAAAAGATGAAATCAGACCCAGGGCTCCCGTCTTGTTTCTGGCTGGAACCACCGTAGGGGGCATGATGCACTGAATCTCCATTGATGGTGGGAGCACACGGGAGGTCATGTCAGATGCTCTGCTACCCCTATGGGAAAGGATGCCTTTGCTGGCCCCATGTGGACCTCGTTCCCTGCATTCCCCTTACTGTGGGTCACCCCACAGCCTACAGATGGTCGTGTGTCCACACACTGAACCTACAGAGATGACGTCTCTCTCTCCTTAGAACCCAGAATCCTCCATGGGGACCCTCATCCTCCCCACCCATCTTGGGCCACTGGGAATTGGTGGGGTTGTTTGGTTGGTTGGTTGGTTGGTTGGTTGGTTTTCCCAGCTCTTTCTCTTCTTTCCAGCATCCTGCCCCAGGCTAGCCTCACGAGGACCCTTCCATATGCCTCACACTATCTTTTCTTCCCACGCCAGCCCCCTCTTTCTACCTGCAGCCTCCCTGGTCCCATAGGCTACTTCAGGCCACTAACGCTTACAGCTATCTCATGAGGCTCTCTCCAGGCCTCATCACCACCTCCCTCCTGGCCTCCCAGAACCCGGACCTCCTGTCCTTGGCACACCGAAGCCAGTCAGTCCTGTTCCCCAGGTGCCAACACTCAGACATGCCCATGCCTTTCTTGACCTCTAGAAGGTGACCGTTAATGAAAGTCTGGAAGAAGGGATCACACTTCTGGAGTCTTTACATCTGAGGTCTTCACCTCCAGGTTCTCACTCCAGGTCTTTACCTTTGAGGTCTTCACCTCCAAGCTCTTCACCTCCAGGTTCTCACCCCAGGTCTTCACCTCCAAGGTCTCACCTCCAAGATCTCAACTCCAGGTTCTCACTCCAGGTCTTCACCTCTGAGGTCTTCACCTCCAAGGTCTCACCTCCAAGGTCTCACATCCAGGACTTTACCTCTGAGGTCTTCACCTCCAAGCTCTTCACCTCCTGGTCTTCACCTCTGAGGTCTTCACCTCCAAGCTCTTCACCTCCAGGTTCTCACTCCAGGTCTTCACCTCTGAGGTCTTCACCTCCAAGCTCTTCACCTCCAGGTTCTCACTCCAGGTCTTCACCTCTGAGGTCTTCACCTCCAAGGTCTCACCTCCAAGGTCTCACCTCCAGGTCTTCATCTCTGAGGTCTTCACCTCCAAGGTCTCACCTCCAGTTTCTCACTCCAGGTCTCCACCTCTGAGATCTTCACCTCCAAGGTCTCACCTCCAAAGTCTCACCTCCAGGTTCTCACTCCAGGTCTTCACCTCTGAGGTCTTCACCTCCAAGTTCTCACCTCCAAGATCTCACCTCCAAGGTCTCACCTCCAGGTCTTCACCTCTGAGGTCTTACCTCTGGGGTCTCACTTTCGGGGTCTCTCCTCCATAGCACAGAGGAGGCACTCTGGCTCAGGGCTGCCTCTTGGGTTCACTTTACAGAAGTATACAACCCACCGAGCAATATCACCATCCACTGCAACAAATCTCACTGCCTCATCCAGTGGCAGAAGCCGAGGAGCCGATTGAACCTGTCCAACAGGGAATTCCAGTACCAGCTGGACATCCACAGACAGGTGAGTGAGCGCCGCTGCCTGCAGGCCCTGGACCTCAGAGAGCTTGGCAGCCACCCCAGGACTTGGTGTGAGGGCTAGGGTCACAGGATGGGGGTGACACAGCTGTGATGAATGCAGGGTGGGGTGGGGGTGGGGAGAGCTGTTTGTGACCAGAGGACCAGGACGACAACAGTTCTGAAGAGCCAGACACAGACCCAAGTATCCATGAACGTCTCCGAATTGATGTTGACAATTCAGAAGCAGAAGAAAGAGGACCAATAGTTATATGTTGCCGTCTGCTCCGTGTCCATCTGGACCCAGTGTAGACGAGGAGAACCCTCTGCTCCATGTCCACTGGACCCAGTGTAGATGAAGAGAATCCTCCTGGACCCAGTGTAGACAAGGAGAACCATTTTGGACCCAGTGTAGACGAGGAGAACCCTCCTGGACCCAGTGTAGACGAGGAGAACCCTCTGCTCTGTGTCCACTGGACCCAGTGTAAACGAGGAGAACCCTCTGCTTCATGTCCACTGGACCCAGTGTAGATGAGAAGAACCCTCTGCTCCGTGTCCACCTGACCCAGGGTAGACGAGGAGAACCCTCCTGGACCCAGTGTAGATGAGGAGAACCCTCTGCTCCACATCCATCTGGACCCAGTGCAGACGAGGAGAAGCCTCCTGGACCCAGTGTAGACGAGGAGAACCCTTTTGGACCCAGTGTAGACGAGGAGAACCCTCTGCTCCGTGTCCACTAGACCCAGTGTAGACGAGGAGAACCCTCTGCTCCATGTCCACTGGACCCAGTGTAGACAAGGAGAAGACTCCTGGACCCAGTGTAGACAAGGAGAACCCTTTTGGACCCAGTGTAGATGAGGAGAACCCTCTGCTTTGTGTCCACTGGACCCAATGTAGACGAGGAGAACCCTCTGCTCCGTGTCCACCTGGACCCAGTGTAGACGAGGAGAACCCTCTGCTCCGTGTCCACCTGGGCCCAGTGTAGATGAGGAGAACCCTCTGCTCCGTGTCCACCTGGACCCAGTGTAGACGAGGAGAACCCTCTGCTCCGTGTCCACTGGACCCAGTGTAGACGAGGAGAACCCTCTGCTCCGTGTCCACCTGGGCCCAGTGTAGATGAGGAGAACCCTCTGCTCCGTGTCCACCTGGGCCCAGTGTAGATGAGGAGAACCCTCTGCTCCGTGTCCACCTGGACCCAGTGTAGACGAGGAGAACCCTCTGCTCCGTGTCCACCTGGACCCAGTGTAGACGAGGAGAATCCTCCTGGACCCAGTGTAGACGAGGAGAACCCTCTGCTCCGTGTCCACTGGACCCAGTGTAGACGAGGAGAACCCTCTGCTCCGTGTCCACCTGGGCCCAGTGTAGATGAGGAGAACCCTCTGCTCCGTGTCCACCTGGGCCCAGTGTAGACGAGGAGAACCCTCTGCTCCGTGTCCACCTGGACCCAGTGTAGACGAGGAGAACCCTCTGCTCCGTGTCCACCTGGGCCCAGTGTAGACGAGGAGAACCCTGTGCTCCGTGTCCACCTGGACCCAGTGTAGACGAGGAGAACCCTCTGCTCCGTGTCCACCTGGACCCAGTGTAGACGAGGAGAACCCTCTGCTTCACGTCCACTGGACCCAGTGTAGATGAGAAGAACCCTCTGCTCCGTGTCCACCTGACCCAGTGTAGACGAGGAGAACCCTCCTGGACCCAGTGTAGATGAGGAGAACCCTCTGCTCCACATCCATCTGGACCCAGTGCAGACGAGGAGAAGCCTCCTGGACCCAGTGTAGACGAGGAGAACCCTCTGCTCCGTGTCCACTAGACCCAGTGTAGACGAGGAGAACCCTCTGCTCCATGTCCACTGGACCCAGTGTAGACGAGGAGAACCCTCTGCTCCGTGTCCACCTGGGCCCAGTTTAGACGAGGAGAACCCTCTGCTCCGTGTCCACCTGGGCCCAGTGTAGATGAGGAGAACCCTCTGCTCCGTGTCCACTGGACCCAGTGTAGACGAGGAGAACCCTCTGCTCCGTGTCCACCTGGGCCCAGTTTAGACGAGGAGAACCCTCTGCTCCGTGTCCACCTGGGCCCAGTGTAGATGAGGAGAACCCTCTGCTCCGTGTCCACCTGGACCCAGTGTAGACGAGGAGAACCCTCTGCTCCGTGTCCACTGGACCCAGTGTAGACGAGGAGAACCCTCTGCTCCGTGTCCACCTGGGCCCAGTGTAGACGAGGAGAACCCTCTGCTCCGTGTCCACCTGGGCCCAGTGTAGACGAGGAGAACCCTGTGCTCCGTGTCCACCTGGACCCAGTGTAGACGAGGAGAACCCTCTGCTCCGTGTCCACCTGGGCCCAGTGTAGATGAGGAGAACCTTCTGCTCCGTGTCCACTGGACCCAGTGTAGACGAGGAGAACCCTCTGCTCCGTGTCCACTAGACCCAGTGTAGACGAGGAGAACCCTCTGCTCCGTGTCCACTGCACTTTAATGAGGGTCCGTCACGTGCTGGGTCCGGGAAGAACACACGTTACCTCCCAAGCACCCGTCTGCCACCCCTGTGCCGTCACCTGCAGGGTAGCCATGGCCAGAAGGTTGGCCCTTTGCGTGGCCGTGGCTGTTTGGGTCCCCCCAACAGGACTCAATGGTAGAAACAAACAAACCTCTGAAAGAGAGAAAAGTAAAACCCTTCTGTGTTTTGTTTTTCTAGAACAGTATGGAGCACAGTGACCATCAGCTGGTGAGTCAATGCTCTGACCCCAGATTCCCCCTGTACCTTCATCAGAGTTGCCATGTGGTCACTGACGCAGGGGCCCCACCCGTAGCCCCACTGGGTGGGGTCTCACGTTGGCTCTCAGGTCACCTTGCTACGGTTGAAATGAGTTAGGACGCCCTGCCGATCACAGCCCATCCCTGCTCCGTCCACATGGGTCAACGAGAAAATAGTCCTCGGAGAGATCTGGGGATTACTATCTCCATCGAAACAGCTCTCCAGGCACATCTTCAAAGCACGTCTTGGTGACAGTCTGTCTGCACCACTCTGACCTCGGTATCGTCCTCTAGTCCACGAGGAAGTTGGACGGGATTCCTACCACGTGCGCCCCCAGGGACACGATCCGCCTCCCGGGTTGTTGGTATCCCTTGAGCCGCGGACAATCGCCTGTCTCTGTATTTACGGTTCTAGAAGCCACAGGGGTGGTGGTTTGGTGAACGAATGAATCTCTGGTTGTGGTTATTCTCCCAAGCGCTCGTCCACAGCCGTCTGGAGGCAAACACCTCCGTTGAGTTTGCAGAGCTGGAGTTTCTAGACGGCACCGATGTTGCGCTGCACGACGAGATGGTTTTGCTTTGGTCGCCGCCTCCCTTTTCATTCTACACTTGTGCAGAGATCAAAAGAGGGTGCCCTTCACGTGTCACCCATTTCATCTCTGCGATTTAAATTAAAAAATCTCCAGCCCGGTTGGTGTGGCTCAGCGGTTGAGCGTCAACCCTGCACCAAGAGGTCGCCGGTACGATTCCCGGTCAGGGCACATGCCCAGTGGGGACACGCAGGAGGTGGTCAATCAATGTTCTTTCTCATCCATGTTTCCATCTCTCTCTCCCTCTCCCTTCCTCTCTCTAAAATCAATAAAGGAAAAAAAAAAACTAATAAAAAAATAAAACAAAACATCTCCACCCTTTCTGTGCTCCTCACCGGTGACAAGTGTCTCTGACGTTCTGTTCTCCCCCAAGGTGGAGGTATCTGGTGATTTGGAAAATAAATACAACTTCCCGAGCCCGCAGCCCGCAGCCAGACACACGGTGCAGATACGGACCACAAACTCCCGGTTGCTTCACTGGGGCGCCTGGAGCCCCCCTGCCGAGTTCGGTGCGTACCCCTCCACAGCGCCGCGGGGTGCGGCCACCCTGAGTTGACCCGAGAGCCGTCCAGGAGGTTCCGAAGGCCGAGCTGTTGTTGTGCAAAACCCTGTGCTCTTTGCTCGCACTGAAGCCTAACTCTTTCCATCCCCAAAGGAAGGGACCCAGGCACAGGCTTCCGTAAGTCCGCACCCCGCCAGGAAACAGTCCCTCCCGGTCACGTCACCCATCTCGGTTCCTGGTCAGGATAAAGCTCACGTCTAAATGGGGTCTGTTTCCTCCTCGTCAGGACAGAGCGGTTCTAGGAACCACATTAGCCACCTGGCATCGGCTTTTCCGCCTCTGATTTTTATTTCTTGGCAAGAACCAAGGGGTTCGGACGCCAGGCCACGAGGCTGCCTAAGACGCGTGTGTTCCCCAGATCCGTGCAAATCGGCACCTGTGTTCCGTGTTTTTCAAGCGTTGTCACACGGAGAGTTTCCGGGGTTGCTTGTCCGATCCGGGGCCCGTGACTTGTGTAACCAGCAGCGCAGACTGTACGTGAAATGTGCGGATTCTGATACTTCAGAGTCTGGAAGGGGGCGCTTGGAGCCGGGGCGCAGGCTGCAGCCTTGCGTTTAAGGACCGATGTCCAGGGTTGATGCCAACTGCAGGGAAAACAGCAGGTGAACTGGACGTTGTTATAAAGAGTTGCCACGTGGGTGCGGTCAAGGGTGCGCCCCAGAGGGGAGAGAGAACCCACAGAGCGAGGGGGATATGCACACGTCATGTGTGGCGGAGGGGTAACAACACCCCACGTACAAAGCAGTCTGAGAACTTGGGAAAAAAACACCCACGACCCAATTTAAAATGGGGTTAAATTCCTGGCCGGTTTGGCTCAGCGGTTAGAGCGTCGGCCTGCGGTCCGGAGAGACCCGGGTTCGGTTCCCGCTAAGGGCACGCACCTCGGTTGCAGTTTGTCCCCGGCCCTGGTGGGTCGTGCGGGTGGCAGCCACTCGATGTGTCCCTTTCACATCGATGTTTCTCTCTCCCTCTCTTCCTCTCTCTCCCTCCTGCTCTATCTGAACAAAAAATGGAAAAATGTCCTCGGGTGGGGATAGATAAATAAATAAGTAAATAAATAATAAAATGGGGTTAAAAAGGGGCAAAAAAATTGAAATGAAATAGAGATTTCCAGGCATAAGATTGGCTGTTTTAATTAAATATTTTTGGCCCTGGTTGGTTGAGCTCAGCAATGAGAGCATCGGCTGTCGGGGCCCAAGAGTCTCAGGTTCGATTCCGGTCAAGGGCATGTAACCGGGTTGCAGGTTTAATCCCCGGCCCTGGTCGAGGCCGTGCAGGAGGCCACCAATCGATGTGTCTCTCTCTCACGTCGATGTTTCTCTCTCTCTCCCTCCTCCCACTCTATCTCACATAATCAGTGGAAAAATAGCCTCCGGGGAGGATTAAAAAGCAATAAAAATAATTGGGCTTTTTTGTTGTGATTAATCCTCACCTGTGGATATTTTTTCCATTGATTCTTAGAGAGAGGGGCAGGCGAGGCGGGAGAGAAACAGAGAAGGATGGGAGAGAGACACACTGAGTGGTTGCCTCCCCCACTCCCTCCTCGAACCTGCAACCCAGGTATGTGCCCTTGACCGGGGATTGAACCCAAGACCCTTCAGTGCATGGGTTGATGTGCTAACCACTGAGCAATACCACCATGGCTTAATTGGATTTTCTTGATTGATTTTACAGAGAGGGAGAGACAGACACATCGATGAGAGAGAACATGCACTGGCCGCCTCCTGCACACCCCCACTGGGGATGGGCCCACAACCTGGGCATGTGCCCTGACTGGGAATCAAACCGGCGACCTCTTGGTGCAGGGTCGACGCTCAACCCCTGAGCCGCACCACCAGGGCTTAATTGGATGTTTAAATGTGAAGCGATAAAATGTGGTCCATGATTTAAAAAAAAAAAAAGGAACTTTAACGGTAGGAAGTGGTGGTTCTGATAGTCAGCGACAGGTAAGGGCAGCAGACAGGTGAGCCAGTGTTTAGGCCGTGTGTCTGGAAACACCTGCTCCTGTCTCTGTGTCCAGTTTCCAGTCGGGGGTCAGTCTCCCGGGGCAGCGCGCTCGGTGGAACCGGGCCGTGTGGGTTCTCACGATCATGGCCCCGATCGGTCCCGTGAGCAGGTGTTTTAAAAGGTTTCGGGGTGATCTCACCCTCCAGCCGTGGGTATTTCTTCTCTGCCGGGAACTCGCCAGGGGGCGGGGGGCCCTGTGTTGAACCCTCACCCCAGGGGGTGCCTGCTGTGTCCCTGTCTGTCCCCAGGCTCCGAAGAGCGGGCACCCAGCCTGGCGCACGTCTACGTGCTGGTGGTCCTGGGCACCCTGGTCGGCGTCCAGATGCTCTGCTGCCTTCTGAAAAGGTAACCCCCCCCCCAGCAGGGGGCCGCCACCCTGCCCACGGGCAAGACGGGGGGGGGGTGTCTGGTCCAAAATCCGCCCATTTCTCCCACAAAGAGAAAGCCCACTTACAGAATCCGCAGGCCGTCCTGAACCGGGTTAGCAGGTCAGTAGGTTAGTGGGTCAGTAGGTCCGCGGGTCAGCGGATCCATGGATCAGAGGGTCAGTGGGTCAGTGGGTCAGTGGGCGACTTCTCCAGTAGCGAGCGTGTCCGAGACGCAAAGGCTGGCGGAGAAACTGAAAAACACCGGGAGAGAAACAGCCTGGAGGGGCTCGGCGGGAGCTCAGAAGGTCCCCTCGGGGCCATCGCGCCGAGGGGGTCGAGATGGTCCGCAGAGCCGGTCAGCGGAGCCAAGGACTCCTTCTTCTGCCCCAGAGGCGTGTCCTGAGACACGTGCCGGGTGCGGCCCCGCGGACCACACAGGCTGGGCCCTTCCGTGCACGGCCGTCGGCCCTTCCCCGAGCTCAGCCCTGTGCGCAAAGGTGCCCTCGGCTTTTCTGACGCGTGCCGCCCCTGAATGTCCGTCTGTCTGCCCGCCGTCTCCTCACACGTCCTGCTGGGCCCTCGGCGTCCGAAAAGCCCAGCCCTTGCAGGAGGTCTCCGCGGACCCCACTCTGCGGCCCAGCACCCCGCAGCCCCCCAGGGCCGGGCCTTGCCGGCCACCTCCGCGCGCACCTCCGCGGGCACCTCCGCACGCACGTCCCTGCGTCTTTACGGCTGTGGCCTCAGCACTACGCGGGACTCGGCCGCTCACAGATGCTGTGGGATGAACTGTGCCCACGTTGTCGTCTGCACACGTGGGGCAGAGGTCGGGAGCTTTAGCAGAGGGGACCGTCCCGCGGCAGATACGAGCGCCCAGGGCGTGCGATGCCCGTCCCGGCGGGGAGGCCTGTGCTCACTGCGCTCAGGGCAGGGACGCGGCCCGAGAGCAGGGCGGACACTGAGCTACCTGCTGAAGGCGGCCGTGCGCACCTCGTGGCCCCGGGGAGATGTGGGGTCAGCAGGAACAGAACAGCCCCGGCCTCTTGCGGCTCCTGGGCTCCAGGCGTCCCTGGGCGGGGGGCCCGTCCCTCCCGTCTCTCCTCCGTCCCCACGGGGCTTCTCCTCTGCGTCTGTGTCTCCTCTTCTGTCTCTTCCAAGGGCCTGTCATTGGACGGAGGCCCCCCTGACCCAGGACGGCCTCCGCTCAGGTCCTTCACGGACCCCGTCTGCAGAGACCCCCGTTTCCGATAAGCTCCCGTCCCCAGTCGGGTCTCAGCACTGTGTCTTTGGGGGACGCCCTCCAGCTGAACACACACCTTCTCACGTCCGAGAAACGGAGGGACTTTGCAGCGAAAAGTCAGGAAATGTCCCTTGGAACCTGCGGCCCGACCCGGGTGCTTTGCCAACACGCCAGGTGCAGGCGAAGTCGTGACATTGAAAAAATTCAGAACAAGTCAGGAAACAGGCTGAGGCCCTGGACAGAAGTTGGGGCGGAAGAGGGGGCCTTTGGTTTAGGGTCCTCCAGCCTCCAACACCGGGGTCCTGGACACCCTGCCCCAGCTGCCTGGAGTGGACAGGTCCCCGAGCCCGTCCCTGCATCCGAGGAGCACAGTGACGTTTCTAGAAAGAGGCCCATGGTCACCGCTCTGAGCTCCCACAGGGTCTCCTTGGGTCTGTGTTGGGAGACTTGGGTCTGTGTTCGGGGACGCGTCAATGACCTTGTTCCGGAGAGACCAGCCCGAGGAGGCTCCCGGGACAGGACAGCGAGTCCCCGGGTCTGCGAGGAGGAAGGACCTCAGCCACCTGGGTCGTCCCTCCACACGTGCTTTTGTCTCTCCAGGTTGGTTGGGAGGCCAGTTCCCCAGATCAAAGATAAATGGACCGGCGGCCATCTGACGGACGACGAGGTTCGTATGGGGAGGGGCCCGGGAACCCCTTCATGTCCTGCCGTCCCCTTTCTGGGCCCCCCGAGGGCGGCTACGGGATGCGGCTGGAATCCTGCGTCCAGCTCGTGGCCTGGTGCTGGCATTGGGATTTAGTCTGTGAGCTAAGTGTGGGCGGTTGAAAGACAGACGGACAGGGGGTTGACCTAATCCCCCGAGCAGGAGCCAGGAGGGTGAAGAAGGACAAACAGCAGGGGATCTGCACTCCTGACGCCCCGGGAGCCTGTCCTCACGGGTCCCTCTCCTTCAGGCAGAAACCACGTCTTTCCTGGCTGGTGGCTCAAGCTGCCCCCTGGCCGCCCACAGTGTATTCTTCCCTGTAGTCATAGCCGCCAACTCCCGTTTGGTCCGCCTCCCGCTGACCTGGACATCTCTCGGGGCATCACAGGGAGCCCTGGCCCTGCCCCCTCGCCCCTGGTACCCTGGGACGTCCAGGGTCCAGGAGGAACCACCTCCCCCTTGTTTCTCTCCGAGCTCCATCCTGCCCCAGGACCTTTGCACGTCCCTTGTCTGACACCACATCTCTCCTCAGGCGGCTCCTCTGTCAGCTACAAGCTCACGCGTGTAGATCTGCCTGGGGTTTCTCCTGACAGTCCCCAACGTCCGCCCCCGGACCCCTCATTGTTTCCTCCTCCTCAGATCATCTGGGAGAAGTGTACCCCAGCTGAAGGGAAAGGGGACCACGAAGAGGTGTTGACCGTAGAAGCCGTCGGAGAGTCCATGTCCCGCGTGTGAGCGTCGGACACCTCCGTTGCCGAGATGTTCCGGACCTCGTGCGTGGACGGGTTTCGCCCGTTAGCAGAGTTTTCTATTTTGTGATTTTTTGACTCTGAACCTCGACGGGGGTGGGGAAAAGGAAACCCTGCTGAGAAGGGTTTCGGGGGCTCACTGGGCTCAAATGACACACCAGAAAAACAAAGACAGAGCTCAGCACCCAGGTCTGCTCAGGACCCTCAGCAGCCCGGGGGGGGAGGGAGACCCCGGCACCGAGGTCCCCTCGCGGTGTGTCTGCCTTGGACTTCAACCAACGGCGCAGACAAGGTCACGATTCCTCATCCGCCCTGTGTGAGCCCTGAGCGGAGCCCAAAGGTTAGAATTCACCCCAAGGCCGCAGCGCTGACCGCAGACGCCCTCCCCCACCTGGCCCTGGACAGCTCGGCCGCCCCGGACGTGCCTCTGACAATCAGCCCCACGGTCACTACCGGGCTTCTCTGCCTTCGGTGACCATTGGGAAGCGGTCGCTCCGTCTCGAGGGGGCGGAAGGAAGCCCTGAGGGATCGACGGTCCTCCGGAGGGTGCCCGGCCTGGACACGCAGCCGGAGTCTCCGTGGGCCTGGAGACGTGGACAGCGGGCTGCTGGGGCCGGACAGGGGTCCGGACATCACGCCCATGACTGCGAAGAAGTGAGAACCTGGACCCGCAGCAGCCGGACCTTTTTCTGCGTGGAACCCCCACCGTAGTGAAATGGGGAACTTCACCGGGTGCCCCATGGCTCACGGCCAACATCCGTGCACCCCGTGTGGCCCCACCGGTGACTAAGCACGTGGGTCCCCGACGTCAGGGCCCTGGGGGGACACTGTGCACCCTCTGTGGGCTTGCCCAGTGAGACCCCTAAATGCATCTTTGTCTCTGAGGTGCTCTCTCCAGAGAAGGGCCCCTTCGGACCCAGGACGTGAGACTCCAGCAGCAGAGGACGCTCAGCACCCCCAGAAGTGGGGACTCTCTCAGCCTCCCCCTGCTGTGATCCGGGAACCACCCGGCCAGTGTCTTGCTCAACAGGATGAGCAGGACGTGGGGAGGTCTTGTGATCGGTCCCCATGTCCTGTCCCCGAGGCTGCTCACGTGTCCCCAAAGTCCCCTACTGGCCAGCGTTGCATCCGGAAGGGCCCAGAGGCCGGTTCATTCACGGGCTCGGCACAGATGTGTGTCCTCAGGGAGCCCCGGGGACAGCGAGGGTCTGAGGCGGGGATCCCCAGGGCCTGGCATGGAACCCCAGGAGCGATGATTTCCGTGGCTGGGCCCAGACTCTGAATGGCACCCCCTGGGTGAGAAGCGGGGTCTGCGAGTCACGCTGTGTGACCTTGAGCAGCCGCCTTGCTCTCTCTGTGCCTCCGGCTGGTGCGTGGATAAAACGGGGTTGAGTAATGCCGTGGTTTCAGAGGTTGTGGGAACTGGGGGGGCTGGGAGCCCAGAAAGTCTGAGGTTGGCGTGCAGAGGGCAAGGGAAGGGGAGCTTGGCAGAGCCCTGAGAAATCGCTCCCCCTGTTCCCAAGTTCTGGGAATCAGGTGGGCCAGGGTGGGGTGGGAGGAAGGAGCTTTGGATAAGACGTGGTTTTCTCTGAGGCTAAAACGCACCGTCTCTTGCCTCATCCCAACACCTTGCTTTGGGGAGAAGCCCCCCACCCAGAGCTGGGGGAGCCAGGGAGGGCTGTCGGGGGTACAGTCCCAGCCTCCTCATTTGTGCACAGCTGATAGATGACACCTGCTGGGCATCTCTTTTGGGGGAAGAGCATCAGTAAAGGGTTCAGGCCCAGGGAGCTGTGACCACCCATAAAGACTCCGGGCAGGACCCCCCACATTTTCTGTGCACCCCACAGCTCCACGTCTAACCTCCAGCCCCCACTCCCCACCCCCAAGCCACCAAACACCAAGAGAGAAGCTGCAGAAAGAAGGTGCTGAGCTCAGGATAAAGGGCCCCCCCATTTTTCCTATAACATCCTATTGATTCTGTTTTGATAGATGACGTGGGGGACGGACAGACAGACAGGAGAGCACGGGGTGAAGGCCTCTCTGCTTGAGGAAGCCACACCATCCTCTGCTTTATAGGCAGAAATCTCCAAAAATAATAATCATAATAGAGGATGCAGATTCTGCTATTTCAGAAGCAGCGGGAGCCTGGGGAGGGGTACACAGGATTCTCAGGGGTGTCACGGGGATGCACGACATCACGCATTTCTCCACAACGCGCGGCCAGGAGGGAACCCGAATGTCAGCTCTGGACTTGGGTTAAGAACAATGTATCCTGGGCTCGGAGACCGGCGGGGTGGGTGCAAGGGGCCCCGAGAACCTGCTTTCTGCTGGGGTTCCAGCTCATGTCACCCTGCTGAGGGAATGATGAAGTCTGTGACAACAACGTCCCGGAGCGGGGCGGCCGGGCGACCAGCACAAAGTCTAAAAGGAAGCCCCCCAGACGGTGTCGGGCTCTTGCGGAGGAAAGCGTGGTCTCTGCAGATGGTCTCCTAGTGTGTGAAGCACAGCAAGTCCCACCGAGAAGGCGCCGCTCAGGGAACATGTGTGGATGGGCCTCAGGACACGGGACTCGCCTCCCACTTGGATTCCACCCTTTTGTCTCTCTCCCTCTGTGTCCACATGTGTCCATGCAGCTCTCTGTCCATCCTTCATTCATCCATCCACCCATCCACCCATCGTCTGTCTCTCTGTCTATCAATCATCCATCCGTCTATTCATCAATCCATGTACCCATCCATCCATCATCTATCTATCTACCTACCTACCTACGTACCTACCTACATACCTACCTATCTTCTATTCATCCATCTATCCATCATCTATGTATCTATCATCTATCTATCTATTAACCATCTATATGTCTATTCATCATTCATCCATCCATCATTTATACATCCACCTATCTACCCATTATCTATCATCTATCTATCATCTATCTATCTATCTATCTATCTATCTATCATATATATATATATCTGTTTGTCTATCAATTATCCATTCATCCATCTATCCATCATCTATATATCTATTTATCACTCACTCATGTACCCAACCATTCATCATTTGTCTATCTTCTATTCATCCATCTATCTATCCATCAATCCACCTATTCATCCATCTATCTATCCATTGTCCATGTATCTATCATCTATCTATCTATCTATCAACCATCTATATATCTATCCATCATTCATCCATCCATCTTTATACATCCACCTATCTACCCATTATCTATCTACCCATTATCTATCTATCTATCTATCTATCTGTCTGTCTGTCTATCAATTATCCATTCATCCATCTATCCATCATCTATTTATCTATCACTCACTCATGTACCCATCCATCCATCATCTGTCTATCTACCTACCTACCTTCTATTCATCTATCCATCTATCCATTGTCTATGTATCTATCATCTATCTATCCATCTATCAACCATCTATATGTCTATCCATCATTCATCCATCCATCATTTATACATCCACCTATCTACTCATTATCTATCTATCACTCACTCATGTACCCATCCATCCATCATCTGTCTATCTACCTACCTACCTATATATCTTGTAGCCATCCATCTATCTATCCATCAATCCATGTATTCATCCATCCATCTATCCATCATCTATGTATGTATGTATGTATCTATTTATCATCATTCTATCTGTCTTCTATCTATCTATGTATCTACCTACCTACTTACCTACCTATCCCTTGTCTATTTATCTGTCATCTATCCACCATCTATATGTCCATCTATGCATCATCCATCCATCCATCTATTCATCTATGTACCTGCCTATCCATCCATCACTATTTATCAGTTATCCATCCATCCGTGTGTCCATCCACTCATGTGTCTGTCATCGATCCATCATCATCTCTGTGACCTATCCATCGAATCTTCCTCTTTCCCTCCTTCCCTGTCCCTGTATCTCTCTGTCTGTCCGTCTCTCATCCTCTTTCTGATAAGGGCCCCTAGGATTCAAGCAGAGACAGCTGACCTGTTTGACCTGAGGGTCAAGGTGCGTCCCCCCCAGTGACACCATCACACTGAGCCTCCTGACACGGGGAGACCCCACCGCCAGTGAAACCTGCTTTCTTGGAGGGTCACGCTGGGGACCCCAGTTTTCCCGTGGTGGGTGGGCAGGTTCTGAGGCTGAAACAGGGTGTGGAAAGTCCAAGACAGCATGGATCCTGTGCCTCATCGCCCTTTCTGATGGGTCCCCCACCACCCCGAGGGGGGACCCCAGTCCTTCGGGGCGGGACGTTGTCCCTCCATCCTCGGAAGACGCGCTGGATCGATGCATAATCCGCACACAAAGAAACACACCCATTCTGCCCACCAGCTCCCGGGGGCCTTGGCCAACGTACACCCGAGGGAACCCCTCGCCGCCGTCACACTCGGCCCCTTCCGGTGGGCCCCTGCCCCTCCGCCAGCCGGGCCACAGCGGCGGGCTGTGTGCCCCCACAAACCGCATGTCCTGGGCCCGGGTTCCAGAGATGCACTCGCTCGGCCTGAGGTCTGCTGGCCTGGGGCTGTGAGCTTGGGGGCCTTAGAGACCCCGCTTTTCGTGTGTTTGAGTCACATGGTCATTTCTCTTCTCTTTTCTCTATTCCGGTTACAGTTCCCACCTGATGTTATGATTAATACTCTTTCATCCTCACCAGAGGATGTTCCCATTGATTTTCCGATGGAGCGGGAGGGAGAGAGAGAGAAACATCGACGTGAGAGACGCGTTTCGACTGGCTGCCTCCCACGTGACCCAACTGGGGGCGGAGACAAATCTTAATGCCCTTGCCTGGAATCGAACCCTTGACTCTGGTCCGCAGGCCGACGCTGTATCCGCGGAGCCACACCGTCGAGGGCCCACACTCAGTGTTAGTCGATATGGGTTTCAGGTGTGCAGCAGACCCACAGACACCTGAAGGCCCTCCAGGGGGATCCTCCACATTCCCAGCACCCACCGGGCGCCGTCCGCAGTTACGACAACATCATTAGTTCCCTGCGCTGCGCTTTATATGCCATGAGGTTTTATCACCGTCCGTCTGTCTTGTCAACCCCGTCCCCTCTTCTAGGGTCTCCCCACCAAGGCCTCCCCTCTGGGGACCCTCCGTCCGACCTCTGTGTCTACGAGACTCTCTTCGTGTGGTGTCCCCGATTGTCCATGTGTGACTAGCTCGCAACCTCCGCTCGGCTCTTTGGCGTATCGGTACAGCCGTAGGGTGCTTGTGTCCGTCTGGCTAATTCCGCTGACCACGACCCCCTCTCGGCCGGTCCGTGGCCCTGTTGTTGGTCATTGTTCCGGTCTGTTTTCCTCTGACTCAAGGCCTTGTTGAACAGCGGCGGCGGACACGCGTGGATCTGCAATCAATACGGATGGGGTGTTTCAATGAACAGCTGACAAGGAGTCTGCACCCCATCGTCCCGCCTGATTCGCAGCGTCGGTCCTGACTCAGCCCTGCGGCGTCTGCTCGGACGTCCGGCTTCCCACCCCCCGGGGATGTCGATGGACGGGCATCGTGACGGGCATTCCTTCCCAGGTCTAGGCAAAAGCGTCCCCCGGTGCTCCTGGTCCCCTGGAAAGTGGGTTTGGGGCTAAAGGATTGACCTACTGTTAAAATTAACAGCGGAAATGTCATAGCAGCGAAATGACTGGGAATTAAATACACGGCGACTTGTTCCGTATCCAGGGCACTGCCCGGGCACAGTGGCCCCAGCACACGGACCGCTGAGCCAGACATCGCAAGGGGCCTGGACGCACAACCAGGCACGGCCTTCTCGGGGTGTCTGCAGGTCTCGTGGGCGCCCCGTGATAAAAACGGGTGTTGATGAGAACGGAGGAGACGAGGCGTGTCTCGTGAGGACGGGTGCATCGGGTCCCCTTTCTGCAGGGGGAGACAGCCAGTGAATGCCGTCATCCTTCTGCATGGCCTTGGGGGTGTCTAACACCCACCTGCTACCAGGGAGACTCCTATTTTCCCAGCTCCCTGGGCCCAGAATGTGAGGTTCTCCTGGGAGAAGGAAGACACCCGGCTCCAACCCAACAAGAACCGTTCCGATCGCTCCAGTAGAGTTGTGAGCCAGTCAGTAGGAGGGGGCACAGCGAGGTCCTTCCTCCGAGGCAGGGTGGCCTGCGGACGCGGACCAGGACCCGAATCCGGCACGGCGGAAACCACTCAACGGCCCTGCCTCCCACTGAGCGGACAGGGGTCCAGGCAAACCACACGCAGAAAGAGGAACCCAAGGTGGAGATTAACAAAAGGGGCAGGAGACGGACAGCTGGAGCTAACAAGACTTCCTGTGAAGCGAGTGATAACAGGGCCGGGCCACGCTCTGGGGACGATGCTCGGCTGATAGGAGACTGAGCATTTCTCAAAAGGCCGACCTGGGAGAGAATTCTTCACACACACACAGAGAGGGAGACAGCCACAGGGGCGTCTTGGTGCTGCTGGTCACCCACAAAATTCCGCCGGGTGCCTCCAGGACCGCCGGGGACTTGATTCGGGGTGTTCACTGTACAGAATTGTCTAGGAGCCCCGGAAAACAGCACCTTCGAAAAGCCCCTGAAACAGCCCACGAGAGACCCACGAAGTTGGCCAGCCAGTAAGTGGACGCTTTCCTACTTGTAGAGCAGCAATGGGGGGCGGGCGATGTGTGCTCGTTAAGGGAACGGCGAGCCCTGGCCCGTGTGGCTCGTGGTTAGAGCGTCAGCCTTGGCCGAAGGCTCCTGGGTTTCATTCCTGGTCAAGGGCACACACCGGGGTGGCAGGTTGGATCCCCGGCACCTGTCGGGGTCGTGTGGGAGGCAGCTGATCGATGAGTCTCTCACATCGATGTTTCTCTCTCTCTCCCTCTCGCTCTATCTGAAGATAAATGCAAAAATGTCCTCGGGCGAGGATAAAAAAAAAAAAAAAACAAGGATGCATGTGGGCGCCAAAGGGAAAAGACAAGAATTATATTGAGGGAGACAGGTCGGCCGAGGGGCATGTCGTTGGTCAGCTGGACGGAACCTGCTAAAACCTAGAAGGCACGGTCCTGGGGTTCCCCACCCGCGGAGTGGTGGAGCTGGTTTGGGGTCTCACGTGTGGGCGACCCCCGGGGCCTGAGACACCCCCACGCCCGCCCCCAGGCGTCCAGCCCAGAAATGCTGACACGCACACGTGTATTTTCTGAGACTCAGCCACAGCGTCTCCACGCCGGCTGAGTGTGTCTACGGCTCCCTACGCAGCCCACAAGTGGGGAACAGCAGGGGATACAGACACAGAGGCTTTGGGGTTGAAGGGACCAGGGGGTCGGGGCTGGGAGAGGCAGAGAGTAATTCCGAGGGGGAATGATCCCGTCTACACCGGCAGAAGCCCTAAGATGAGGAGGGAAGGACGTTGAACCCTTTCCCTGGCCCCGCCCACGCTCCGGCCTCTGCCACCAGTGGGCACCGTCTGGCTGCCCGTACTGTCCATTCCCACCGCATCACACACCCTAAACCAAAGGGGGCAGCCCGGCTGGTGTGGCTCAGTGGATGGAGCAGCATCTCCTGGACCGAGAGGTCCCGGTTTGATTCCTAATCAGGGCACGTGCCTGCGTGGTGGCTTGATCCCCAGTAGGGGGCGTGCAGGGGGCAGCCGATCCATGGTTCTCGCGCACATCGATGTTTCTCTCTCTTTTTAAAAAAAATATCAATAAAAGAAAAATGGGGATCTGGGAGCCAGGAGGCAGCTGAGATCAAAGGTCAGGCACAGGCCGCTGGCCCTGCCAGTGGGCAGACCCCTGAGGGCAGCATCCAAGAGGTCAGGATTGCATGACCCCCACCTGCTCCTCCCCAGACGCCTGAGGCTCGGGCATCCCCTCCCCCGCGGCGGAGCCTCCGCCTGGGGCTGCTCGAATCTGAGTTCTCTCCCTCCTGGGCCACACTGCTGAGCCCTGAAAAAGACCAGAAGGTGCTTCCCCACATGTACCTCCAAGGCACAGGGATTATTTTTAGCTCAAGGCCACTGAGAAACAGCAGAGCAGGAACATCTCTGTACGTCTCCCTAACCGCCTGAGAAAAGTGTGTGAATTTCCCCTTTTGCAAAGGAAATGGACACGAACAATGGAGGAGCCCATGTGTCAAGATGTCTCTGAACAAGGAATAGGGCTGTTGTAAGAGACAGATCTTATCCCCTCAGCGACACTTATCTGCAGAACCAGATAACCCTGTTACCACATGTTTCCTCCCCTCCCCGTCCCATGTCCTCCTCCCAAAACCCTTTTTCCTTTGTTCAGACAAAATGAAATATAGGCTTCAACCATCTGGTCACGCCCTGGAGCCTTATTTCTGTATGTGTGTGTGTGTACGTACACATGTGAGCATTACATCATCAAAGGTCGTTTTTCTGTTAGCAGTTTAATTTGCAGGTCCCAGGCACAGAACCTAAGAGGATAGGGGGAAAATGTTTTTTCTCCCATATGTCCGCCCTGTGGTTTGCCCATTCCCCAGCCTCTTGTCTGGGCCTGTTCCATCTAAGGAGACTTCTCACGTGTCAGTGAGACACACAGCAGAAGGGAGCTTACCTGTGGCCTCAGGTGAGGAGATAGATGTGTCTCTGGTCACATGATGTGGGCTACTGTCTCCGACAGAAGCAAGTTCAATGTCCTGAGGGTCTGTGACCCCGAGATGCTAATGATCTCTCAGCTGGCATGGGCTCTTTCTACAAAGGTGTTCTATGCATGGCCAGGTCACCTGCAGCCTCACCTGGTGACATCTGTTTAGCCAGCAAAGTCATCCCCATCTCCGCCTGTTCAGCCCTTGCTAATTCATGGAGTTGGTATCGGGGGGAAAAAAAATCTCTTCAAATGAACAAAACCTCATCACTTCTGGTCTCCACACCCAAAGAGACTGAGTTGGTCCCTCGTAAGTTTCCATGTCCTGCCCCATCCACTCCCCAAATACTTCAGCCTGTCCTCCACCAAGGGATTCATACGCTCCCTGCAGCTGAGGGCCCCTCGGCTTCTGCCACACCTGGTCTCCCGGTGGCTTCATCCTGGTGGCAACCCCATCTCTCAACGCTCCCTGCCCCTCAGCTTCTGCAACACAGCCAGCCCCCTGGCTCCTCTCAGTCACCCCCAGATGGCTTCCAGGCCACAAGATTGACCACATGGATGTAGAGGCAGGTGACCTGCCTACGGCGTGGTTCTTCCCCTGGTAGGATGCTGGGAGGGTCCCTACCTGCTGGGAACTTTGTATGTATAAAAAAAATTATAGGCGGGAGGGGCACAGCTCAGGACCACGCAGTTGCCTCATGTCGCAAAGTGGCTGCTGTGAACCTGCATCCTCATCCCATGTCCCTTCTGGTTGTTTTTTTTTCCACTGGGCACCTCCCCTCTTCCACCTCTCAGCCATCACACACAAGAGGATCCGTTCAAACTCCAGGCTTCTTGGTGGGGGGGGGGGGGCGGGGGGAGGGATGGAAATATTTCTTCCATCCAGGTTGTTGAAAGTCGCCACCATCCCAGAGGTGTGCTGCACGTATTGATGTTTTGGAGGGAGTTGCAAGCAGAATTTCAAAGGTGATCTCATTTCGACGGGTGACCCAGGGGTGTGAGAGCATGATGCCGTGACGATAAATAACAACACATTTTGCTCTGACGGGACGCTGGACACAAGCCTGGCCACCTGAGAGTCCTGTCATCACCTGTGGGGTGGGCTGAAAAGTGGGGCTCCGGCCGCGGCTGGGATGTGATCTCTGACCTGGCGTCTCCTCTCCGGGTGTGTAGGTCCAGCGTGGGTCTGGTCATGGTGTTTCTGTGGGATTTCGCAAGCCTCCTGGTGCTCCTGAGCTCGGCGTGCTGTGAAGACACACCCCTGGGTAGGTGCGGGCAGGGGCTCGGTGACAGGTGGCACTTTCATGTGCCTAAGACTCTAGGGGGACAGTTGCCTGATCGGGATCACCTCCCTCCCTGCGCACGGGAGACTGAAGGTAGATGCATGTACCCTCGTGCGGAATCAGATGTCCTACAGCTCCAACTCCAAACCCCAAGCCCCGCACGCACGGGTGTGAGTCTGTGTGTCTGGATTGGGGGAAACGTTATTCAATGCAAAGCGTCCGTCCAAGTCCTGCCTGAAGGAAGAAGAGAAAGTTATATCCCTTCGAAAAGGACAGAGAGAGGGACTCTGAAAGGGAAGAGAGAAGGTAGGGGAACTCTCTTCCTGAATTTTCATCAGGGACGATGAAACATCTTTTTTTTTTTCGTTACAGCAAAGGAGAACGTATCTCCCGTGATAAACAGGAAGCTAGATCCAATGAAAAAGATATTAACCTGGAGTTGTCGGGGAAATGTGACGGAGCAAGAATGCACAATCGACACCCCGCCCAAATCTTCCACCAGGCAGGTCCCGCAGGTGAGTGTCCAGCCTTCGTGGCCTGTGGCTTGGCTCCGGGTAAACCTTTCATTTCTCTGCGAAATGCCTCTGGAGTCTGCTCCCTGGCCCTGAGCCGCACCCCCGTGGCTCTCGGCGGAAAGGAAACATTTCCTCCACCTCCTGAGGTTCCGTGACGGGGGCGTGCAAATTAAACCGACAAAAGGGAGGGAAAAAAAGCACACCATTTTGTTTATGTGTTTAATTTTTACACGCACGAGGCTTCATAGACAAGAAGTCAAAGCCTTGAGGTGGGTTCCACTCAGGAGCTTATATGAGTGTCATTTTAACAAAAGGCAATGAATTGTGGAGAAGGGACAATTGTGGAGTATGAGGGGGACGAGGTTTTGGCTTCTGGGACTGATACGTTGGTGGATGTAACACAAGCCGCAAGATGGAACCACATGGGCTCCCGCCCCCCGACGGCCTCCAGGAGGCCCTGACCTGCTGGGGTGTCCCCAGCAATATCTGGGTGAGGTTTCTTGGGGGAGACGGGAAGGTTGTAGAAACAGGTGATGGCCACACAACCATGGAATAGAAGGGGCCACATGCTCACCCCACCAGCTCCAGGGGCCCAGCCTGGCGGCCTTGCAAACTCGAGGACCTACAGCAGCCACCAAGGACCGTCTGAAATAACACTTTTTAACTAAAAGCAGCTTATGGCCTTCATGTCCTAGGCCGGCACCTTTCCTGACAAAGGTCAATTTTCCCCTTCATCGAACCGAGTGCCTTTTATTTTATTTTATTGTGTGCATCTAAGATAACACACCTTTGCAATGTCAGGATAACTCCCCTTTTCCCAGACCCCTCAGGGCACGGGGCTCAAACCACAAACCCCCTCATTGTCGTTATGATCATGTTAATTGTGGCTGTTAATGGTCTGGTTCCCAGCAAGTAAAGAAGGATGCGGCTATCATTTTCCCTTTCATCCAATCCCAGAGGTCTCCCCCTTTGTTTCTCCCGCCTACGGCCCTTCTCGGGACATTCCTGCATCTGCTGAGGTGGCATTTCTCAGCGGTTGTGCACGTTGGGTCTCAAATGAACTCAGAGAGTGTTTCCCAGGGTCCAGTGTTTCTGACTTTGACGATGGCGTGCTCCGTGGCCGCTGCCGGCGTCCGTGCGTGGACGTCTGCCGCGCGGGCCTCCGGACCTGGCCAGGGTTCCGCGGCGACCCCTCTTCGTCCACATTGCTGAACAAGCAAGGACCCAATGAACAGCATCTTTCCTCCGGTCCGGAGGCTCCATGCTACCCGTGTTTTTCCAAAGGAAAACAAAAACAAAACAAAAAAACAGCTACCTCTTGCAAAAGCAGGAAATGACATCTTCAAACTTTTGCAGACGCAGAGAGGCGGACCGGCCTCTGGCTCCCTTTGCAAAGGGTCTCCAGGGGTCGGGACACATTCCCAAGGTGCAAAATACATCCCCAGTACCTCGGCGTTGATGCGAATGACACGCTTGTCAGGGGAACAAAGCAGCGGCTACAATGTACGTTTTCTAAAGAAAATGCTCCCAAAGCAGGAAGGGACTTCCTGTCCCTGTTGGAAGCAGGGGAAATCGCAGGTCATCGTGTAGAAGTGTCTCATCCTCACTGTCCCTGGCGGAGATGTTCAAACGGATGTTCTCATCGGCTGGACCACAAAATAAAGAAGATTCGTATGGAAACTTCTCGGGAATGGTTGTCTTTCTACAAACTCTTCCAGGTGGCTCTCAACGTGTCCTGTGGGCAGGTCCTGGCCATCCCCGGGGCCGATGTTTCGTAAACCGTGCGTTTCCCTGCCCAGCTGTTTTAAGGAATTCGAGGTCGTCTGGAGAAACTGGTTTTTTCTTTCTTTGTTTTGGGAAAAGGTTTGCAGGCAGCTGTCCGTCCATGTTCTCATCATGGCTCCTGACTGGTTTCAAAACGATGTTCTCTTTTCTTTTAGGGTTTTTAAGCAACTGTTGTTTTACATTTTTTTTTTGTTGTGGTGGTGGTTTTTGGTTGGTTTTTCGGAAGCAAATCCTTTTCTCAACAAGGTGGTTCTCTAGGAAATTCAATTAAGACCTGAAAACAGCCCAAGTGCCCATCAGTAGACGAATGGATAAAAAAGCTGTGGTACATATACACAGTGGAGTACTACGCAGCCGTAAAAAAGAAAGATCTCTTATCCTTTGATACGACATGGAGGGACCTGGAGAGTATTATTCTAAGTGAAACAAGCCAAACAGAGAAAGACAAGTATCATATGATCTCACTTATTTGTGGAATATAATGAACATAACAGTCTGAGGAATGGGGTAGTCCCAGTGACGTGGAAGTGGGGTACAGACGGACAATCCCCAGAAGAGGGGGTGGAGGAGGGAAGAGATAAACCACAGAACTTATATGCGTTTGTGCATGAACAACGGACACGGACAACAGAGCTGGGGACGGGGTCGGGGAGATGGGGAGGAGGGTGTCGATGGGGAAAAAAAGGAGAAACATCTGTAACAAAAATAAATTAATAAAAAAAAAAACAATTAAAATATTTTGAAAATAAATAAATGTTTTCTTTCTCTTGCACCTTTGTGGATGGGTTTTCTGGGTTGGAAGGAGATTTTGTTTGTACTTATGTTTTTCTACAAGTGTCCGGGAATGGGGCCCTTGGGGGTGCACCTCGGCAGGTGCAGCCTTTGGGAAGTGATTAGGACACGGAGACCATCAAGAACCCTCTCAGATTCCGGGCGACCTCTTGGTGCAGGGTCGACGCTCAACCAGTGAGCCCCACCGGCGGGGACCATCTACCGTTTTTAACAAGATCCAATACGTCGTGGCCACGTGGCCAAAGGAAACCGCTCTTGGTTCCCAAGGACTGCGGATTGTGTTCCCATGGTTTTGCTCAACCATTTCCCTTTTATAACAACAGTCATCCCTTTACTCTGGCTTTGGTTCGTTTAATTTGCAGGACCCCGGCACGGAACCAAGAAAGGGCAGATTAACAAGTGGAAAAGCATATATTTTTTAACCGATGTTAAATTTTATATGCGCAGCTCAGCCAGTGTGGCTCAGTGGTTGAGCGTTGACCCTGCACCCAGAGGTCGCCGGTTTGATTCCCGGTCAGGGCACATGCCCAGGTGTGGGTTCGATCCCCAGTGGGGGGCGTGCAGGAGGCAGCCAGTCGATGTTCTCTCCCATCTATGTTTCTACCTCTCTCTCCTTCTCCCTTTCTCTCTCTCTATCATCAATAAAGAAAAATGTTTAAAATTTTTTACATGCACACAGAGGCCTTCCTAGAAATATAGTGAAGTCCCCAAGAACTGTCTGGAATGGCCTGACCCCTCCCGGAGCCGTCGCTGGGTCGAGTCAGGTCCCCGGCAGCTCGAAGCACAGGTTGCATATGAGTCGGTGACGACCCCTCTTCCAGGTCCGAGAAGACAACACCTACTTCTGCTGGTTTCGCAACGCCGTCCTGCACCGAGGCGCCACCCTGACCGTGACGGGGACCAGTGACGGGGACGCGTTTCAGGACGTCTTGCACTTTCAGAACCCAGGTGATGTGTCCCCCGCTGGACTGCCGGGTCCCGCCATCCGCCTCGCCGGGGGGTACCGGCGATGCTGCGGGTCCAGCTGGTGACCGTGCGTGTCCCCCAGGCAGGGAAGGCTCCGGGGCGGTGAACTTCTCCTGCCTCATTTACAACGTGCATTTCATGAAGTGCAGCTGGCGGCCCGGCCCCGCCGCCCCCGCCGACGTCCAGTACCGCCTGTACGGCTGGACCTCCAGGTACACGGGGTGCCGGCCAGGCAACCAAGTCCCGTCGGGGACCCCGAAAGTCCCAGGCTGCCCTGGCCAGTGGGGCTCAGCGCGTGAAGCATAGTTCTGTGCACCAGTAGGTCACCGGTTCGATTCCCACTCAGGACACAGGCCAGGGTGTGGGCTGATCCCCAGCGGGGAGCACGCCGGAGGCGGCCGGTCGCTGTTTCTCGCTCTCTCTTTAAAAGCAATAAAAACGTATTTAGACACAGCAAAGTCACAGGCTAAAGAAGGCCCACATCTCAGGGATGTTTTTTCCGGGACCTGGGCCCACTTCTCGGAAACATCAAAGAAGCCAGAAGGACAATCAAAGGAAAAGCGTGTGAATTCAGCCCCTGCGGCGTCCTGTGTGGAAACTGTAAACCAGGCTCGGCTTCGACGGGGACCAGGACGTTAGCCGCTGTATCCGGGCGGCCGGGAGGGAAGGCGCTGGCTGGGCTTTGCAGGACGGGGGGTTCGTCCTGTCTTTGCCGGCTCTCAGGGTGGCCTGGGGCTGGATGACACATGTTCTGGCTTCGCACTTCTTCAACCATAAACTGTTGTCCCGTCGGGGAGGGTTTTCAGGGCGGAGGGGACAGATTTGGGGTTGGAGGACGTACCCCCGATACGACACCCTCTCTGGCTTTTCCTGGACCCCTTTCGAAACCTGCAGGCATGACCAGGAGGTCGAATGCCCCCGTTACATCCAGGACGCGAGGGGGACACGGGTGGGCTGTCATTTCGACGAGGCTGTGCGACCCCAGATGACGGACGCTTACTCCTTCTGGCTGAACGGAACCAGCAACGAGGCCGCCATCCAGTTTTCGGACTTCCGTCCGTTCAAAGCCGTTCAAATCGGTAAGCCGGTTTGTCCCCACGCGTCGGTCCCTCGGCTGGGACGTGGTGCGGCGGCCCGCTGGGTCCCCTGGGAGCTTGAGCACAACCCGGGGTCTACATTGGGGTCTGGGACATACGCAGAACGAGAGTTCGAGCGGTCACGCTTCTGCTTGGGGTGCGACTCAGGAGACGGGTCTACTCACGTCACCCATGAAAGGTGTCACACACAAGAGAGTGTCAGTCTTTGTGGTGATGATGCAGAAATTTCCTAAAACACTAAATGAGCATATACTACATCCACCCCGTGTATGTCTGGGGGGCATACACGGTTCGTCCCTCATCACCACATGGTCTACGTATCACTTTGTTTTACGTGCGTTGCTCTTTAAAAACGCCTTGTTGACTATACCGGGCCGATGAATTCACATTGAACATACGGCCCATGGCTCTACCGCTTACGCCTGAACAAAGTGTATCCAGCATACGTGTCTTCTCTGGGAGGCACACCAGTCTTCCTGGGCTGAGGAGAACAAGGGGAGAAAAAAAAATTTTCTCTACCCTCTTAGGTTCTGTGACGGGGGCATGTAAATTAAATTCACAAATGGTACATGAATAGGCGAAAAGCATGTTTTTATTTATTTTTTTTCTCCTCACCTGAGGACTTTTTATTTGATTTTATTGATTTATTTTTGGTATTTTGTTCAGATAGAGTGGGAGAGACACAGAGAGAGAAACATCGACGTGAAAGGGACACATCGAGTGGCTGCCACCCGCACGACCAACCGGGGCCGGGGACACACTGCAACCGAGGTACATGCCCTTAGCGGGAACCGAACCCGGGTCTCTCCGGACCGCAGGCCGACACTCTAACCACTGAGCCAAACCAGCAAAAAGCATATTTTCAATCTTCAATTTTTACATGCATAAGGAAGCTCCGTAGAAATAAATCCCCACAGAAGTGGTTTTATTTGGAACTTGTGTACCATTTTAACAAAGAACAGTAAAGGGCGAAGAAGCAAATAGATATAAGAAAATGAATCTGAGCTTCTAGAGGTGGTGAATTTTGGGGGGAATTCAATGGACGGTCAGGAATATCTGAACACAGTTGTTTGTGCGGATTTATCTTGGTGCTGACTCTACACCTTCTCTGGGGCTGAAAAACTTGCCCGGAGTCTTGATTTGGGGGTGACAAATCAGGTTTAGAGAGTAGGTAAATTTGCTGATATGGAATCTATGAATAAACGAAATTATTGGCTGTGTGATGGACTAGGAACGGCACCTGCTCCCAGCCATGCCCAGCCATGCGGCAGGGGAGGTCCTGATACCCCACGAAGTGGTGTTGTTCACGGCGTCATGCAACGTACCAGAAGATTCTGCCGCTAGTCCCCGGGGGACACCCCAAACCTCGAGCTTGGGCGAGGCTGTGTCCGAATTTCCTTTGCATTCCTGCTTGAAATAAATAAATTTCTGGCCCTGGCCGGTTGGGCTCAGCGTTTGGAGCCCCGGCCTGCGGACCAGAGAGACCCGGGTTTGGTTCCCGCTAGGGGCATGTACCAGAAATAAAAATGAAAAAAATGCATAAATAAATTTCTGGAAGCTTTATTTGTGGCAGAAACTCCATCCTGACGGGGTTCGGGTCCAGACCAACCCTCTGCTGGATGGGTGGGTGTGTTTTATGTAGCCGGGCACTTGGGTGACGTCTGGGTGTCAAGACGTCAAGAGGTTCGTTTGGCTTTGATGTAGAGGGAGGTCGACGGAGGCCCCTGGACTTGGAGGGTGTTTCGAGGAGGTGAGGGAGGGAAAGGAGGGACGTGGTCACCTGACGGCATGTCGGAGTGGGGTCCTGGCAATTGTAAGAGCCGGAGGCAGAGTGGGTACCCGGCCCGCAGGGGTGTCCGAGGCGCTCGGCTGAGCTGAGATTCTGCTTCCCAAGACGGTCGATTTTCCCTGTGGTGGGGAAATAAATGTTGGGACCAGTGACTAGTAACATACATCCCTCGAGGTCTCGTCCCCTCGACTCCTCTCCGTGTCCGTGTATAAGTCGTCGAATTGTTGGTGTGCGTGTTCTCGTTTGTTTGTTGTTTTCCTAGAGAAGTACAACCCCCCGGCCAACCTCACGATTCGCGACAACGGATCCCATCACATTGTCCGGTGGGCCCCCCCTAAGACGAGATTCGAGGTGTCGAGTCAGGTCCTGTGTTACGAACTGGACGTCCAAACAGAGGTGAGAACCCGGACCCTGGGGAAGAGTGGCCCACGCTGTCCCTCGTTCCCTTCCGGGGGGACTTGCCGTGTCACGGACGGAGCCACGGCTGTGCTCCTGAACGCGCTCCATGTGCGAGTCTTACCCTCTCTCTTGGCCCTCAGAGGGCTACCCGTGGCTTTTGCACAAAGTGCAATTGATTCTCCTTGGTTTTGCTTCTTGCGTGCTGGGAAGTCATTGGCTTCACCGCAAGTCGGGGGTATACGTACGCTGGGTTCTAAGAGTCTCTCTCTTTTTTAAAAAAAAAATATGTTTTTATTGATTTTTGAGAGAGAGAAACATGGATGTGAGAGAGAAACATGGATCGGCCGCCTCCTGCACGCCCCCTACTGGGGATCGAGCCTGCAACCGGAAATCGAACCCGGGCCTCTCAGTCCATGGACGACGCTCCGTCCACTGAGCCACACCGGCTGAGCAATTTTAAGCGTTTCTGAGTCTGAGGTCTGACATTTCGGTCCGAAACCCAGTTTGAGATCGTTTTTGTGTTCAGTGTGAGGTTGGGGTCACTCACTGTTTTCTGGTTTTCCCAGGACCCCTCTTTGGAAAGGCGACTGTTGTGCACCGAGTGGTGTGGACACTCTTGTCCAAAACCATTTGCCACCTCTGCGAGGTTCCCCTGTGGGCTCCCCGGTTCATGCTGTTGGTCTGTGGGTCTGTCTGGACAGCAGGACCACACGGTTTTGACCACGGTAGCTCTGTACCAAGTATTGAAATCGGGAACGGTTTGATGTCTGCAAATGAAGATCATTTGGGCGATTCAGGGTTCCTTGCAAGTGAATATGCATTTTCGGATTTGCTGATGCAATTCTGCCTGAGGCAGCCTCGGCCTTAGCTACCAGGAGAACGGGCCGGACCGGAACCGGCGTCTCCGGGAACAGACGGGCTTCTCCGGCAAAGACAGTGCAGGGCCGGCCTCATGCCCATGGCTCCTGGTCCCAGTCAGACGAGGGAAGCTCGTTTTTTTCTGTTGAATCCCAAATAGTTTCCGCTTCAAATAATCTTCCTACAATTCTGGGGTTCTGGGGGGAGCCCTGCCTTTAAATGCAATGTTGAGGCCTGATCGGTGTTGCTCAGTGGATAGAGCATCAGCCTGTGGACCGAAGGGTCTGTGGTTTGATTCCGGCCAAGGGCACGTCTCTCAGTTGCCGGTCAGCGTCATGAGGGAGGCGACCCATCAGGGTGTGTCTCTCACATCGATTTCTCTCTCTCTCTCTCTCTCTCGCCCCTTCCATTCTACGCAAAATTCAATGGAAAAATAACGTTGGGTGAGGACTAACAACAAAATAATAATAATAACAGATGCAATGTTGGGAACACACCCCCTGACCGCCTGTCCTTTGCTACACTTCTCTAGGGCAGCCCATCCAGGATGGACCCCGTAAGTACCTCTTTGCTTCTCTGGGTCATCGGTGCGGGGCCTCAGACACCCCGGTCCGGCCGTCCCTCTGCAGCCCACACCGCTCGGCCGGGGGTGCCGTGACCCCGTGGTGGGCCCCGGGCTTGGTTGACGGAGCTTCTGATCGTCATCCGCCCCGTGATCGGAGCAACGACCTTCTTCTGAATACACCCCGTTGATGTTTCCCATTCAAATCGTCGTGATACGAACAGAGTCCCCCAAACTCATGCCCACCAGGCACCTCAGAACAGGATGTCATCTGGACACGGGGTCTCTGCAGACGGGGTCCGTGAAGGACCTGAGCGGAGGCCGTCCTGGGTCAGGGGGGCCTCCGTCCAATGACAGGTCCTTGGAAGAGACAGAAGAGGAGACGCAGACACAGGGGAGAAGCCCCGTGGGGACGGAGGAGAGACGGGAGGGACGGGCCCCCGCCCAGGGACGCCTGCAGCCCAGGAGCCGGAAGAGGCCAGAAGGACCCTCCTGGAGCCTCGGGGGGAGCGCCCACCGGGGTGTGGTCTGCGGTGTGGGGTCCTACAGGTCTCCCCGTCCCGTACGCCACCCTCGGAGAGGCTGGAGAAGCTGTCCGAAGGCCGAGGTGGAGGCTCCTTTGGGGAGATGGGTGATGTCCTGTCTGGACATCACCTGTGCTCAGACGACCGGTGGGATCCGGCACAACGCCCGCATCGTGCACCAGCCCGCGTGGCCGGGCACTGCCCAGGGTGCTCCTTGGTTCCGGGGACCTTCAGGGCATCGTCCTGGGCTGGCCGGCAGAGGCCTGGGTCCATGATGACCGACCGGCAGGGCAGCCGCTGCAGGGATGCGGGTGGACGGCAGGCAGGGTGGGTCCCCCTGAAAGTAGACAGTCACTGCTGAGAAAACACACCAGCTTTGGGAGCCGAGAGGGACAGCAGGGCATGTCCATGGGTTCAGGGGTGCAGACTGGTCACCGTCCGTGTCCCTCACTCGGCTTTGAAGAGACAGCGCAGCCTCGGCCAGGCCCGCAGGAGAGGACCGTCTGCCTGTCCCTGCTCTGTCCTGGCCCCAGGGCAGCCGGGATCTGCGGGGTTCGGGGGATTGGGGAGAACTGAGTGTGTCCAAGGGGCATTCGGAGAAGCGGGTCAGGGTCCAGCCGAGCCCCTGAGACTCTGCCTGGTGGGGTTTCTGTCCCGCGTCCAAGTCACCGCCACCCGTTCCCAAGGGTGTAGGGGACTTTGCCCCTATGTGGACATGAGATGGAACCTGGGGGCCAAGACACAGGGGTCCCCCAATATCTCCACCTCGGGTACGAGCCCATGGGACAAAGGAGGAGGAACAGTGCCCCGTGGGGGCTCAGGTCCCTCCTGGGCGGGGACGTCCGCGCTCACGGGGGCCGTGACGGTCCGGTGGCCTCCCTGCACCCCACTCAGGGTCCGTCCCCGTGGTGCTCACACCGGGTCCCCCTCTCTCTGAAAGGTTGTTCTGCGGGGAAGCGAGGAGAATGTCTACGTGATACCCAGCTCGTCCGCGGACGCCCAGCGCACCGTCCGAGCCCGGGTGAAGTTCCTGCGCGGCGAGCTGTGGAGTGAGTGGACCCCCACCGTGCGTTTCCGTGAGTGCTGGGTACGCCCCACGCATCCGTCCTCCCCCGTCCTGGGGACCCGACACCTGGGTGTCCAGGGCCGCGCTCCCCCCGAGTCTCCAGGAGGGTCCTTCCGGCCTCTTCCGGCTCCTGGGCTCCAGGCGTCCCTGGGCGGGGGGCCTGTCCCTCCCGTCTCTCCTCCGTCCCCACGGGGCTTCTCCTCTGTGTCTGCGTCTCCTCTTCTGTCTCTTACAAGAACCTGTCATTGGACGGAGGCCCCCCTGACCCAGGACGGCCTCCGCTCAGGTCCTTCACGGACCCCGTCTGCAGAGATGCTATTTCTAGATAAGGCTGCCCCGGGGTTTGGGTTTAGGATGCACAGATTTTGGGGGACCCACTGAGCCCACTAAAGAGCCCCTCCCAGTGGAGGGGGCCCGGGCAGCTCTTGCTGGCTGTCTGTTTAGACACAGCTGTCCTGATGACCTGAACCCCTCCGCCTGGTTTCTGGGGTCACCCAATAAGGAGACTCATCGCAGGAACACAAACCCCCCTTTCTCATCTTCACGTCCACCCCTCTGGGGTGCGTCTTCAGGCCCCAGCGGCCGGCCAACCCCAACCCTCAGAGGTCGCCCCCAGAGGTCAGCCTGTGGGCCCTCAGTCCTCCCTACCCCACTGTCCCCCGGGCACCCCACCAGGCCGCCTCCTTTGGGACAGCAGGGGGGCTGTGACAGAGCGAATGGCCTGTAGATGAGACAAGTCCCACCACCCACGCGTGGTCCTGGCAGGAAGTGTAGCGTCCTGAGCTTGGCAGCCCCATGGAACCAGCGGAAAACCCACAGGGTTCGGATCTACCATTGCCTGGGCCCAGCGGTACCCCAGGATCCATTTAGGGAAAACAGGGCCTGAGCTCTAAGTAAGCAGCCGCCCCCCACACACACACACAGCAACACACGACCTTTCTCTCTCATCCTTGACATTTCACAGTTACACATTCATTCCTTTGGCTATGTCAGTGCCGTGTGGGAAGTAAACATGCTCTGAGAAGGAAGGCGTGGCGGTGGGTGTTGTGTCCTCCTGGAGGTGTGCTTGGCAGGTTCTGTCTTGTGAGCGGGGCGTGGAGAAAACAGGGCCAGTGAGGTGGGGTGGACCTGGGTCTCAATGAAGAAGAAATTGGTTGTTGTCCGTCTTCACAGCTCCCTTGGGTCCGGGTGTCTGGATTTCTGTCTGTCTCTGCTCCAGCCCTGCTTCCTCGGAGAACATTCTCACCCCCTCCTGTGATAATGAGGTGCAGGGGGGGGTGCATGTGAAATTGAGCTCCTGGTCCCTTCTGACGCTCGACTCCTCTTCCCCACAGGCACGGGGGAGCAGGACGGCAGCAGCGGCTCCACTCTGGGGCTCGTGGGGCTGGTGGCGGGGACAGCGGCATTGGTGTTCACCATGCTGATGTTCTTCTGCACGAAGTAAGTCCCCCCGAGCTCGACAGCACTGTGCTGGGTGAAGGCGGCAGACGCCCAGGGCCGCCCAGCGCCGGACACTGACCAGCACAGACACACGCTGATTCGAAATCGCTGAGGGCTGGGAGGGGGGCGGGGATGCACCGATAACAAGGTTGGGGTTTCCCCAGAGTGATACCCACCGCCGTCCGGGCCGCCGGTCCCCAGCGGCTCTCTCCGAGGCCCAAGGTCCGAAAAATGTCCCCGTCCTGCGTGGCGTGGGCCTCGCTTCCCGAAATACGCGTTTGTGACCAATGACATAGACGGAGGCTCTTTCTGAAAAGCGGTGTTGGTCCTGGACCCAGGAATTCTGAACACACCAACCTCTGCGGCTGAGATCTGAGATGTGGCAAAGAATAAAGTAATCATAAGTGAACCCTTTTAAAATGGAGCTGAGCTGCCTCCCCGCGGAACCGCCGGGCCCGTCTGACGCCTCCAACCTCTGGACGTTACAACAGACAAAGTGACCTCGGCACGGGGCCTGGGCTCCCTGGGGTCCCCAAGAGCCATCTGCAGAGATGACGGGGAGCAGGTCTGAGGACGACGGGGCGGGGACCCCAGGATGGAGGATGAAACGCCTTGTTCGGAGTCCGCGCCTCGGGGTCCTGGTATCTGCACCCGGAGCAACGCCTTCCTGCGGGGACGTCCCTGTCCCGTCCTGTCTCCCGGACGCCCATCGCCTGTCTCCTCATCGCCACCCCGTCTGGGCCCCGCCTGTTCCCCACAGCTGTCCGTCCCGATCCCAGAGACACGCTGCCGCCTGTGACCTCGAACGGCCTTGGCTTTGGGGGACACATTTGCTACTAGTGCCCCGAGGGAATCTGCAACCTGAGCTGAGGATTTTCCACTGCGATGCACAACCAGGAGGGTGTACACAGGCACCCAGGTCCGGAGATCGGTTCTGAGGCCCCAGCAGGCAGAACCCAGAGCTCAGCACCAGTCAGGGGGAGGGACCCCCCTGGTCTCCCTGTTCCCAGACCCCTGAGCTCCCTGCAAGACCAACAGGGCTGAGCATGTCGTTGCTCACGGCGGCCACCAGGGGGCAGCAGGCAGCTCTGAGGCCCGTGTCGGGCACCAGCTTCTCCGCAGAGTCGGGGGGGGGGGGGGGGGGGGGGGGGGCGGGGGGGGGGGGGGGGGGGGTGGTGGTCGCAGGGGGTGAATACGGGGTTGTCCGTCCCACTGGGCTGCAGACTGTGAACTGTCCTGTCACCGGGCTGTGTGGTCTCACTCGTGTGCAATGTGGGCGATGCCTCACAGGGCCCCCCGCCCCAGGACTGATGTTCCTGGCTCAGAGCTCGGCCTGCGGATGGGACTGGGGAGCCCTGCTCCTGGGAATGTCCCCCCACTTCTGAGGTGGAAGAACCAAAGTCAAAGTGTGAGACTGTCCTGGTGGGGGGGCGGCGGCTTAGAGAGGCTGGGGTGCGGGGAATCTAGGGCTGCTGTAGAATCTGAGGGTCTTGGGGAGTCTGTGTGGTCGGAGGATCTTGGGGTGCTGGGGTGTCTGGGGTTCTTACAGCATTTGCAGGGGCAACGCTCTTAGTGACCGTCAGAGACACTTGGGGAGTCCTGTGACTGCTTGCGGAGGCCTGGGGTGCCTGACATGGCTCTGAGGCTTTGGGGGTACTTGTAAAAGTTGGGGTGTCTGGGGGTGCTGGGGCCACACCAGCCTCTCCAGTGCACTTGAGCCTCAGGAGAAGTCAGAGGAAAGGCAGGGGTCACTCCAGGTCCGCGGTGCTCAGTTCTGAAGTCCTGCTCCGGGGGTGCCATCTCTGTGGGGGGGCTGCACCCCAGGTGTGGACGCCAGGGCCCCACGGGGTACATATCCTTCTGCATCTCGGCGGCCCCCTGTGAGCCCATCGGGCGTCCGTGGTGGTGGCCGGTGCGGCACCCAAGTGTGCCTCAGCCTGTCCGCAGAGGGGGGCCCCCAGGACCCCGCCACCTGCCCGGTCCCGGGTCCCGGCTCTTCGTGGGCGTCCCCAGCAGCAGCCCTGGAAGCCAGCCTGTGGCAGCCTGGGGTCCCCGATCCTGGCCACGGGCGTCCGGCATCCCTGTCCCCTCCGCAGGAAGCGTACCCCTCATGGTGGCCGCTGTGCTCCGAGCCCGGCCTCTGGTTTTCTGGAGGACGGGACAGGGGCCCACGGGGGCCGACTTGGAGCTGTGAGACCTTCAGGGTGGCTCTCTCCTCGCCAGGTTCCCCCTGAGACACCTGCTGTTCCCGCCCGTGCCGCAGGCGAACAGGGAGGTGATGGGGACCTTCGTGCCCTTCCCGGAGGTGAGTCCTTGCAGGGGCCCCTCCGGGTCGGACCAGCACGGGGCCGGGTGTCTCTGGAGGTTCGGGCTGGCTGGGGACTCGGCGCCCATGGGTCCCCTCTGCTCCCCGGGTCCCGTGGCGCCAGGGGTCCAGGTGAGGGACAATGACTGGGGACAAAGGGAAGGGGAGGGGCCACAGCCGCCCACCTGCCGTCCCACAAATGTCCACCCGCTGAGGGTCACAGGACAGGACACGCGTGCAAATTCCCAGCTGGTCCCCGGCTGGCCCTCTCTCCCTGGGATCACCGTGGAGACCCTCAGTCCCTGGGTCCAGATGGGTGCTGAATGACGTCCACAAAGACACTATTTCTAAATAAGGTCCCGTGCCCAGGTTCCGGGGGAGGGCGGTGAGTTTTGGGGGTGCGCACCGTTTACCCCGTGATGACTGGTTCCCTGTGGGCAGCCTGGCACATCCCTGCTCCTCGGTGGCTGAGGGACCCCGCTGGGGTCATTCACCCCTGTCCCTTCTGACCACGCCTTGAACACCCCCCATGATGAAGCACAGACACCCCCAAACGTGGGGTCCCCAGCTCAGGATTTGAAGCCATTTCCTTGGGAAGCCCTCCCTGACCCCTGTGGGCTCCCCCTGGGCCTCCAAGAAGGCTGTGTGCCCTCACAGCACAGTTTAGGGGCCCTGGATAAAACGGGGGTGCAGCTCTGGTTTTCTGGGGTTGCTTAGTATGTCTCAGGGTTCCATCTGGAAGTCTTTCTGAGTAGAAAAGGCAGAGGCAGAGACTAGACGGTCTTCCCAAGACCTCGTTCAAGCCCACACTGTGGGCTGCACAGGGTGGCCCCCAAATTCCCTCCAGGTCCCCCCTGGCCCAGGAAAAGCCATTTCTGTGGGAGCCAAGAACAGCCAACACGGGGGAGCCAGGGTCCTCATTTCGCCATGGACATGGATGAAGCCCCGAAGCGAACACATGGATGTACCAACCCCAGATCTGATTCTCAGCCTCAGGCTGGCAAGGGGGACCCCCTCCCTCTGACATTGAGGGGGCCCTGGTCCCTGCGGCTAACACCTTGCAGGAGGGAGGAAGTCACTGTCCTGAGAGCAATTTTTCACCCTTGCGTCCTGGGGGCTGGGGGACCTGCATGGGCCCTGGAGGTGGTGGCTGCCGGGGAGGGGTGGACATGTGGGGTGCAGGTGTGGGTGCCTGGACTCTGGGACCGGACAATCGGGGTGGGGCTCACCCCACTCATGGTCTCCGGGAGGAATCGCGCCAGGGAAGGGCCCCGTGTCCTCAATCAGAGTCTGTGTGTCCCCGGGACTCTTGACTGCCCGGCTGTCCATCTCCCGCCCACCACCACGGACGGGAAGGTCTCAGGGGTGTGTCCTTATGTTTCCAAGCTCTACGGACACCTGATTCTCATGCCGTACGAGTCCCAGTTTCATCTGTAAATTCAGCAGCATTGAGTACGTTCCCAAAGCTGTGTGACCATCACCCCCTTTTAACTCCAGAGCATTGTCATCCCTCAAAAGGAGACACTGTCCCCATCCAGCAGTCATTCCCTGTTCCCCTCCCCCGGCTGCTGACAACTTCTCACCCACTGTCTGCCCTGGACCAGCCTGCTCTGGACGTTTTGTATACACGGAATCACACACTGTGGTGTTTCCTGTCTGGCTTCTCTCACTGAGCACCCCGTGTTCAAGGACCATCCACGTGTACCTGAGATAGAGTCTCACTCCTGTTCATGGCTGCGTAATATTCCACTGTGTGGATGGACCCCATTCTGTGTGTCCATCCATTCATCTGCTGGTGCACACGTGGCTCCCTGTGGCTGCCGCAGGTCTCACGGCTGTTTACACAGTGGGAGAGCCAGCGTCTCGACGCAGTGGCTTCACATGGGTGCTCTGTCTTCTCTCTCAGATGGCCTGGGACAGGGACAACCCACCTCTGAGCGTGCAGGACCCCGAGGACATTCTCGCAGTGGAGGAGACGCAGTCCTTTGCGAGCAGACAAGCAAAATCCGGGGACCCAGCGCCTCCCAAGCACACTTCCGAAAACGTCAGTCCTGAGAGCTGTCCCCTCAGTGTGTCAGATTGAGCCGTGACTCGAAATGTCACCATCCAATCTGGGCCCGTGCCTTTTCTACCTGCTCACACATGTGTGCATGTGTGTGTGTGCATGCTGTGCATGCATAAGTGTGTGTGTACATGGACTCATGTGCACGTGTGCAAATGGGCCTGTGCATGGGTGTGCATGCATGCGTGTGGAAACATTGCATTGTGTAGATGCTTGTGTGCATGTGTACAAATGCTTGTGTGCATGGGTTGCATGCATCCATGTGGAAACATTGCATGTGTGTAGATGCTTGTATGCATGTGTGCATTGTGTGCCTGGGTTGCATGCATGTGTGTGGAAATATTGCATGTGTGTAGATGCTTGTGTGCATGGGTGTGCATGCATGTCTGTGCATGTGTGTATACATGGGTGCACATGCATGAGTGTGTTTGTACATGGAAGCATATGCACGTGTGCAAATGGGCCTTGTTTGTGTGCAGGTGTGCATGTGCATGGATGTACATGCATGTGTATGAAAACATTGCGTGTGGAAACATTGCATGTGTGTAGATGCTTGTGTGCATGTGTGCAAATGCTTGTGTGCATGGGTTGCATGCATGCATGTGGAAACATTGCATGTGTGTAGATGCTTGTATGCATGTGTGCATTGTGTGCCTGGGTTGCATGCATGTGTGTCGAAATGTTGCATGTGTGTAGATGCTTGCATGCATGTGTGCATGGGTGTGCATGCATGTCTGTGCGTGTGTATATACATGGTGTGCATTGTGCAAATGCTTGGTGTGCATGGGTTGCATGCATGCATGTGGAAACATTGCAGGTGTGTAGATGCTTATTGTATGCATGTGCGCATTGTGTGCCTGGGTTGCATGCATGTGTGTCAAAATATTGCATGTGTGTGGATGCTTGCATGCATGTGTGCATGGGTGTGCATGCATGTCTGTGCATGTGTGTATACATGGGTGCACATGCATGTTTGCATGCATGGAAGCAGTGCACATGTGCAAATGGGCCTTGTGTGTGCACGTGTGCATGGGTGTGCACACATGAGTGTGGAAGCATTGCATGTGTGTAGATGCTTTTGTGTGTGCATGCATGTGGAAGCATGTGCCTTGTGTAGATATGTAATGTGTGTGTGCACATGCTTGTTTGCATGTGCACATGTGTTAACATACACACACCCATGAGCATTCAACACCAGAATGTCAGGGGTGGTTATCATCAAACTTCCGGAAACTTTATTTTGTTTTTGGGTTTGTATTTGTGGCTTTCTTTCAAAACCCCCATTTCACAGTGTAAATTCGCTCATTTGTACATGAACAATAACCAGGTGTTTGTAGCCAGTTCCCAACGCGAGTGAACGCAGCATGACCATGGGTGTCGGCCTTCTCCGGGGTGTTGCTTTCTCTGTTCTCCTCCGGCTTCCCAAACCGCCTGGGACACGCACCTGCCCCTCTGCCGTGGCCGATCCAGGGTGGGGGCCTCATGGCTGTTAAATAAACTCTTCAGCCCTGGCCGGTTTGGCTCAGCGGTTAGTGTCGGCCTGTTGTCCAGAGAGACCCGGGTTCGGTTCCCGCTAAGGGCACGGACCTCGGTTGCAGTTTGTCCCCGGTCCTGGTTGGTCGTGCGGGTGGCAGCCACTCGATGTGTCCCTTTCATCTCGATGTTTCTCTCTCTCTCTTCGTCTCTCTCCCTCCTGCTGTATCTGAACAAAATATCGAAAAATGTCCTCGGGTGAGGATAAAAAATAAAAATAAAATAAATAAACAAACTCCTCAAAGGGCACTTCCCCTTGGAGAGGTCCGCGGCGTCTGCCATCCTCGCGGAGAAAGCTGTGACCACAGGAACAGGGCTGTTTTAGAAGTTGAAAGCGGAAGTGGGGAGGTGAGCGTCCCCAGACCGAAAACACCTGCCGGCGGGCTCCAGGCTCTGGTTCTTCGTATGTTGGGGTTGGGGGGAGCCGACCGCGAGAGGCAGGTGTGCCCATTCTCTGCCACAGGCTCAAATCGTCGCCCCAGGCAAGTCGTGAGGGCCGGGAGGAGGGTGTGCTGGACCCTCACTGCTCCCATCAGCGTGAGGCTGGAAGGCAGGTGGGTTCTGTGGAGAACCGGGTGGGCGCCCCCCCTGCGTGTTCATACGCCCCGAGCAGCAGGGGCCTGCAGACTCCAGTCTCACCTCCTCCTCGAACCCACCAGCCCTGAGTTCCAGCTCTGTCTACACGGCTGTCACCTGGGCAGACCCAAGGCCCCTTGAGGTCTCGCCGCTCTGAGTGGCCCAGGCTAGGAAGCCCAGCTCGAGATGTGGCCACGCCCTGTGGACACACTCACATCCTCACACTCACACACTCACACTCACACACGCAAGGGTGTCACCACTAATGAGTCTTTTGGAGCCTCAACCACAGAACAGCTGTCACGCAGCGGTCATGGTGGGACAATTAGTGACAACCCCGTAAATGAGGGCCACCGAATGGAATACTATGCAGCTATGAAAAATGAAGCAGATGAATGTCCGCAGACAGACCCCGAGGCTGTCCGCTCCCAGCCCGGCCCCTGGAGCCCCTCTGTGCCCCCAGCGGTGGGAAGGACCCTGTCCCCATGACAGTTTCTCCCTGGTCCCCCTCCCCCAGCCCCTCACAGCTTGGAACCCACTTTCTGTCTCTGCGGATTTGCCTGTTCGGGGTGTTTCGTATCAATGGCATCACACCGTGTGTGTCTGGCTTGTCTCACTGAGCACCCTGTGCTCAAGGTCCATCCACGTGTAGCCTGTGTCAGAGCCTCACTCCTGTTCATGGCTGCGTAATATTCCTCTGTGTGGATGGACCTCCATTCTGCGTATCCACTGATCTGACCACTTTCTCTCTGCCAGTCTGTCTGTCTGTCTGTCTCTCATTTCTCTCTATCTGTATCTGTATCTGAATCACCTTTAACGATGAGCAAAGGGATGGAGGAAGAGAATGGGCAGAGTCCCCCGGGACCCTAAGCCAGGAACAAAGACGCCCACCTTCCTTGCACATTTTTTTCACGTGCGCATGTACTGTCCTGATCTTTGTTGAGTGCGTGGGGGTGACATCGGTTGACACACTGTGTCGGTTCCGGCGCACAGCCGCAGAGCACACGTCTGCACACGGCGTGGGCGTCCGCACACGTTCGAGCCGGGCGGCAGGCGTAGGGACGGGCGCGGAGCGGGTCCCCACCACCTCGGCTGCCTTTAGGAGAGTCCTGGCTGTGGTCATGCCCAACGCCCACACCCCGCCACACAGGAGGGTGGAGGCCTGCACATCTGACGAAGAAAACAGGCTCGTCCAGTGTGCTCAGTCCCACTGAGCATCATCCATGGACCGAGAGCTCCCGGTTCGATTCCCGGTCAGGGCACAGGCCCGGGTGGCAGACTCGATCCCCGGTGCAGGAGGCAAATATCAATGAAAACATTGCATTGATCAATGTCGTTTCAAATAGCGATGACATTGCAAATGTCAATGAAAACATTCTTTTTTTTTTTCAAAGAGAAGAAGAAAACGATTTTCCCACCAGGCCCCGTGCAGGCCGCTCACTCACGCTGACGACATGGGCGCCGCCTGGTCCACGCCTGGGACCCTGGCTCCTGGCAACAGCGACTCAGCCTCGAAGCCCGACAGCCTTGGGCGGAGCGGAGATAAAAGCAGCTACGCTTTCGAAACGCGTTCCGCGAACCCAGGAAAGGAGCCGTTTCCTGGGAAGGGGGCTCCGTCACCGCAGGGCCGGCGGGGGCGGGGGTGGCGTGGCGCAACCCCAGTGCGGTCTGTGGGTCTGTGATCAGTGGGTGGGGTGACCACCCCGAGATCACGATCGAGGCGCCGCACGGGGGGTTGTGTAAGGGTCTGAGCGAAAAAGATAAATGTTCCCGGAAATGTTAGGTTGGGCTTCGTGCCTGACTGAACTTGACCCCAGAGAAGCCTCCTCGGACCCGTGACTCAGTCACTGTCTAGGACACAGGAGACGAATGTCTCAGGAAGACGTCACCCCGGGCAGGGTGACCCCAACTCCAACGACGGCGTCGTCATGAGACAGATCAGAAGACACCTGGGTTCCAGCTGGGAGCTGAGTGCTGTCCCGTGAGGGTCCCCAAGGTGCTGGGACACCTGCTTTTACGGGGCCTCGAGTCCAGGTGCAGGGGACCCCCCCAAGGCCGCACCAAGGAGGCCAGCCGGGCTGTCCCTCCGGCAAACAGCAGTGATTAGGGGGCCTGGGGCACCCACGGGAGACCCCAGGAATCCGTCTGTCCGTCACCAGCCAGGGCCCGGAGGAGCAGAGGTCGCGACGGGTGACCCCCCTCAAGGACCCCACCAGGCAGGAAGGTTGTGTCTGCAGTAAATTCACGTCCATAACAGCCTCTGCACGGCCACAGGGGAAGACTCGGGTGTCTTTGCACCGTCTTGGGGGGCCAGTCCACATCCAGATGCCCCAACTGCCGGGACGCGGAGCCTGGGGGCGGGCACCTTGGGCAGGAGACCCAACAGGGGACAGGCAGCTGTGGGGTCCCCGAGGTGCCCACGGGCAGCCCGCAGCCTCGGACGACTCAGGCCAGGGTGTGTGCGCGGCTGCGAGGTCCCCAGGAGGGCTGGGCCGGCTCCCAGGTCCTGCGCACAGGCTCGGGGTGAGCCGGGACTGGGGGGCTGTGTCTGAGCCCCCACAAGCCCGAGTGTACCCCTGTCTGTGCTGCCTCATGTCTCCTTCCGTCCGGCACCTGTGCACGGGCCGAGCTCACACCGGGCTGGACGGACAGCGGTGTCTGCCGTCGCGGGACGTCCCATTTTGGAGGCAGGCGCACAGAGAGGGGGACACGCTGCAGAAATAACGTGCGCTCTGCGGATTCCCTGCGGGGAAGACTCTCCGAGTCCCCCTCCCGCCAGGGAGCGGCCCTCTCCTCACCTGGGGGGTGTTGGGGTTCCATGCGCAGGGTGTGGGGGCTGCCCTGCGTAAGTGTGCCTGTGACCCCACCCCGATTTCGGGACGGGCCAGCTGGGCGGACGAGAGGTTCAGGACGCAGCCCCTGCCCCCCCTCTCCGGGGACGGTCAAGATCCTCCCACCGTCCGCTGGTCCCTGGCCGCCGAGAAACAGTGCACAAACGCCCAACGTGTTCTTCAATAAATAGACGTACTTAGAATATTCGGTAACAGCCCGGCCGGTGAGGCTCAGGGGTTGAGCGTCGACCCTGCACCAAGAGGTCGCCGGTTCGATTCCCGGTCAGGGCACATGCCCAGGTTGTGGGCCCATCCCCAGTGGGGGGCGTGCAGGAGGCGACCCGTCGATGTCTCTCCCATCCATGTTTCCATCTCTCTCTCCCTTCCTCTCTCTCTAACATCAATATTATTCTGTAACAAAAATAAATCAAGTAATAAAAATAAGTAAATACAAACAGCAGCACCATCCACATCGCATATCTGTTCTGACTCACGTTCCGTCACATCCCGGGTGACGCGGCCTCGCGCCTGGTGAGCACGGGGTCTCGGACGTTGAGGGGCACACGTTTGTGACGACAGCAGGTGATACGGATATTTTCTTCAATGCGCACCTGAGAGCACCGTGCCGCGCTGGGGTGTCCTGCAGCCGCGCTGGGGTGTCCTGCAGCCCCTGCAGCCGCGCTGGGGTGTCCTGCAGCCCCTCTGAGCGTAACCAGGACGCGCAGGTTTCTCCAGATTTGATCGGGACGGTGGACAGTGTGTCGGGGAAACGCATCCGCCGGTCCAGAGGTCTGGACCCTAACGGGTCCGTCGTCCGTGCTCAAGGACCTTCTCACTTGTTGGTTCCCCGGATGTCGGCTCTGGACTTGGTTCCGGGTTCGAGGGTTCGGCTTGCGGGCAGCATGGGGGGCTGGTTGAGCCTCATTTTCCAGGATTCTGGGTAGTGACCCCCGGCCCCTTGGAGGAGCTCGGCAGCCTGGGAGCGTCCAACAGCCATCCCCACCCTCAGCTGCATGGACTCGGGGTGCCGTCTGCGCTCCCGGAGATTCAGGAGGAAGGGTCCCGACGCCCCAGCCTCCTGTGAGCCCCGAGTGGGCACCCCATGTCCCCTGGGGTGTGAGCACCGGTCCCCAGAGGGACGGACGGTTCCCAAATCTGCAGCGGAGGGGTCTCCGCAGGACGCCAACGGGGCTTTAATTTCCTGGCTCTGGGGGACACCAACCTGGCCCCCCGGGGTGCCCTGTGCAGACCCAGCCCAGACTGCGGTCAAGCAGGGGACCGAGCTGGGCGGTGGCAGGTGCTCTTGGGTCCCGCCTGTGTGGGCCCGACGGGCGACGGTGGTCCGTGGTGGTCGCTCCCTCAGCCCAGAGCCACGTGCCCGCACCCGGTGGGCACCGCCAGCCCCGGGCACCCCTCCGCCTCGGGGCGCGTGTCCCCCGCCAGCCACCGCCCACAGGGAGACGAGAAAAGGAAGGAAGGAGGGAGGAGGAGGAGGAGAACAGGGAAGAAAAACAACAGAAAGAAAAATGGAGAAAAAAGGTGAAGTGTGGAGGAGAAAGAGGAAAAGGAAGAGAAAGGAAGAGGGGAGGGAGGGGCCGCGGGCCCCTGCTGCCCTGGGGAGCCAGGCGTGCCCTCTGCCCTCTGACCCTGGGGGTTGTGACCTGAGCACCAGCACTGGGGAGCCTGCCGGACGGTGGGCCCTGGTACCCGGAGCAGCTTGGAGGTCAGCTCTGCCGCTTCTCCCCTTTGCAGACCCCACGCTGCCCCGGAGCCGGGCTCCTGCCGCCCCCCGTCCTGGTCCCTCACTGGCTCCCTGACCCCAGGCCTCCAGCCTGCGTCTCCCCGCTGTGCTCCACACCCCTCGAGCCCGTGGCACCCCGAAGCTGGGCGCCGTGCCCCAGACCTGTGCGTCACACTGTGGCATGCACCCCGCCGTCCGGGTCCTCGCCGCGTGCACGGTCCAGTCTCCCTCAGCCGCCCCGCCCTGGACAGTCCCCTCTGGTCGGACGCTCACCCCTGAACCAATCTGCCTCCCGCCCCCCTTCCCTGCCCACCGTCCGCTGCGGGGCCCGGAGCGGCGGCCAGGCTCTGTGAGGGTCGCGGACCCCTGCACCCCGCGTTTCACCAGTGCCCGCGTCCTCAGCAAGAAGCGTGTTGTGTCCGCGGTGGGGTGAGGGGCCGGGTCCCCGTTTCTCCTTCCGAACAAGCTTTGTCTCCCGTGGGACACGTCAGTCACCAAGACACCAGACGCGGGGAGTCCTGGGCCGCCGTAGCTCATCCCGTCCATCATCTGGGGGCTCAAAGCCACGGGAATGCATCGCCCCCCGTATGCAGACCCGGAGGCTGAGATCCAAGTGTCCCGAGGTCCCTTCGCAGACTCCTGGGCCCGTCCTTCCTGCCCCGTCCAGCTCGGGGGGCTGCGGCGCCCTTTGGCGTCCTCGGCCCCGGACACGTGTCCCCAGCTCTCGCGTTCACGTGGCTGAGCTGTGCCCACGTCCGTCCCTCCCAGGGCCGCCTTCTAATCAGGACACGCGTCCCGCCCGACGGATGAACCTCCTCAGTGCGGCGTGACCCCGGCTTCCCTTCACCCTCCGGCCGCGGCCCTGCTTCCCGGCAAATCCCCGTTGGGAGCCGCCGGGCGGACACACGTGGGCGGCAGACGGGGTTGGCGGTCCACCAAGGAGCATCTCGGCTGGGGAGGGCTTCGGAGCGACGTGTGGGGGAGACAGCCGGCCGCGCGGGCCAGAGGCGGGCGTGGGGCCGGCGGGCAGAGGCCGGGCTGGGCACAGAGATGGTGGGGGAAGGGGAGCCGGGTGGGCGCGGGGTGCGACCACGGGCCGGACCAAGCTCCTGGCAGCCACCGGATCGGAAACGCGGGTCACAGCCCTTCCCCGAGGGCACACGCCGGCCCGTGCGGCGGGGCCTCGAAGGAAACCTGCGCTCGCCCTTTGCGGGGACCTCCGTGCCCCCGGACCGGGCCAGGGGAACTAGGGCAGGAAGTTGCTCAAGTCCCGAAAGGGGGGCGATACTGAGAACCAGCGCAAACAGGAACAGCGAGAGAGAAAGGAGAACACAGCCCTCACCGCTGAGAAACAGGCTGATTTCAGGAGAACGCACAGGTGTTTCCATTGCGCGCACCCCAGATTCCCACAGAGGAGCCCCCCCAGCCGTCGCACCCCGCCCGCCCTCATTGGGTCTGGTCTTCAGGGTTGGGGCCCCCCCGGAAGCTATAAAAAGCTGAACTGGGGAAAGCAAGCTCGGGTTTCTGTGTGGTCGCCCGGCACAGGCTGGGACAGAGGCAGAAGCGCGGGGTCCACAGACGGAACCCCCAGGCCACCTGGACGCGAGCCAGGAGGGGCTTGTCTCACGCTGGACTTCACTCTGCACCCCAGGTAAGATGCCCATGTCAGGCGGGTGACAGTGAGCCGGCCACCCCGCGTGGACACCGGCCTGGGAATGGGGCTCAGTCCGCTAAGAGGGGGCGTCCATGGGCCACGCCCCCTGGGTGGAAAGACACCCCCAGTACCACCCTGGAGACCCCAACAGTCATCGCGGTGGTGATTATAGACCTGAGGGGTGTCCATAGAGTACAGGATTCAAATGCATGGGGGACCCTACTGTTTCGTTTTTTTTAATGAATTTGTGTTTTTAATCCTCCCCAGAGGATATGAATTTTTTTTTTTTGACACAGAGAGAAACATTGATGGGAGAGAGAAACATCGGTTGCCTCCTGCATGAGCCCTGACCAGGGATCGAACCTGCAACCATGGTTGGTGTACAGGGTGGTGGTCCAACCAACCGAGACAACAGGGCCACCTTTTTCTTCGTTATTGATTTTAGAGAGAGAAGAAGGGAGAGGGAGAGGGATGAGAGAGAACATGGACGGGCCGCCTCCTGCAGGCCCCCCACTGGGGATGGGCCCACAACCCGGGCCTGTGTCCTGACCGGGAATCGAACCGGCGACCTCCTGGTGCAGGGTCGACACTCGACCACTGAGCCACACCAGCCCGGAGGGGCCATTTTTTTTTGATGCAGAAAATGTAACCTTATGCAACCTTAGGCTATTTCTACTGGAGAGACCTGGTCTACACCCCGCAAGGGGCTGTTTCCCAACGTCCGGTGCAGGTTGTTGGGGGGTTGCTGGGTCTGAGGCCTCGAGATCTGTCATTCTCCAAGGCTAGGGAGCCGCAGATGGTCCTGGAGGGATGGTTAAAGCAGAAATCCCTCCTGGCAGCATGGTTGACAGTGGCCAAAAGGTGGACACAGCAACAGTACATGGGCAGATAGACAGAATGGCGTCCGTCCACACAGTGGAATATTACGCAGCCATGAACAGGAGCGAGGCTCAGGCACAGGCTATGACGTGGAGGGACCTTGAGCACAGGGGGCTCAGAGAGAAGCCAGACACACGCAGTGTGGTTCCATTGATATGAAACACCCCGAACAGGCGAATCCACAGAGACAGAGGTGGGTTCGTGATGGGTTAGTGGTGGTCAGGTTAGGGAGGGGGACGGGATTTCCTTGAGGGGGGCTGAATATGCTTCCTGTCACCGAGTCGTACATGTGAAAGGGGTGAGTTTGATGGGACTTTGAACTCCGTAAAAATACCAGGTAATCAATACGTGTTGAAAGACACAGATATGTGGGTGTCGCTCCAACCTCCCTGGAAGGGTCCTGAGCCCCATCCTTCTTCTCTCGCCCCTCCCTTCTCAGTGGTCCTGCTGGGCTGAGATCCTACAGGCCATGGGGTCAAGGACTGGGGCTGGGAGGGGGTGCTCCCCCCCACTCTGGACCACTGCACTTGGTGGCCACGGGCTCCATCGGAAAGGGGGGCTCAAGATCCCAGACACCCCCGATCTCATCCACACCCTCCTGGGTGACTCTCAGCAACTCCAAGTGTCCAGGACACGTTTTTCCTTAGGGTCATAGGTCGTGACCATCTCTGAGCCTGGTGACTGGTGGGTTATGTGTCGACCAATGAAGGAGCAGACAGAGACGCTGCAGCCCCCAGAGGGGCCAGCCCGGGACCAAACCGCACCCCATGAGCACAGCTGGCCCAGTCCCACTGGTACAGACCTGAACTCACGTTCCGGCCCTCCAGGCAGAAGGGGCCCCAAGGTCCTGAGCCCCGCCCCTTCACCTCACCCCCTCTCTGCCAACGTATCCCCAGCCTGGGGGCTCGGCATTCTGCAGGAGTATAATTTGGGGAACAGTAAGATACGACACTGACGTGAATGCAGTGCGGTCGTTTAAAGCCCACGTTTCCGGGCAACAAAGGGGGCTTATGGGCGCACAGGGCAGCTGGCTGCTCCCCTCCGGAGCCACCAACAGGCACCACGTCCCCCCAGACACCCACGGGACCGCAGCCAAGGGTCATCGTCATTAACTAAGGACACAGCCCCGGCCGTTCCCATGTTTCAGACTGATCTTTGGTTGGGTCCCTCAGGTCTGCCGTAGAGTTGTGTTCGGAACAGGAGTCAGGGAGGGATGGGGTCTGAGAGGGTCTGAGCTCAGGTCACCTGGGGTCAGGGGGCCTCCGCCCGATGACAGGGTCCTTGGGAGAGACAGAAGAGGAGACACAGACACAGGAGCAATGACCCGGGACCCCGGGGAAAGTCCTGGCTGGGCGGTTGGGCCACACAGACTCCAGTTACAGTAACTGGGTCCCTTCAGGAAGTTTGGTTGCCTGTGATTTTAATTAAACTTCCTTCCATGGCTTTGTCATCGTGTGGTTTCCCGGTGCCTTTGCTGGCCCGTGCTTTCCGGTGTCTGGATGGGGCAGGAGCCCAGGGGAAGCGCAAACCCCAGAGTGGGTCTATTTGAGGACACGCTGCCCTGCACACACGGATACACACGTGCACACACAGGCATATGGGCATAGGTGTGCACAGAAGCATAAACCCCAGTGCACACACCTGTGTATACACAGGCATGTACAGGGGCAGACGTGTGCACACAAGCAGGCAAGGCACACATGCACACACCCACAAAGGCACATACACACACACAGGTGCGCACCTACACACAAACACGCACACCTGAGCGTACACACAGACATATATACACACATGCACACACCCACAAAGGCATATACACACACATAGGTGCACACCTACACACAAACATGCACACCTGAGCGTACACACAGACACATATACACATATACACACATGCACACACCCACAAAGGCATATACACACACATAGGTGCACACCTACACACAAACATGCACACCTGAGCATACACACAGACACATATACACGCGTGCACACACCCACAAAGGCACATACACACATAGGTGTGCACCTATACACAAACATGCACACGTGAGCGTACACATAGACACATATACACACATGCACACACCCACAAAGGCACATACACACACATAGGTGCACACCTACACACAAACATGCACATGTGAGCGTACACACAGACACATATACACACATGCACACACCCACAAAGGCACACACACACACACCCAGGTGTGCACCTACATACAAACATGCGCACCTGAGTGTACACACAGACACATATATACACGTGCACACACCCACAATGCCACACACACACAGGTGTGCACCTACACACAAACATGCACACATGAGTGTACGCACAGATACATATACACATGTGCACACACCCACAAAGGCACACACACACACACAGGTGTGCACCTACATACAAACATGCGCACATGAGTGTACACACAGACACATATATACACGTGCACACACCCACAATGCCACACACACACAGGTGTGCACCTATACACAAACATGCACACATGAGTGTACACACAGACACATATACACACGTGCACACACTCAGAGTCTTTCCTCGTGCCGGGAGCTGCCTTTGCTCGGAGCATTGGCACAGGATTTCCTGGGGAGCCTCGAGCCCTCTTGGCCCCCCGGCTGCACCCCCAAGCCACACTCCCTCAGCACCTCTTTTCTCTTGCAGCTCACTCCCCCTCCCATGGGAGCCGCCCCCCATGGCCGGGCTCTGGCTGGCTGTGTTCCTGACGCCCGTCTGCTGTCTGCTGAGGGACCAAGGTAGGCGGCGTGCGGTGTCTGGGTTTTGGATAAGCCTGTTGGTGTTGAAATCGCTGCAGAGTCGTGAGCAGGTGTGAGAAATAATGCGGGGTTCTGTGTCCCCCTCACCACACCCCCCAGAAGCAGAGCCAGTCACGCCCAGGACCTGAGCTCGACGGTCAAGGTGCTGGGTTTGAAGTGGCTGCGGGTCTAGAATTAGCCCCGGACCCTGCGCGGACCGTGTCCTGGTTCTGCAAAGGGCAATGACCCTGGGGACCCCGTGCTGCCGGGTTGAACTGTGTCCCCACCCGATTCTCGTACCAACGCCCCAGCCTCCAGGGACGGCGGTGTCTAGACCGCAGCTGTGGAGAAGTTCACCGGGGGACCCTCGTCCCGTAGGACTGCGTGCGGATAAAGAGGGGGCACATGCACCAGTGCGCGAACTCAGAAGGCACGAGGCCACGGGGGCTGAGACGGGGGGGGGGATGCACCCACAAAGCAAGAGTGCCGAGAACTGAGGGCAGCCCCCCCGAAGCTCGGACGAAGCAACCAGCGGACCCTTTGGGCCCCAGAACCATGGGGATTTAGAGTTACTTACAGCCCTGGCCGGTTTGGCTCAGCAGCTGGAGTATTGGCAGAGGGGTCGAAGGGTCTCGGGTTCGAGTCCCAGCTGAAGGCACATACCTGGGTTGCAGCCGATCGGTGTGTCTCTCTCACGTTGATGTTTCTCTCTCTCTCTCTCTCTCTCTCTCTCGTCCTCCATCCCGTCCCCTCTGTCTAAAAAAATCAATGGAAAAATGTCCTCGGGTGAGGAAGAAAAGTTATTTATAAAAGAAACAGTGCTTTGGCCCTAACCCTGGACGTCTGAGCCATCACACTCCAAGCCATGGATTTGCAGGGCAGGCACCTGGCTGGGCAGAGGGGTGGTTCTGTGTCCAAGGACGAAGGCCACGTCTCCGCCCTGGTGACAAAGGACGCACCCCACCCGCCAGGCCTCTGGCTGACGCCCTCCAAGGTCCTAGGCATTTACTCTCTGCTTTGCTTCTGCTCAGTGAACAACCAAAGGCCGTTCGAGGTCACAGGCGGCCGCGTGTCTCTGGGGTCGGGAAGGACAGCTGTGGGCAGCAGGTGGGGCCCAGACGGGGTGGCGATGGGGAGACAGGCGATGGGCGTCTGGGAGACAGGACGGGACAGGGACGTCCCCGCAGGAAGGCGTTGCTCCGGGTGCAGATACCAGGACCCCGAGGCGCGGACTCCGAACAAGGTGTTTCATCCTCCGTCCTGGGGTCCCCGTCCCGTCGTCCTCAGACCTGCTCCCCGTCATCTCTGCAGAAGGCTCTTGGGGACCCCAGGGAGTCAGACCCCGTGCAGAGGTCATTTTTTCCTGTTTAATTGTCCAGAGGTTTGAGGCCTGAGACGGGCCAGGTGGTTCCTTCGGGGACGCAGCTCCATTGTGTATCATTTAATTTATCAATTAATTTATTTATTTTTCTTTATTGATTTTAGCGAGAGGGAAAGGGAGAGAAATGGAAACATGGATGAAAGAGAACATGGACTGGCCGCCTCCTGCACGCCCCCCACTGGGGATGGGCCCACAACCTGGGCATGTGCCCTGACCGGGAATCGAACCGGTGACCTCTTGGTGCAGGGTCGACGCTCAACCATTGAGCCACACTGGCCGGACAATTTATTTATTTTAAAATATGTTTTATTGCCCTGGCCAGTTTGGCTCAGCAGTTAGAGCGTCAGCCCGTGGACCAGAGAGACCCAGGTTCGGTTCCCGCTAAGGGCATGGACCTCGGTTGCTGTTTGTCTCCGACCCTGGTGGGTCGTGCGGGTGGCAGCCACTCGATGTGTCTCCCTCACGTCGATGTTTCTCTCTCTCTCTTCCTCCCTCTGTCCCTCCCGCTCTATCTAAAGATAAATGCAAAAATGTCCTTGGGTGAGGATTAAAAAAATATATATATATATTTTATTGATTGTCTAGAGCAGTGGTTCTCAACCTTCCTAAGGCCGCAACCCTTTAATACAGTTCCTCACATTGTGGTGACCCCCAACCATAACATTATTTTTGTTGCGACTACATCACTGTAATTTTGTTTTCCGATGGTCTTAGGCGACCCCTGTGAAAGAGTCGTTCGACCCACAAAGGGGTCGCGACTCATAGTTTGTGAACCGCTGGTTTAGAGAGCGAGGAAGGGACAGAGAGAGAGAAACATGGATGAGAGAGAACATCGACTGGCCGCCTCCTGCACGCCCCTCACTGGGGATCGAACCCACAACCCAGGCACGTGCCCTGACCGGGAATCGAACCCAGACCTCTCAGTCCCTGTGACGATGCTCCGTCCACTGAGCCGCAGCGGCCCGGCTGGCAGGCCGCTCCCCTCGGAAGGGCTCCGTGTGTGCTCTTTGTTCGTGCTTAGGGGAACCGTGATGTAATCAGGACATCTCAGAATCGGGGAGAACTTCAAACCTGAACGTCCGTCCCCACCTGCTGTGGGCGGTTGCATCAGCCGCGATGGCGAGATCTATGGTCACACCCCAGGGTTTCACAACCTCTCACGGGTGTGCTCCGTGCTGCGGTGGGGAGGCCGGGCCATCTCTGGGGGAGCCTCCTCTGTCAGCTCAGCCTGCTGCTTTAAAACACCCCAGAGCGGGGGCCTAGGAAGGAGCCACTTCTTTCTCACGGTTCTGCAGACGGGAGCTCAAACCCGGGGAGCCCGTGGCTGGTCCCTTGTGAGCTCCTTTCTGCCTTCTCTCTGCATCCACGCCCGGAGGGAGGGAGTTGCCTTCTTGGGGGGCCCCCCTCTCATGACCTCATCTAGCCCTGATCCATGTACAAAGTCCTATCATCCTAACACCATCCCATGAGACTCAGGGTTCCCACAAATGAATTTGGGGGGCACACACATTCAGTTCAAAACAGCAGTTGTAACTGGGTTCCACACGCCAGGAGGTTAAACCACAGACATGCACCCTGTCCCCGTCCTGGGGAGCAGAGGTCTGAGGTGGGGTGTCCCAGGGCCGCGCTCCCTCCACGGCTCCAGGAGGGTCCTTCAGGCCTCTTCCGGCTCCTGGGCTCCAGGCGTCCCTGGGCGGGGGGCCCGTCCCTCCCGTCTCTCCTCCGTCCCCACGGGGCTTCTTCTCTGTGTCTGCGTCTCCTCTTCTGTCTCCTCCAAAGACCTGTCATTGGATGGAGGCCCCCCCGACCCAGGACGGCCTCCGCTCAGGTCCTTCACGGACCCCGTCTGCAGAGACCCTGTTTCCACATAAGGTCCCATCCACGGGTCCCACATATTTATTCAGTGACCTGGACTCATCACCATGGCTCTTCTCGTTCTGGAGAGTCCCCACGAATAGGCAGCGTTGGCTGTAATCCACAGCCCCTGGTTGGCGAGAACTTGGTCACGGGGCTGCAACCAGAGCTAAGAGGGACCAGGCCCCCCTTCTCAGACCCCGACACACAGGTCCTGGCCTCATCTGGACGTCTCTCCGGGTCCCCACCTTTGTACTGGGCCAGAGAGGCCTCCGTGTCTGTGGTCACTGCCGGTTGCTGCATATTCTCAGATCGCTGACCACAGGCAGGAAGTGAGCTGCTTTCTAGGAGAAATTTCCTGAAGCGTCAAGGAAGCAGCCGATACCCTGTAAAAGTTGAACAATGTTCCTCTGAAGTCCCTAAAAGTCCAACTTCGGTCAAATTGCATTTGATGGGATATTGCTGCACAGCTCAGCAGAGGAGAAGAATTAAAAACAGTTAGTTTGGTACTTTGCCTTCTTCCCATCTTCAGGAGATGGGGTTAGTCTTTCACTGTTGAGTCTGAATTAGCTCCCAACTTTTCATACATTTCTTTTATCACGGTGAGAAAGTTTGCTGTTATTCCCATTTTGCTGAGTTTTTAATCCCAAATAGGTTCTGTTTTTTATTAAATGGGTGTAAATTTTTTTGTCTGCCTCATTTCTAGATTAATGAGTTTTTTGTTGTTGTTGTTGGTTTTTGTATCCTCACCCGAGGACATTTTTTGTTCAGACAGAGTGGGTGGGAGAGAGAGACAGAGAAACATCGACGTGAAAGGGACACATCGAGTGGCTGCCACCCTCACAACCCAACCAGGGCCAGGGACAAACTGCAACCGAGGTACATGCCCTTAGCGGGAACCGAACCCAGGTCTCTCTGGTCCGCGGGCTGATGCTCTAACCACTGAACCACACCGGCCAGGGCGAGATTGCTGAGTTTTTAATCCCAAATGGGTGTGGAACTTTTAAAAAATCCCCAATGGCTGTCCATTTCTTTTTCTGCTTTTAAAAAAGGTTGAGTCTTATTTATTCTTCCTTTTTATTTTTTCCATCCCCATGTATACCCTTTTATCTGTTTCTGAGGTTAACTTTAAAGCGTCCTCAGGGTGAGTCTATAGCAGTATTTAAGGCTCGTTTTGTCCCCATATCAAAGCTTGACTCTCCTGAGGTTCTACTAATGGGTCTGGGGGTTCAACAAGGAGTCTCCACCGTGTGTGGTTGGAACATGAATGTCTCCTACTCCTAAATAAACTCTCAGAATTGCCCAATTTATAGCTGCCAAGGGTTTGTTCCTAGATATTTCAGAGTGTTGCATGGCCAGTTATTAAAAGTGCCCCGGGCCAGAGAAGACAAATTCCGTCAAATTCAGCGTCCCAGACGACCACTGGTCATGTCGTAAATGCTCATGTGGGCATCTGCATTGATTTCACCACACTGGTCTTTACGGATTTTCTTTTTCTTTTCTTTTTTTTTTTGCATTAAAGTTGTTTGTGGACACAACTATGATGGGGAAGAATAACCACCTGAAAGACCGTAGGTATATATGATGGAATAATTAATCACAACAAACTCTTCTGTTATGTCATTTCGCAGTATATGTGTGTGTGTGTGTGTTTATATAAACATATCACATAAAAATAAACTAAAATATAATACAAATATGCACAAACTAGTATTTTCTATTGCATCACTCAGATGTGTTTTTTTTTCTTTGTTGATTTTAGAGAGAGAGGAAGGGAGAAGGAGAGAGAGAGAGAAACATCGATGAGAGAGAACATCGATTGGCCGCCTCCTGCACGCCCCCCACTGGGGATCAGGCCCACAACCTGGGCATGTGTCCTGACCGAGAATTGAACCGGTGACCTCTTGGTGCAGGGTCAATGCTCAACCACTGAGCCACACCGGCCGGGCAAAATCAGATACTTTCTTTATGTCTTAAGAAAATGTGGTTAGTCTTTCACACTTGAGTATGAATTAGCTCCAGGATTGTCATAGATTTCTTTGATCAGGGTAAGAAAGTTTGCTATTCCTTCCAGCTTGCTGAGTTTTTAATCCCGGATGTGATCTGTTCATCTGAATCCCCCCCCCCCATCGTCGGGAGGGTGTGCTTATGAGATGCATAAAGTGCTACAGATCCGTGTTCTCTGCCAGCCCCGCCAGCCTGGGTCTACGTGGATCTCTACTTCCCCATGATACTGCTAATTCGGTGGGAGAAAGGACCTCCCGTCGAGGTGCGGTGTCTCTCTCCTAACTTTAATTTCTAAACGTTTCAGCTCTAAACCCACCGATTACCAACTTGAGGATGGTGCCTGAAAGAAAACAGTTGACCTGGAACAACACCAAGAATATCTCCAGCGTTGAGTGCTACGTGGATTCCAGGCTCTTCAGAAAGGTACGCAGCCTCCCTGCACCTGGCGCACAGGCGTGTCCAACTCCTCCCGTGACCGGAGAGTCGGTCAAAGGCTCCGTGCGTCTCTCACATCACAGACCCGAGTTTCACTCTGGGCTCCTCTGGGGGAGGCGGGGAGAGGCATGTGCTGCATACTGGGGAGGGGGGGACCTGTGTAGGTGTCTGCAGAATGACCCTGCGTCATTTCTTACAATGGCTTGGGGATTCATTTTGTTTTTCGGGGGGCTGTCTCCTTTGCAAGCCCAGAAGGGAGCCCTGGGGCGGCCGCCAAGGACCTGCCTTGCAAGGTTCACGACTGGACTTCCTGACGTGCACTGTAAGGTGTTGGAGATGGTGCCATCTAGAGGGTGGGTGTGCACATGGGCTCAGAGGTCCTGGCCCATGGGGCTCAGTGGGCTGGGCGTCGGTCGTCCTGTACACCGAGGGGTTGCCGGTTTGATGACTAGTAGGGACCCCTGGATGAAGGGCGCTGTCCTGGGGCCGACACCGCTGGTTTTTAGAGGCAGAGCCCAGCACAGGGAAGGCAGGCAGGGCAACAGCTGTCTGTCTCACATCTGTCCTTTCGAGTGTTCTTCTAGATACATTTCTAGCACTATATTCCTGGGTCAAAAAGAGTGGATGTGTTTATAATTCTTTGTTTGTTTTTTGTTAATCCTCACCCAACGGCATTCTTCCATTGGGTTTTAGAGAAAGCGGAAGGGGAAGGAGGGAGGGAGAGAAAGAAACATCCATGTGAGAGAGAAACAACCATCGGCCGCCTCCTGCACGCCCCCAACTGGGGATTGAACCCGCAACCCGGGCACGTGCCCTGACCGGGAATCGAACCGGAACCTCTCAGTCCGTGGACGACGCTCCGTCCACTGAGCCACAGAGGCTAAGCCATTTCGGTTTTTATTTTACCGTTTTCCGTCTTTCCCACTTCAATTCCTTTGATCATTGTATTCTTACAAAGGTATCATCTCTCTATATTTACTCCAAAAAAAGAATTACTTTACACAAATGTTTCTTGCTTTTTAAATGAATAAACTTATGTTTAGGGTCACCGCAAAACTGGAATAAAGGTACAGAGATTTCCCACATACCCCCACCCCCATGCACAGCATCCCCACTGTCAACATCTCCACCGGCTGGTACATTTGATACAAAGTTGCTCATCACACAAAGGCCGCAGTTTCCATTCTGGTTCACTGGGTGTTGTAGGTTGTATGGATTTGCACAAATGGGTGATGACATGGATCGTATTTTCTCCACCCTGAGAAAAATCCCATCCTTCGTTCCTCCTCAAACCCGTGCCAAACTCTGATGTATTTACTGGTTTTCATTTGTCGATACCCACGAAACAACTTCCCAGCCTTCCAGTGAGATTGCATTGATTCTATAGATCAAATTGGGAAGAATTTATAGTTTTTATTTTTAAAAAGTCTAAGCATTGCGCGGCCGGTTTGGCTCAGGGGCTGAGTGTCCACCCTGCACCAAGAGGTCGTCGGTTCGATTCCCGGTCAGGGCACATGCCCAGGGTGTGGGCCTGATCCCCATTGGGGGGCGTGCAGGAGGCGGCCCATCGATGTTCTCTCTTATTGATGTTTCTATCTCTCTCTCCCTCTCCCTTCCTCTCTCTTTAAGATCAATAAAGAAAAAGTTTTTTAAAAAAATCTAAGCACCATGAGTATCAGATAAAGTATGTTCTCTAAACAACAAATTTCTACATCTTTCGCAGTCAGAAAACAATGTTGCCTGCAAGATTTTTGTGCTTTCCAAATGCAAAGCCTCAAACTTTACAGTCAAGGTCACCATGGTCGACGATGAGCCATTTTCCACGTGGATTGAGTATCCCAAGCCAGGTGAGGGCCAAGGGCTCTTTTGGGGGGTTCTTCTTTGCTTCCCATCATGAGTTGATCTCTGAATGTCACAATCGGGAGTTTTACCTTGGGTGCATCTCCCGGGCTATAGGGTGAGGGGGAAAAAAAAAAGAAGACATCCTTGAAATGACAAAGTCGCACCGATGGAAAACAGACCGTTGGGTGGCAGGGGTGAGGCTCATGGGAACATGAGGAGCATTTGGGGGCTGGACATGTCCTGTCTCTTGAGCATGTGTGTGTCCACACCCTGGTTGAGCTAATCTGCTGTAGTCTTGCAAGGGGGGCGGGGGGGGGGGTACCTGTGTAGGTGTCTGCAGAATGACCCTGCGTCATTTCTTACAACGGCTTGGGGATTCATTTTTTTTTTCTTCGGGGGGCTGTCTTCTTTGCAAGCCCAGAAGGGAACCCTGGGGCGGCCGCCAAGGACCTGCATTGCAAGGTTCACGACGTGGACTTCCTGACGTGCACCTGGGCGGTGGGCAGCGAGGCCCCCAACGACACCCAGTATCACTTTACCTTGGAGAATGTGGAGTAGGTCTGGCCTCAGGCGCGACTGGGGTCCCCTGGGCACGGGGGGTGCGCCGGGCCCTTCTTCATCACGCCGATTTGCCACAGGACCAACCAGAGGTGGGAGTGTCCGCACTACACATCGAATGAGCGGGGGACACATGTCCGGTGTCAGTTTGATAAGATCTCTAGGTTTCCCGAAAACCAATACCGCTTCTTGGTGGAAGGTGTCAGCACGGAAGGCGGAATCCTCTGCTCGGAGTTCTTCGAGCGTCTAGAGGATATTGGTGAGTAAGGACCCAGCACGGCCGCGCTGTCCACATGAGGCTGGACCTTGGCTGTCGAGGCCCCAGGACGGTGGCTTGTGGTGCCGTCTTGCGTTCCGGCCTGCAGCCCGCACCCCGCCTGCTCTGTCGTCCCATGAAGTCCAAGGGGCTCTGGTCTCTTCCTCTGGTTCTGAGGACACTATCCATTTAGGGGACCCCCAGCCTCAGGACCTCATCGAACCCTCACCCCCTCTCCAACGGCTCCATCTCCAAACACCACCCCTAAAAAGAAATTTGTTCATTGAAAAAGCCAGAAACATTTGTGTAAATGTTTCCACGTGCAAAATTCGGGGAGACGCACTTCCTGTTTGCTCTGAGTCTGTGGTGGTTCAGGAGGTGAGGCGTGTGCCTGTGGCAGGTTCTGTAACGCAGGGACCCCGCTCCCAGGGTGGTTCACCAAGCGGCTGGGGCAGGGGAGGGCCGAGCGGATCTGTGAGCCCCCCTCAAGGCTCCGGGCTCCCACGCCGACGGGTTTTTGGAACACGAAACCGCCCTAGGAAATTCCTGTTCATACTTTTTGTCCTTAAACTAGAGTCTGCCCAGTGCACAGATGAGGGATCACCCCCGGGAGAGGCCGAGGTCAAAGGCAGGGGCCTCCTCCTTCCCCGTGGTCTCTCCTCTTAGCTGACCTGCTGTTTTATGTGCGTCTGCTGCCGGCTGGGTCCCTCAGACGGGGACAAAGTGCGGACCCGCAGGGTGGGTCCTGTCTGCACCTCAGAGCTGCTCATGCTGGAGCCCCGGTCCCTGTGGTGGTGTGGCACTGGGGGGGGACTTGGGTATGAAGGGGGGCTCCTCGCACATGTGGGCCACGCTCTTGGGGCGTGGTTCCTTTGGGTCTCTCCTCCTGCCTGTTTTGTTCCGACAGCACTGACCCCTAAGCAGACAAAGTCCTGGGGCTGGATTGCAGATGGATTATGTGGGCGCCGCCAAGGCCGGGGGGTACTGAGGGCGAATCACAGGCTGGGATTGGGGAGCCTGCCGGTTCAGGGTGGCCTCATGCATGAACAGGAGGAGGGGAAGAAGAAGAAGAGGGAGAGGGACCCAGAACGGGAAGACCTTACCTGCCAGGGGTTCAGGTGTGATGCTCAAAGACAGCTTGGGACACGGGGCACGGCTCCTGGTGGGGTCCGGCCTCGGGGTGTCCACGCAGCAAAGTCCAGGTTGGGAGGTCACACTGGAGGCTGAAGGGGCTGTGGGGTCAGGGGGAAGGTGAACGAAGGAGCCTAGAAACATCACGCAGAAGTGGGGGGCAGGAGCGTCCTGGGAGGAGCTGGCTCCCGCCGGTGGGGGTCCCTGGGAAGGGCTGGGCTGCAGCAGGTTGGGGTGGCTCTGAGCACACAGGCAGCGGTAGTGAAGGAGGGACCAGGGCACGTGAGCGGGTCAGAGGACAAAGATACGGGACTTTTTTGGAGACATGAACAGCAGGACAGCTGAACAGTTTCCAGAAGGCTCTCGGGGTGGGCGGGAAAGGGGGTGCACCCTGCAGGTGTCTCAGGAGCTGGTCCCACGCCCCTCCCCCCTTATGATGGCCGTGATTAGGGGGACACGAGTTCACACAGTGGTTCAGGTTTCGGGTGCAGAATTCCCAACACGCCAGCCGTACCCCGACCCACGGACGGCGATGCCACGCGTCTCAACCGTTCACCCTCCCCCCAATTTCTGTCGCCCTTGGAGGAGTTTTTCTCCCCCACCCCGCCCCCCAGATTCATAGGACGCCTCTTTGAAAGCATCTCCGGGGGAAATATTGGGATGTGTCTCACGGATCGGTATTTGGTTTTGTTTCGTTTTGTTTTCCCTCCACCAGAGGAGTTGATTGCGCCCAACATAACCGCCACCTGTAACGAGTCTCTTGCTTTGATGGAATGGGAGATGGCCAGTCTCTTCCACAGGAATTTTGAGTACAACCTGGAAATCCAGCAGGTACAGGGCTGCCCAGCGGGCTCCTCTTCCTCGTGACCCTCTGTGGTCGGAATCTGGGGTGGGTAGAGCGGTCAGCGCGCCACCGAGGCGCCATAAAGGCGTTTAGTGTCTGCAGAACTGAGGTGATGTTGGCGGTTGGGGAGACTCAGAGAGCCCCAGAAAGTCAAGTCAGGGCGGGAGGGAGGAAGACACATCGATGGGAGAGAGACACGTCCATTGGTTGCCTCCCGCACGACCCCACCGGGGGTGAGGATCCAACCTGCGACCCAGGTACGTGCCCTTGACCGAGATTCGAACCCCCGACTCTCTGGTCCGAGGGTTGGTGCTCTAACCACTGAACCAAACCGGCCAGGGCTGTTAAGTTTATTGACTTGTGTATTATCTACAGGAAATTGCTACTTATTTGCCATTTCTTTTTTTTTTTTTTTTTTATCCTCACCCGAGGACATTTTTCCATTTTTTTGTTCAGATAGAGTGGGAGGGAGAGAGAGGAACAGAGAGAGAGAGAGAGAGAGAGAGAAACATCGACGTGAAAGGGACACATCGAGTGGCTGCCACCCGCACGACCCAACCAGGGCCGGGGACAAACTGCAACCGAGGTACATGCCCTTAGCGGGAACCGAACCCGGGTCTCTCAGGACCGCAGGCCGACGCTCTAACCGCTGAACCACACCGGCCAGGGCCTTATTTGCCATTTCTTTCTAAACCTGAAACCGAAAAACAAAATCTATGAATTGATTTAATTATATGTTGAAAGACCACTCTGTTTTAGTGAATCGGTATTTTATGCTCAACTGCTTACACGTTCCCTTTTTATTTTATTTACCGATGTGTATATTGTTTATCACTCAGTGACTGATTGTATTCCATTTTTCTGTACAGCTAAAATGGCTCAAAAATATTAAAATCGAGATGGAAAGAAAATGAGCAAGTATTTTTTAGCTAATTGGCAGTTTATACGCAATTATTTACTGACATCTCTGTATTACGCTTATTTGTTGACTCGTGTATTATTTATACTCAATTTTTCTGCTAACCCAAAACTGCTCCATAAAAATCAAGCCAATTAATATTTTAAAAAGGCCAAGTAGCCCTGGCCAGTTTGGCTCAGTGGTTGAGCATCAGCCTGCGGACCAGGGAGTCCCAGGTTGAGTTCCCACTAGGGGAATGTATTACAAAAAAAATAAAATAAAATAAAAAGACCAAGTATTGTCCGGCCGGTGGGGCTCAGCGGTTGAGCGTCGACCCGTGCACCGAGAGGTCACCGGTAATCGAACCCGTGACCCTTCGGTCCTCGGGCCGACGCTCCAGCCAAACTGATAAGGGCTTTTAATTTATTATATTTATTTTTGGCCTCCATTACTGACCCTTCTATACTCCATTATCCATTTATATTTATTATTTTCATGTTATATTATTTATCCTCCATGAGTATATTATATCCAGTGATCTGTTTATATTTATTTTTATGCATTGATTTACTTATGAGATTTATTTACCCTCCATGACTGAGCATTTGTATACCCGACTATCTATTGATCACATCTATGCATTGATTTACTCATGAGACTTATTATTTACCCTCCATCACTGAGCATTTTATTATCTATTAATTATTTGATTATCAAATTATTTTATTATTTGAGTATCTATTGATCACATCTATGCATTAATTTACTCATGAGATTTGTTACTTACCCTCCATGACTGAGCATTTTATACCCGATTATCTATTGATCACATCTATGCATTGATTTACTGATGAGATTTGTTACTTACCCACCACTACGGGTCACTTACACAGTGTTTCGTGCACAGACAGCTGCTCAAACCGCGGGAGAGTCTGCGGGGCAGCTGGTCACCCTGGTTGTTTGCTTTCTTGTCTCTTGCAGGGCACAGAGCCTCCGTCCAGTCACAAGGTGAGTGTCCGGCCCTCGCTGCCCCAGGATCACCCATAAGGACACTGTCACTGGGCACACAGGGCCGCCCTGACCCAGGACGACCTCACGCGGAGACTTTTTAGTTAATCGTCTCTGCAAAGACACTTGTTCCAAATAAGGCCCCGTTCACAGGTTGCACAAGACCTACCTTTGTGGGGGTGGGGGTGGGGCCAGCAGTCCACACTGCAGGGGTCACGGCCCATCACCCCGCAGACGACAGACAGCACCGCCAGGGATGGTTGACGTCCCAGGGATTATAAAGAACATTATGGTTTGAGGCAGGAAGGGGCCCCAGAGGGCCTCCCTGAGCTCAGGTGTCTCCCTGCTGTCTGGGCAGGGACTGGTTGGGTTGTCTCTGGGGCCTGACTCAGTTTCCCCGGGGCAGCCAGAGCAAATATCAGGAACTGGGCATCCTTTTTATTATTATTATTGATTTTAGAGAGAGAGGAAGGGAGAGGGAGAGAGATGGAAACATGGATGAGAGAGAACATCGATGGGCCACCTCCTGCCTGCCCCCCACTGGGGATGGGCCCACAACCTGGGCATGTGCCCTGACCGGGAATCGAACTGGTGACCCCCTGGTGCAGGGTCGACGCTCCACCACTGAGCCACCCCGGCCGGACAGTAACTGGGTGACTTAAAGCCACCAAGAGTCGTCGCTCGGTCCTGGACTGAAGTCTGACATGAAGGTGTCGTCAGGGCTGGTGCCTTCCTGTGGCCCCAGGGAGTAACTATTCGAGGTCTCTCTCCCAGCTCCTGGGGCTTCTTGACTTGGGGGTCACATCAATCCCGTATCTAAGTGACGCCGTCCGAGGTGCATGTCTGGGTCCCTTTTCTATAAGGACGAGGGCCCCTCTCCTGCAGTTGAACTCCTCAACTCATCGATCCGCATGGATGCCATCTCCAAATAAAGGCACCTTCACGGGCCCTGGGGGTTGGCACTGCCACACAGGAACGCAGGCAGGACGCACCGCGCCCACAGTGGGGCTCCGGGCTGAGCTCCCCAGCCGCGACAACAGCCTCGTCTTCTTCGTTTTCCTTGAACCGATAGGTCTACGGTAAGCAGTGGACACTGAACAACCCTGGGACCTTCACGGTGAAAATCCAAGCCTTGGCCGGGCTCTGGAGTGCTCCCCAGCGCTTTGGTGAGTGGGGTGCCCTGTCTCTCTCCCTCCTCGCCATGTGTCAAAGGCTTTGGGCACTGATCCTCCTCAAGGGAGCACAGAGCCCGGACTGGAACCTCCTGAAATGTCTGCCACCAAAACACAAGGGTGCGTCTTCACCCATTTCTGTGTCCGCAAAGAGCGCTCTGCGGACAACAGGTGACCCTGCCTCTTACGCTCACCCCGTGGGAAGGCAGAAGGTGGAGACCTCCCGCTGAGAGCTACCCCGGGCCATGAAATGACATAGCTGTCCCCAGCAATGGGGTCCTTCCCTACTACCCAGAATCACTCTGGGTGCGGTTCTGCTGCCTTATTATAAATTTCCCCTGGAGCTGTCCTGAAACCAGACCCTCCACCTCCCCGACACACATACACACACACACACACACACACTCCCCTCAGCCCCATGAACTTCCTGTTCTACAGTTGACACAGCAGAAAACTTTTCCTCTGGCCGTCGACTGATTAGACCAGGCCCACCGCAGTATGGAGGGCAATCTGCTTTAATCACCATCTACTGATTCCGATATTAGTCCCCTCTTTAAATAATACCTTCCCAGTGACATCTAGATGGGGTTGGACCAAATATCCACGTACTGTGGCCCAGCCAAGTTCGTGCATAACAGTCACCATCGTAAGCCCTGAATTAGTTCCCTAGGGCTGCTGGGACCAAGCCCCATAGATGGGACAGTTTGAACAATAGATGTTTCTCGTCTCCGGGTTCTGGAGGCTGGACCTCCGAGGTCAAGGCGGAGACAGACGTGGTTTCTTCTGGAGGCTCTGGGGACAGTCTGTCCCATGCCTCTCTGCAGTTTGTGGGGGCTTGGGGCCTTCTAAACCACACCTGGGCTGCTTGTAACCTGTGTGGCTCCCGGCCCAGTGGTCTCCTGGAGATCTGGCCCTGGGAACCCCTGGCAGCTTGCTCTGCAGCACCCCAAGCCCAAATCTATTGCTTACAAAGAGAGATGGTTGTGAGATCCAAAAACGCAGGTATGAGAACTTTCTCCGGGTAGAGCCAGCTCCCTGTAATGCACCTCTTAGGTTTGCCGGGCCTGTGGGTGCTGGGCCGAGGGTGGGTGGACACAGGACCCTTTGCATCCTGTGCACCCCGGCTTTGGGAGGTGCTCCCAACTTCCTCACCATCCCGCCGTCTCGCCTGTGCGCTGCAGACTCCGTCAGACCCGGGTGCTCCATGGACTCCTGAGCCAGGCTCCTGCTGCCCCTGAGCCCCGCGCCGCCCCAGCCTCTGCCCCTTTGGGGCTGCGTTCCCTTGGGGGACTCAGTTTCCCCCAGGCACCCCTGTCTCCGGAGGCTGGGCGCGTCTTCCTGTTCCACAGGCTGCCTGTCCACTGGGGGGTGCGGCCATCCCCGTTGCCAAGTCTCAGTCACCAAGATAAAGCTTTCAATACTGTGCTGTTTTTTAAAAAATAATCAAAATTAATAAGAAAAACCCGTGATAGACATAATACAAAATGCAACCACTGAGGGAGGGAGCGCGGGAGGAGACTGTTCCCCGGCAGGGCATTTGCGCCTCCCGGAGGCCACCCAAGGGCGCGACCGCTCCCCACTGGGCGTGGCTGAGCCTTCCAAGGGCTGGCGGACACCTGCCAAGTGTTTGAAAAGCCTGGCGCTGCCTGGGGTCCCTGCTGGGAGCTGTCATAGCTCCAACGGTCGCTTGGTGGCGGCGGCATCGGGCTACCCGCAGCTGCGTCGGGTTGGGGGGATTCCCGCGGGTCCTGGCGCGCAGGTGGCCGCGCCCCCAATTGGAAGAGCCTTGCGTGCTGCTCCCCACCCCCGCCCACACACACACCGGGGGCCCTGGGGAAATGCCCGCGGCTGCGTGAATCGCGGTCCCAGACCCCCAGGGCCGGCCCGACGAGTCCCGTCTGCCTCGGTTCCCCAGAGTGTGGCCGCGCGGGGGGCGCGCTCCACCAACTCTGGCTGACGGCGTCGCTGATCGCGCTGGCCGCGGTGCTCACCGTGGGGGTCGCCGTCGTCCTCTGCAGGAGGTGAGTCGCGCGGCTGGGCTCGGGAGCGCATGCTCAGTGCGCTGGGTCCCCCTCCCGGACCCCACTTGGCTGCCGGGGCGCGCGCCCGCCCGTCCCAAGCCACAGCCTGTCTGCAGTCGTCCCAACAGGTTTTCCTGCAACGTGACCTCGGGTCCCTGCCTGGGGGCCCCTTCCCTCCTCGGACCCTCAACACATGCCTTGGGGGTGGAGGCTCAAGCTAGGCTCACTTGCATGTGCCCTTATGTCCCCATTGTTGCGTCTTTCAACCGTGCCCAGACTCCCCCGTCCCCAACAGCCCTCAGGGACTCTCCCCGACCCTGCCGGCAGCACGCCAGTTCCTGGGGCCTTTCCCTCCAGACCACAGCTCCCCTGGCTGGGTTCCACGTGGGCTCAGCCTCATTGGGGAGCCCTGCACAGACCCCGCCCCCGCCGTGGGCTCCCTCCCCCTGCTCTGGCTTCACCCTGAGAGGCTGGGTTTTTAGGGTTGGGCGGGCCACAGCCCCAGACGGGGAACAGGCAGCTTCTTGCAGCAGCTGCTGGGAGGGGAGGTTGCCATGGCGATGGCACCCAGGTGGCCTCCACGTTGAAAAAGATGCAGGTAGGCGCTCCTGCTGGGCCTGGTGACTCATCCCTGGGGCGGGCACAGAGGTGGGGCCTGAGTCCTCCGGGGATGAGGATGAGGCCGGCTTCAACCCAGGGGAACTTCCCGCAGGTACTCGGTGCTGAAGAAGCTTCTCCCTCCCATCCCGCACATGAAGGACCCCTTGAGGGACACCTGCCAGGGGGAGAAAATAGTAAGTCTGGGCTTCTGGCGGCTGGTGACTCAGGGGAGGAGGTGGCCACAGCCTGGTCCGGGGAGCAGGGCGTCTGTCTGTTGGCCCTGGTGGGGGGTGAGCACGGGAGGAGCGGGCTCCAGGCTCGTGACCAGAGGTCAGCAAGAGGGGACCCTCCAGGCAGGCGGGGCTCGGAGCTCGAGACCCAGCACCCGGGCTGGGGCAGCTGGGCCCCGCAGGGAGCCTCTGACCCCCCATCTCCTTCTGCAGATGGCCTGGGAGGCCGGCCCGCTCACCCAGGACTGTCCCGTGGCTGAGGTGCAGGTTTTGAAGGAAACATGAGCTGCACCTGGTTCTGGGCCAGCCAGGCACACACAACCCGCCAGCCGTGGGATGAGGGGACGTGTCGGGGGGCGGGCGCGGGGCACCCCATGCAGTGTTCACTGACCTGCCACAAAAAGAACGGAATAAAGTGCTTTCTCAGCCACACGCTGACTCCCCGACCCCAGCAGTGTCTTGTCGGTAAGGGCAGTGGGGCCCCGGGAAACCCCTCTGGCCCAGCACAGCCCACAGACGCTGTAGGACCACCTGTGCGCCCTGGAAAAGGATGTTCATGTTCACACCCCTGTCCCCTGCGGGTCTGGGACAGGCAGGGCTCCCCGGAGAGGGCTCCCAGTGCATTCACCTGGAGAGGAACCTGATTTTTAACCTTGTTTTCGCACATACTTCACCTCGCCAGCGAGGAGGGGCAGCACCCCCTGGTTGGATGCCAGCGGTTACACACGCCCGGCTACAAGCACACAACCTGCAGGACGTCCTTGGATGCCAAGGGCAGATGGGATCTCGGTTCGATGACCTGCCCCTTAAACCAGGCCCAGCCGACCTGGCCGGTCTATTCTCGGCGGGTGAGAATGAACCGAGCTGAACCACCACGTCCCAGCTCGGAGGAGCAGTACCAGATAGGACAGGCGGAACCAAACCCCCAGTCTCCCCACTGCCCAGGCGGGGTAGGTGGGGCAGAAGCAGGTCTCTGCAGAGGCGCAGGACTCACAGGGGGCGGGATGGCGGTTGGGGGACCAGGTGACACCAGGCAAAGCCCACTGCAAAGTGGCACCTGTAACACGACAGCCCCGTCGTGGCAGAAGTGAGTTCCCACCGCAGAGGGCCTGGAGCCTCACTTCCTCCCTGGGTCGGGGCTTCCCTGCTCAGCAGGCTGGGGTCCCGCAGACCACCCACCCCCGCACCACCCAACAAATCCAGAGGACACTGGAACCCCACACCCAGCCCAGAGGAGAGCAGGCCCGTGGGCTCCTAGTAAGGCCTGTGCTGGACAGGAAGCTGCGCTCCCATCGCGAGGGGTGAGGACCAGCCCGGGGCCGGTGCAGCAGATGCCACCCCTGGGCTCCTCGTGGGGAAACCTCAGGCTGCACTGTTAACGCAGGGAAGGTGGAGGGGTAGACACCAGGCACATGGGGGGAAACGTCGGGTCAGGAGCACCTGTTTCTTGAGGTTTCTGAGCAGAGGACGCAGCAGCTGCCGGGGTCCCCCACATTCATGCGCTCACCCTCACCTCCCAAGTGCAGCCAGGGCCCTGCGGCCAGGCGGAATGTGGCCCCCGCGGACCCCACACGATCCCCCAAGGCCACCGCAAGGAAAGACCAGCAGAGAGCGTGTCTGGTTTTATTGTTTGCGGACTGATCGCGGATGCGCGGCTGTGCGGGGCGGTACTACGAACAAGTGGCGGAATGATTTCCTATAAATACACCAGACAGCCCGGGCTCGCCAGGCGGAGCAGCCCAGCCGTGGACCCGGCAGGAGGTCAGGGACCCCCCATCAATGCGTGGAATCAGGGTGCCAGTGGTGACGACCACATCAGGCGTCCTTGGGCCCTCGCCCTGCCCATAAATCTCGCGGGGCGGGGACACTGGAATTCTGGAAGGTCAATGGTCCGTAACCGTGAGTGCTCTAGCGGCTCCTGGTCCCTCCTGGTCCCGGTCTGCTGGACACGCACCTAGATGACTTTCTTCAGCTCGTCGTACAGAACCAGCACGAAGGCCCCGCCCATGCCCCTCAGGACGTTGGACCAGGCCCCCTTGAAGAAGGCTTTGCCGCCCTCGTCCTTCATGATCTTCCGCCAGCAGTCCAAGGTCCCGGTGTACATGATGTCGGCTGCGGGCACACGGGTCAGGGAGGTTAGAAGGGTCATCGGGAAAGAGACACAAAGTGAGCCCCAGGTCCTGAACCCCGGATGCCTGGGCAACTTGGCGTCCTGACCACAGGGAGAGAGATGTGGACCCCACCCCCATGCCCTGGCTCACCGGCCCGACCGCCCTACTTCTGGGCATGGCCACCCCAGACAGGAAGGCAGGGACCCCTACCCAGACTCCACCCGTGACCAGGCCGCCTCAGGAAGCCACGAACCAAACGTCACCAAGCGTCTTTGGGAAATGCCTTATCTGATGGGGCTCCAGCCCCCTAAGCTGAATCCCGTCCCCAGGGCAGCCAAACCAGAGCCAGACAAGATACCTCCTTTCCGGCCCGACTGCATCATCATCCGCCGCCGCACAGTGTCGAAGGGGTAGGAGACCACGCCGGCCACCGCTGTCACCGTCTGGGCGATCATCCAGCTCACCACTATGTGCGTATTCTTGGGGTCGGGAAGCATGCCTGCAGGGTTACACCACGGTCAGGCCCACCCCCACTCGGCCACCTGACACCAGAGCTGTGGCCGTCACCACCCCACACTGAGTGGCTCCAGGGCATGGATAAGCCTTGGGCAGTGGACACGCCACGCATTCGAGGCTGCTCCCCAAAAGCGTGCCAGCAGGCCTGGGCACGACCACCAGGGCAGCATCCGTTCAGGGACCGAACGGTACCCTCCCCTTCACAATGGAAGTCAAACTCCAGGACCCCAGACAGACTGTGTGTGCAAACAGGGTCTTAAAAAGGAAGTTAAGGCCCTAGCTGGTTTAGCTCAGTAGTTAGAGAGCATCAATCAGCCTGAGGACCCAAGGGTCATGGGTTTGATTCACAGTCAAGGGCATGTACCTGGGTTGCAGGTTCGATCCCAGGTCCCAGTCTGGGTGGTGTGGGAGGCAACCAATCAATGTGTCTCTCACATGGATGATTCTGTTTGTCTCCCCCTTCCTCCCACTTACAAAAAAGGAAAGAGAGCCCCAGGTGAGGATTAACCAGAAAAAAAAAAGAAAGACAGAAATTAGGATAAAAGAACATGCCAAACTGGCTGACCCAATAGGACTGGTGTCCTTGAGAAACCAACCCCACCCACACCTGGATCTCAGGTTCCAGCCCGCGGGCTGAACCCACAAGTCCGTTGGCAAATGCCCTGGCCGCACCTGCCCCCGCTGGACAGCACCCTCACCTTTGGCCGTGTCGTACACGCCGAAGTAGGCGGCCCGGTAGATGATGATGCCCTGCACCGACACGTTGAAGCCCTGGTACAAGCCCCGGACGCCGTCAGACTTGGTGATTTTCACCAGACAGTCTCCCAGGCCCTTGAACTCCCGCTCGGCGCCCGATTTCCCGACATCGGCTGCCAGGCGGGTTCTGGCGAAATCCAGGGGGTAGACGAAGCAGAGGGAGGTGGCCCCCGCGGCACCGCCCGAGGCCAGGTTGCCAGCGAAATACCTCCAGAACTGCGTGTGCTTGTCCACGCCCCCCAGGAAGATCTGCTTGTACTTATCCTTGAAGGCGAAGTTGAGGGCTTGCGTGGGGAAGTAGCGGATGACGTTGGCCATGTTGCCCCTCCAGAAGGACAGCATGCCCTGCTCCCTGGGGATGCGCACGATGCAGTCCACGATGCCCTTGTACTGCTTGTCGGCGGCAATCTGCTTACTGGCATGTTGCACCTGGGAGGGTGGGCGGAGAGCGGTCACACGAGGGCCTCCGCCAGCTCGTGCACGTGGCCGCTGAGCTGCGCTGACAGCTCGCGACGCGATTGCAACAATGTTGCACGACGGGGTCGCAACAATGTTGCAAGACGTCTCCCCCGGCGCCGTCCCCGCTAATGCACGTTTGCAACAACCTGACAACACAGGCCGGTCACTGCCGGCTCAAACCGTACGAGCGGCTCGAAGACGGTGCAAAGGCTCGAAATGCAACAGAGGGAAGCGGCAGGACCCCGCCGGGCCGCCCACGGGGGTGGCGTCCACGCTGCTGCCGCGCGCCCCGCTCACCGGCCCGCCCCACGCGTGCGCACCGCGCCCCCGCCTCCGCGCATGCGCCCCGCGCCGGCACCGCGTCCCCGGAAGTCGGCGCGGACAAAGCGCTGTGGCCTCGCACTTCCGGCGCCCTCCCGCCGGCCGGTCCCGCTGCACGCGGCCGGGCTCCCGGCTGGCCCCGACCCCCCCGCGCCCCAAGTCCGCGCGTGCGCAGGCCGCCCCCACCTGCAGCAGGAGCTTGACCCGCTCGATCGGGGCCACGGCCGTCTTGGAGATGGCGGCGGCGATGCCTCCGGCCAGGAAGTCCTTGGCGAAGGAGATGGCCTGTTCCGTCATGGCGGCGCGGCGGGCGGCGCGGAGGGCGCGGAGCGTGCAGGCGCGGGAGCCGGAGTGTGGGCGCCGCTGGCTCAGCGCTGCTGCCGCGGGAGCGAAAGGACAGGGAGGCCCGCGCGCAGCCGCTAAGGCGCCGACGCCCCGCCCCGCCCGGCGCCCCCGCGCGCCCGCCCTATTGGCTGCGCCGCGCGCCGAAGCCACGCCCCCTCCAGGACGCCGCGCCCCCGCGGGTGGCCGGGAGCCGCGATTCGTCCCGCCCCGCGTCCCTGTGCGCCGCGCCCATTGGCTGAGCCGCCGACGTCTCCTCGTCGGGCCCCGCCCACGCGCTGTGCGTCCCTGGGGGCTCAGAGGGCACTGCGACCTTGTCAAGGTCACGCTCAGCCCCGCAGGGACAGGCGAGGCGGCGGGGGAGCGCGGAGGCTGGGGTCACGGGTATGCGGACCACGTCCCCTTGCAGCCCGGGGAGGGCGGTCCGGTCGCGGACCCGGAGCCGCGTGGCACGCGCTGTGCGCACCCCCCGAGCCCAGGGCTCCCCGTGCCCCCACCGCGGCCCGGGTCTTCTGGGCGCGCTCGCTGCCTGCCCCGGACACTCTGCCCGGCTGTGGAGGTTCCCAGCCCTGACCCGTGACCGCTGGTGACGCTGCGCCGGGACCTGGGGAAGGGTTCTGGGAGGACCCCGGTGTTCAGCTTCACCCACTGGGCGTCTTCCTTCCGTCTGTGCTGACCCCCGGGGCCCAGCCGGTCTTGGGGTCCCGCTGCCGGGCGCGGGCCTGCTCACACTCACCTGCACCCATTCGTACCTGCTCACACTCACCTGCACCCATTCGTACCTGCTCACACTCACCTGAACCCATTCGTACCCGCTCACACTCATCTGCACCCATTCGTACCCGTTCACACTCCCCTGCACCCATTCGTACCCGCTCACACTCACCTGCACCCATTCGTACCCGCACACACTCACCTGCACCCATTCGTACCCGTTCACACTCCCCTGCACCCATTCGTACCCGCTCACACTCACCTGCACCCATTCGTACCCGCACACACTCACCTGCACCCATTCGTACCCGCTCACACTCACCTGCACCCATTCGTACCCGCTCACACTCACCTGCACCCATTCGTACCCGCACACACTCACCTGCACCCATTCGTACCCGCACACACTCACCTGCACCCATTCGTACCCGCTCACACTCACCTGCACCCATTCGTACCCGCACACACTCACCTGCACCCATTCGTACCCGCTCACACTCACCTGCACCCATTCGTACCCCGCTCACAACTCACATGCACCCATTCGTACCCGCACACACTCAACCTGCACCCATTCGTACCGCTCACCTCACCTGCACCCATTCTACCCGCTCACACTCCCCTGCACCCATTCGTACCCGCTCACACTCACCTGCACCCATTCGTACCCGCACACACTCACCTGCACCCATTCGTACCCGCTCACACTCACCTGCACCCATTCGTACCCGCTCACACTCACCTGCACCCATTCGTACCCGCACACACTCACCTGCACCCATTCGTACCCGCTCACACTCACCTGCACCCATTCGTACCCGCTCACACTCACCTGCACCCATTCGTACCCGCTCACACTCACCTGCACCCATTCGTACCTGCTCACACTCACCTGCACCCATTCGTACCTGCTCACTCACCTGCACCCATTCGTACCTGCTCACACTCACCTGCTCACACTCATCTACACCCATTCGTACCCGCTCATTCCCTTGCCCACACTCACCTGCACCCATTCGTACCTGCTCACTCCCTTGCTCACACTCACCTGCACACACTCACACTCACCTGCTTATCTCCCACCCCTACCCCAAGTGAAGCCCCCAGACCCACTTGCTTTGAAACATGGTAAACGTTTTATTGAATTATAAACGCAGTTGTCATTGGGATTTTCAGAAGGGTTTACATTAGTGCCAAGGTCAAGAAAAGCTCCTTGGTAGGGACTCAGAAGCACGGGGTTTTTTTTTAATTCCTTCCCACTTTTTCATTTCCTTCCTGGTTTTTTGGTTCGTGTCCCCATAAGCTGGTAAAATGCACAGACCTGGGTAGGTGATGGATGGATGCTGGTAAGCACTAGAAGTGCCCTCGGACACCCAGGGTTCTTGAGAAACCTTCCTGTGTCCTGCTTTGACTTGTTGGGAGAGGCAGGTAGGGGGCAAGGCCTGAGGCTTCTGGGTACAGGGGCCTGTCCTGCTGGGGAAGAAGGTGCTTGAAGGGTAGAGGGGAGGCCCTGCAGGTGCTGGACATTGCTGAGGCTTCACCAGGAAGCAGGTGGGAAATGTCCCTGGGGGTGGCCCAGCCTGGAGTCTGCAGCCACCTTGGGGTTCTGGGGTGGAGGACACAGGGAGGTCAAGGCCTCCATGAGGGAGTAGAATTTGCCCGGCGGGCTGAGATTCCTCAGAAAAGCGTCCCTCTGCCCTGTTTTCATAGTTAAAGCACTCAATTGGTATAGAAAACTGTTTAGATCAAAAGTAAAAGTTTCAGGTTCCTGCCACCCCGATGTTCTCATTTTTCACAGGTCACCATTGATCGAGGTCCCCCCACGCTTGCTTCTAGAAATGTGTAATACAATGAAAGATGAAGTGTTTAAGTTGCAAAGCTATCATACTGGCTCATTCCATGTAACACATGTTGCATGACTCATCCCTTGTGTGGCTCCCCTGGAGAGGGGTACTTTGTTTCCACTCACTTGCTCTTTTAAGAAAACAGATACTTTACTGGGCACAACACAGACCAGAGCCTCCAACAGATCATCTGGAAACATTTTCGGTAAACAAGTATCTTGACCCAGTAAACTCCACTTGCTTGAGCTGTGAGCTTCTTAAAGATGCCCTGTACCCAATGGGCACAGAGAGGCCTTCCCAAAGACTGCAGGGAGGGGGGCCAGGATCTGCTGAGAGAGCTGGTCCCCTGCTGGGCTGAGACAGGACAGCGGTGGCATCACAGGGACGCGAAAACCGGCTGAAAGACGAGAGTAGAGGCTGCAGATGCGCCCGGCTGGCGCAGAGGGCAGAGTGGGCACAGCACCTGCTGTGGAGACACACTGGGCAGGTGGCCACCCTGCCAGGGCCTTGCAGAGGTCAGTGCTCGCCACTGTCGAGGGAGGGACCCCAACTCGTGCTGCAGCTGCCGGGTCTTCAGCCCCACAAACGAGCTGGGAGCCAGTGTTCACCGCGTTGTTTAATCTGGGCGGCTACACCGCCCCTTCCAGTAACCTCTCCACCTGAGGGTCCACACTCGGGGATGGCAGGCTGGTGGCCTCCCGGGAGAAGGTCCCTGGGACCCACAGGCGGACGTCAGGGCTCGGTTCTGGTGGCCAGGATCACATCCACGATGTTCCCGGTGCCCGCCGCCCGCACGTCCGTGAAGCCGTGGGCCTGCAGCAGGTGGCGGTACTCGCTCAGGCTGCGTGCTCTGCCCTGGGCCTGCACCAGCAGGTCCAGAGACGGCAGCAGGCCCGGCCGCGCTGCTTGCTTCTCCTCGTCCAGCGTCGACTCCGCCACCAGGAGGCAGCCACCTGTGTGCACAGAGAGCAGTCACTGGGTCCTGCCAAGGCCTGCGGAAAGGGGGCCTGGGGACGCCCGCCCCAATGGGGACCAGAGGTCAGAACTCTAGGTGACAGGCTGCAGACAGTGCCCTTCAGGCTGGGGAACCAGAGAGGGAGACTGAGGGACAGACACGGAAGGGGAGAGAGACAGAGGGAGACAGGAAGAGACGGAGTGAGCAGGGAAGACTGAAGGGGGGATGAAGAGGGAGAAATCTCCAGCAGGGGATTGGGGGTGCCCAGTCCTCTGCAGGTACAGGCCAGGGCCCCCCTGAGGGAGGTCACTATAAGTAACTGGGCAGAGCCTCCGTGACCCCATCAGGGAGCAAAGGACAGAAACCTAAGCCCCGGCTGCCTGGAGCGGGCTAGCACAGGACCCTCGCCACCCCCCGGCTGCCTGGAGCGGGCTAGCACAGGACCCCCCCTCCCCCCCGGCTGCCTGGAGCGGGCTAGCACAGGACCCCCCCTCCCCCCCGGCTGCCTGGAGCGGGCTAGCACAGGAACCCCCTCCCCCCCGGCTGCCTGGAGCGGGCTAGCACAGGACCCTCCCCACCCCCCGGCTGTCTGGAGTGGGCTAGCACAGGACCCCCCTCCCCCCCGGCTGCCTGGAGCTGGCCAGCACCAGGACCGGGGATGGAGGGTTGGGGCAGAGCTGGTGTGAGCTTTGAGAAGTAGGCAGTGTGTGTGAGTGTGCGTGTGTTTGTCTGCCTCCTGGGCACGGACTTTCAGAAGCACTTGTAAAGGACAGAAAATGTCCTCCAGGGTCCACGGTCTCAGGTGAGTACCCCAAATGTCCTTGTGAGGTCACTACGACCGGAACCCTGCGTCTCACAGATGGTGCATGTCCTGGGACAGGCCTGACAAATGACCATAAGCCAGGGAGCTTAAAACCACAGACTTTCATCCTGTCTCCATCCCGCAGACCAGACGTCTGAGATGGGGTGTCCCAGGGCCACCAGGGAGGGTCCTTCCGGCCCCTTCCGGCTCCTGGGCTCCAGGTGTCCCTGGGCGGGGGGCCTGTCCCTCCCGTCTCTCTGTCCCCACGGGGCTTCTCCTCTGTCTGTGTCTCCTGTTCTGTCTCTTACAGGGATTTTTATCCTTGCACTGAAGGGCAGCCTGATCCAGAATGATTTCCCTCAATCCCATCTGCAAAGACCTGTTTCCCAATGAGGTTCTATCCTGAGGTTCTGGGGGAGATGGATGTGGGGTTCTCCGTACAACAGTCTGAAAGAAGACTTTAGTGTCGTCGCTGTCTGGGTTCTGACGGGGACCAGGCGACACTCAGGGGAGCCCCAGGTCAAGGTGCAGCTGTCACCTGGTTCACACACTTGCCACCCCCCCCCCTCGGAATCCAGTGTGCCCTCAGGGAGACAGCAAACCGTGCACCTGGGTGGATGGCGGCAACGTAGTATTTATAACATGCACTTTTTAAAAAAAATGAGAACTCTTTATGTTTTCAAAAAAAGAAAGTAAAAGGCACAAGTCTTACCTGGCTTGCAGCTGCCTGAGACCCGGCTCAGCAACTCGTGCACCTTCTCGTCCGACCAGTCGTGGAGGATTCTGGAAAGAATGTAGAGGTCGGCCTCCGGGAGCCTGTCTTTGAAAAAGTCACCTGGTTTAAAAACAAAGTGGAAACATTCCGTCAGGGACACAAGAACAGGTCCTCTACCTGATGGAAATGGGGAGGTACCACCCTCTGAATTGAAATGAAAATGGAGGCTGCTTGTAGTGGGGTGCGTATGTTAACCCCAAAACGTGTCTAGTCCTAAGCACAGAACCTCAGAACAGAATCTTATTTGGAAACAGGGTCTCTGCAGACGGGGTCCGTGAAGGGCCTGAGCGGAGGCCGTCCTGGGTCAGGGGGGCCTCCGTCCAGTGACAGGTCCTTGGAAGAGACAGAAGAGGAGACACAGACGCAGAGGAGAAGCCCCGTGGGGACGGAGGAGAGACGGGAGGGACGGGCCCCCCGCTCAGAGACGCCTGGAGCCCAGGAGCCGGAAGAGGCCGGAAGGACCCTCCTGGAGCCTCGGAGGGAGCGTAGTGCTGGGACACCCCGTCTCAGACGCCTGCTCCCCAGGATGGAGACAGGATGAATGTCTGTGGTTGTAAGGCACTCAGTTTGTGGAGTTTATTTTTGCAGCCATACAAAACCAACACCCAGAAAAACTGTTTGAAAAATAGTTTTACATGGTCGCCATAAAGTTAGCAAAGGGGACACTGTTACTCTGCAGTTAGGCTAGGATGGCTGTGAGGTTGTTTCCCTTGTTATTCCTGAAACGATACAGTGTAACAACTTCGCAGTGTTGACATTGTATCAGGAGCTGTCAGTAACCTAGGCCGGGTTTAAAGTGTACAGGAGTAGTCTGTACGGGAACACAAGGCCATCTGACACAAGGGACATGAGCGCTGAGGATTTGGGTTTTGTAGGGGTCCTGGAACCACTCCCATGTGGACACTGAGGGACAGCTGTGGGGACGGAGGTGAGCGCACCACGTGCTCACAGAAACAGCGTGCACGCACACCTGCAGGTGTACACAGGTCCCCCTGCACACACACATGCTCAATGTCACCGGTCAGCCAAGTGCTGACCCTGACGTGAAGACGCAGGAGCACTGACCTGGCACGAAGGTGACCTGCTCTGTCTGTGGCCCGTTGGGTTGGAAACGCTTGACATCCTCGATGACCTCTGGGAGGTCAAACACGGTCACCTTCAGACCCGGGTACTCCCGGGCGAGCTCATGGGCCAGGGCGCCTGTGCAGCCTGCAGAATGTGAACACACCGTGTCACCAGCCCTTCCTGGCACCTAGGGATCCCCGGGTGAGTCCCAACGTCCGACCTCGGCAAAACCAAGCAGTGTTCTAGAACTGGGGTTGAGGCCAGTGGTGAGATAAAGCCAGTCAGTGGTGGAGATGGCTGCGGTCTCACATGGGCCCTGCGCCCTGCCAAGGTCAACACCACACAAGCTGGTAAGTGAACAAGTGAGCAGCTGGTGGGTGGATTCTCACAAGAAAATCCTTAGTGCAAAGCTGTGGACACTGGAACCTTCCCTTTTCCTTTCTGCTGGGGGAATGCAGACGTGATGGCTGGTGCCACAGCAGCCACTCTGGGCTGCCAGAAGGGTGTGCAGAGAGGATGGGAAAATGCAAGGTAGCTGCTTAGGACTCCTCTTGGGACCTTGATCCCATTACAGCCCCTGGGCAGACGTCCAGAGGAGGGTATATGGGGCACTGTTAGAGCTGATGGGATGGGGACAGAGGGCTTCACATTTCTGTCTCCAGTTTGGCAGCCACCAAGTAGGGCCCGATCACGTCTATCCTCAGGACCTCCAAGTAGTTGGGAGTGTCTGCTCAAGCCCTCATACCTACCCTGGCCAAGTCTGGATCCTTAGGGGTTTTGCAAAGAGAGAAACCTGTTTTGCAAGTCTTCTGAGCAGGTAAGGCACCCAGAATTCAACACAAGAAAGGAAATACCCAGAGCTGCTGGCACCTGATTGGGGGGTGGGGGGAGGGATGGGTGAGTTGGGGGGGTGTACGCACCTCCCAGGTCGCAGGCGGAGGTGAACTGGGACAGGTCAAAGGCCGTGGCCACCTGATGAGCGCTCAGCTTGCTGAGGCCATGCATGGCCCCCAGACAACGCAGCTTCTGGTCCTGGCTCCGGCAGGTGCCCTAAATCAGGACAGGGTCTGAGCAGACATGCAGATGCCCAGGCCTCCTGGCTGCAGCTGCGTCCCCACCTGGCGTGTCCCTGGACCAGGGGAGGGGGGCTCCGCAAGGCTCCAGGGGTGGGGGGCTGGGGCAGGGAAGGATCCAGCATGGCTGCAGGGTTGGGGGTTCTGTGGAGAGCGGTTCCATTGCAGTCAGCCCGGTAACACACACACACGCACACACACACACACACACGAGTGTCCCTGAGGCCTGGGGCACACACACACACACACACGTGTCCCTGGGGCACACACACACATACGAGTGTCCCTGAGGCCTGGGGCACACACACACACGAGTGTCCCTGGGGAACACACACACACACACGTATCCCTGGGGCACACACACACACACATGTCCCTGAGGCCTGGGGCACACACACACACACATGCCCCTGGGGCGCGCGCACACACACGTGCCCCTGTGGCCTGGGGCGCGCGTGCGGACACACACACGAGTGTCCCTGAGGCACGAGTGTCCCTGAGGGAGTGTTGGTGGGAATAAGACTTCAGGGCACAGCCAGGATGGAGGGGGCACCCCACCTCGTCAGCACCTCTGAGGGCTCAGGGCACCTCTGCCTTTTCATTCTCTGCCTCCCTGTCTGTCAGTCGGTGTCCCTCTGTCCCCTCACAGGAGGCAGCACCCTCCCTCCCGCAGTCTCGAGGGGAGGGGCCTAGCCCTGCCCCCACCATGGCCTTTTCTCAGGACCTCACAGGGCCTGGCCCCTGCTGCTGCCCTGACCCAGGCCTGGCTCGGCCCCCAAGGCCTCAGCTGTCCCTTCCTGCCCCGGCCTCTGCCCCACTGTCCTGGACCGGCGCCGAGCCCAGCCGGTGCCCTGTCCACCGCAGGGCGGTCTGAGCATCCTGCCGTCTCCACAGCCTGGCTGGGGTTCACTCTCACACCAAACGGGGCTGGCCTTTCCTCGGCCCCCCAGGCCTGATGCTGCGACACCCCACCTTGTCCTCGGTGACACCAGGGCCTGGCTCCTGGCCTGTCTGTGTGTCTGTTTCTCGTTCTCTCTGTCTCTCTCGATCTCTGTATCATCGTCCCTCTCGATCGGTGTGTCTGTCTGTCCTCGCCCCTCCCTGTCTGTCTGCCTCTGTCCTGCCCAACAGGTGATGTGAGCCCCACGCAGCGTCATGCTCATCCCCACGTCACAGACACCTCACGTGTAGTCGCCCTCAGCCCACCCTGCGGGGAACGGCTGTGCCGTCGGAGCCCCGAATGCACTGCCTGCGGGCCCAGGCCCACTCCTGACGGGGCCCACTCCTGACGGGGCCCACAGGATACATGGCAGGCCCACTCCTGACGGGGCCCACGGAGGCCCAGGCCCACTCCTGACGGGGCCCACAGCACACGGCAGTATTGCACATCAACCCCAACAGTGTCTGTGGACGGAGGGACGGGGAGAGGCCGCAGGAAGTGTGTGGAAAGGGGTTCCTGTTCCCACACCTATGCACAGGGAGTGGGGGTGGGCCTGCCCCGCGACCCCTGAGGGACCCCTTCCCAGAGGGGGTCTCTTCCCAGGCCCAGCTGTCCCTGAAGTGTGCTCAGCTGGGAGCAGCCAGCACCCTGCCAGCCCCGATGCCCCCGGTACCACCAGGCTCCGTGGTTCCGAGTTTCCGCTCGCCCTGCAGCCCGGATCCCGTGCCCAGCGCTCCGTCCCCCGAGCGCCCTCACGGGCAGGAGGTCCTGTCAGGCTACCTGGGACGGGTCGTCCGCCGTGCTCCCCAAAGCCCGGGGGTGCTGGTGGGTTCCCTCCCGGACAGCGGACTCCAGGTGCGTGAACAGGTTCCAGACGTGGGTGTCACTGTGCAGGATGAGGCTGTGCAGGGAGAACTCGCCGTCCGACCGCAGGTACCGGCTGGCCAGCTCCGTGTTCCTGTACCCTGGAATGACACAGGACGTCCTGGGGGTGACGCCCATGCTCACCGGGCCCTGGGGAGCCCCTGCTGCACCTCGCGGAGACAGGGACACGCATGTCATCCACCCGACTGGCTGGGAGGGTGCCCACCGCGGTGCTGTGCAGCTGAGGTCCCCGTGCACATCGACCATCCGATGCAGAGACCACGCTCGCTAGTGTGGGTGGGCCTCGCCCGATCCGCCGAAGGCCTGACAAGCACACGGGTGTCTCTGAGGAAGAAGTTCTGCCTCGAAGTCTCCAGCTACAGGTTTCGGACACACCGGCCTAGAACGGCAGGCCCGCTCCCCCCGACAGGGGCACTGCACACCTTACTAGCTGATTCTCTGGGGAGCCCAGCCGGCACGGGCCCGAACTCTCTCCACACACCTGACGCCAGGCAGGTCTACCTGGACCCAGCCCGGAGCCCGCCCAGGACACCCCCACCCACAGAAGTGAAGACACAGTCAGTCGTGGGGGCCGAGGTGACAGGGGCTGAGACCTGTCGCGTCAACAGAGGACCCGCACACCAGTTATCAGACGCAGGGAGCAGCTCGGTGCTCATGCCCAGGATGAAGTGTCCTGTCCTGTGCAGCCGGGCCCCTCTGAAGAGCAGCAGGAGGAAGGGAGGGGAGGGGCCGATAACCGGCTCAGGGCGACAGCGGCCAGAAGGACTCAGAAGACACGTCCGGGCCAGTGAGCAAAGGCTGCAGCCGAGAGCCTCCCCGGTGTCTGATAACTGTTTTGGGAGGAGATCCCTGCCTGGCTGACGGCAGGTGCTCCCTCTGTGCTCTGACTCACGACCGTGCAGGTGGGCACCTCTGGTGTGAAGGGCGGGCTGTGGCACCTCCACCAGGACCCCGCGGCCCTCCCATCACAGGGGCAAACCTGCCTCTCTGGGCCCACAGTCCTCTCTGCTCGGACACCACGCTCAGGAGTTCTGTTCACTTCTGCAAACACATACGTCTGTCCGTCCATCCGTTTATCTCATGTCATCTATCTATCCCTCCATCCCTTTATGTCATCCACTGTCTATCCATCTATCCCCCCACTATTTCTACCCCTCCATCTGCCCATCCATCTACACTTTCAACTATCCATCTGTCCATCCATCCGTTTATCTCATCTGTCATTTACTATCTATTCATCTACGCACGTACTATTTCTACCTACCTATCTATCCACATATCCATCCACCTACCTATCCATCTTTCCAGCCATCTATCCATATCTTCCTTCCATCTATCTATCTATCTATCTATCTATCTATCTATCTATCTATGTATCTAGCTAGCTATCTAGCTAGCTACTTATTTAACTATCTATGTATGTCATCTCTCTTGGTTATCGATATCTACCTATGCACCACCTATATATATCATCTGTCATCGATCCACCCCTCCATCTCTCGTCCATCTAAATAAACAAGTATCTATGTTGTGCATTTATTCTATTGGTTCTTTTATTCTCGGGAGAGCCCTGACTCAGCTCCTGTGAGACCAGAGCCCACGAGAAGTCATTCTCCTAACACACACACGTGTGTGCACACACACACACACACAGATACACACACACACCTGTTTCCTTTCTTCCATCCGGCCTCCTCCACCCTCTGGGGAAAAGCCCTGTTTTCCTGGCACAGGGACAGCCGACCAGTCCTCCCTGCCTTGGCTCGGACGCCACCTTCACTTGGTGACTTGCTTCCGCTTGCTGAGATTCTTGGCGAAACACGTCCACATGCCCTTACCTCTGTGCGTCTTCTCCAGCAACCCCAGGGCCGCGCACGCATCCAGCAGCCGTCCGGTGCCGTGCTCGGAGGCGTCAATTTTCCGGGCAACGTCCACAGCACTCAGAGGGGCTCCGTCTCCTAACGCGTCAAACACCTTCATCTTGGAAGCTGTGAACAGGGCCTGTCCGTGAAAAACAGGTTAAAGTCAGCTTGGTATGTGGCTGATCAAGTCCTCTTCACTCCCGTAGACCCCAAAGGTGGAGGTCAAAAAGCTGTCCAGGTTAGGTGTCAGCTGGTGTCTCCTGTCCAGAGAACAGAGGGTTTCGGCTCCAGCGGGTACAAGGTCTGCTCAAGGTACAAGCAGACCAGTGAAGATCACGCAGAGAAACTGTCCCACGGAAGAAAAACCAACAAGGTCTTGTCATGAGCAGAACTGCGCCCCCAAGATCCGAGTGTTGAAGCCCCAACTCCAGGCCCTCAGAACGGGACTGTGTCTGGGGACAGAGGTCGTTTCCAGGTGCACTGATTCCCTTCTTTCCTCCAGACACACGTGCCCATGCACCATCGAGAACTGTCACTCAAGGTCTAACCTTGCAAAGCCCTCTGTGCCAACGGTGCATTTCCATAGGGTGGTCCCTGAGCTATGTCTGGATAAACGAGATGCACCAGCGAGCGCACGTGTGCTGCGAGGCTCCTCCCGCCTCCCTGCCTGGCCGCCTCCCTGCCTGGCCGGGGAGACCCTGTCACGTGAGGTAAGGATGGGGGAGGGGACACGCAGATGAGTAGGTAGGTAGATAGGTTAATGCATGAATGGATGGATGATGCAAAGACAGATAATACATGATTGATAAATAGATGAGTGGACATGGTACATGGATAGAAGGATGGATGATTGAGGGGATGGTGGGTGGATGGATGGATGGATGGATAAATGGATGGGAGGAAGAAAGGATGGATGGATGGATGGATGAATAGGTGAGTGGATAGATGGATGGATGGATGGAAGGAAGGATGGTGGATGAATGAATGGATGGATGGAGAAATGGAAGGATGGATGGATGGATGGGTGGAAGGAAGGATGGTGGATGAATGAATGGATGGATGGAGAAATGGAAGGATGGATGGATGGATGGGTGGATGAATGGAGGGAAGGATGGATGGGTAGACAGATGGATGGATGGATAGAAGGATGGATGGAGGGATGGATGGATGGGTAGATGGATGGACAGATGGATGGGAGGAAAGAAGAATGGATGGATGAATGAATAGATGGATGGATGGATGGATGGAAGGAAGGAAGGATGGTGGGTAGATGAATGGATAGATGAAAGGATGGTAAATGAATGAGTGGATGGATGGAGGGATGGAAGGATGGATGGATGGATGGGTAGATGAATGGACGGGTAGACAGACGGACGGATGGATAGATAGAAGGATGGATGGAGGGATGGAGCGATGGGTAGATGGATAAATGGAAGGATAGAGGGATGGATGGAGGGATAAATGGATGGATAGACATATAGATGGATGGGTGAGTGGATGGATGGATGGATGGAAGGAAGGATGGAGGGATAGACGGATGGGTAGACGGATAGATGGATGATGGATGGATAGATAGAAGGATGGAGGGAGGGATGGATGGATGGATAGACGGATAAATGGATGGAGAAATGGATGTGTAGATGGATGGATGGATGGAAGGAAAGAAGGAAGGAAGGAAGGAAAGGAAGGAAGGAAGGAAGGAAGGAAGGAAGGAAGGAAGGAAGGAAGGAAGGAAGGAAGGAAGGAAGGAAGGGTGGAGGGATGGATGGATGGATAGAAGGATGGATGGAGGGATGGATGGATGGAAGGGGGCAAGGAGGGAGGGAGTGAAGGAGGGAGGGAGGGAGAGAAGAAAAGGAGGGAGAGAGAGAAGGGAGGATGGATGTGGTGGATGGATGGATGAACAGACAGGGTGGATAGATGGAGGGGTGGGAAAGTAGAAGGTGACCGAGGTGACAGGGACAAAAGGAGTCACCTGCTGGAGCCACCGTGCAGGTGAAATGAGACAGTAGCATGTTGCAGAAGTAGTTTCAGCTCCTGCTTTTAGGCAAATGAGAGAATTTGAGGCACAACTCAGCCTAACCACCTCTCTCTCCTGTCCCTACAGATTCTCTCCTGATGACAGGGACACGGGCAGGCAGCAGGGGGAGCTGGGAAGAGGCGGCCTGCGTCCCACAGCCTGAGCTCCAGCACCCAGCACCTCCCTCTGCAGGACCCGTGACCCTTGTCCCTGCAGAGTCAGCACGGAGAAGCATCACCCTTGTCGACTGCCCTGGCAGTCCACAGCCCGGAGGGCAACTGGGGGGTGGGGCTTGTGGGGAAGGGGGCCCAGGGCGAAAGGAGCGTGGCATTCGGGTCAGGAGGGGCACCCAGAGCCGCTCCGGGCGGCTGTGCCCACCACCCTGGGTAGAGATGGCAAATGGAGGTATGCCCGAGACTCTGCGCTCTGGCCTGGTGCCTGGTCCCTTCTGGGACACGTCTGGGATCCTGAGGCCACAGGGGGCAGGACACAGGCAGACCTGGTCGGCCTGCGGGCCCTGGGCACATGGTGCTGGTTGCCTGCCAGGAGGGGGAGGGCTGCCCCACGCTGCTGTACGGGCCACGTCCACGCCTCACCGCCCTAGGCTGGGGGCACCTGTGCCCTTGCTGGGGTCACATGAACCCTGCTGACCTTCAGAGAGACCCCAACCCGCTGGACTCAGAGCACGGCCTCCGGACCCCGAGCACGGCCCTCACACACCAAGGTGTGTGTCTGGAAAATCTGGGCCAACGCCTCTGCCCTCTGCTGGTCGCACAACCCCCGACTCTGTGCCGAGGCATTTAGTGATGGCGAATGATCAGCCCCAGAAAGCTATGTTGAAGTCATGACCCCCCAGAATCTGGGAATTGGACCTTACATGGAAGGAAACAGGGTCTCTGCAGACGGGGTTAGTGAAGGACCTGAGCGGAGGCCGTCCTGGGTCAGGGGGGCCTCCGTCCAATGACAGGTCCTTGGAAGAGACAGAAAAGGAGACGCAGACGCAGAGGAGAAGCCCCGTGGGGACGGAGGAGAGATGGGAGGGACGGGCCCCCCGCCCAGGGACGCCTGCAGCCCAGGAGCCGGAAGAGGCCAGAAGGACCCTCCTGGAGCCTCGGAGGGAGCGCGGCCCTGGGACACCCCACCTCAGACACCTGGTCCCCAGGACAGGGACGGGGCATGTCTGTTGTTCTGAGACCCCCTTTGTGGTCATTTCCCGGACGCCCAGAGGTACCTTGGATGCTTTGAAGCCGTCTATCACTTCCAGGAGTGCAGAGGAGTGCAGGCCGGCTACCGTCCCCTTAGCATGTGTGTCCTTCGTGCCATGGCCCTGCTGGCTGTGGGCAGGGCTCGAGCCCCCGCCCTCCACGTCGCTGAGGTCGCTGAGGCCCTCGAAGGTGTCGACGGGGGGGATGGAGTCGTGCTTGACTCGCTGCACGTTCTCGGGGCGCGGCGGGAAGTACAGCTCGGCCAGCTTCTTGCAGAAGTGGTTCAGGGGGAAGCCCACCACGTTGAGGAAGTCCCCGCGGACGTACTCCACTAGCATCCCGCCCAGCGCCTGGATCCCGTAGCCTCCGGCCTTGTCCCTGGGGTCAGGAGGGGTCATGAGAAGGCGAGGACAGAAGGTGGAAGGTCAGAGGAGACGCACAGGCCCTCGGGTCCCAGCAGCCCGGACTGCTGTCCCACGGGCTGGCGGGCCAGAGCCAGTGAGCAGTCTCCACCCGCGGCCTCCAGCCCAGCGGCCTCGTGTCAGTCCGGCTGCAGGCCCAAGTCCTGGGCCCTGCTTCAGCCCTGACAAGGCGGCCCGGCAGCCCCACGGAGACACTGCCCCCGCAGCACACCTGCTGCACAGCCGTCGGGGTTGCAAGACGGCCCCAGGCCCCAGCCGTTCCCTGCCGTCCCCACACGCTGGCCCACACACGTCACTCAGGGGCCTCTTTACGAGGGTCCTTAGACCATGTCTTCCCTGGCACCTCTGCTGAGACCTTGTTATGAGACCTTGTTATGGGGAAACAGGGGCCCCGGAAGACCCCTCCTCCATCGGACTCACCACCCAGGGCTGTTCGACCCTGGCCCCTCCCCCGGTCTGTCCCCCAGACTCGGGTCCATGACAAGGCAGGACCCTCTGTCCACAGCCGGAGGCACAGGGGTGACACGCAGAGCTCGGCCAGGCCCTCAAGGGGGCCTGTCGCCCCTGAGCCACGGCTCACGCCGGCGGGACACCGGGTGGCGCTGACAGGGACACGCACATGGGCTCGCCACTGTGGATGTACTCCCACAACAGCTCCTCGGACAGCTGCGAGAACTTCACCAGCGTCTCCTCGTAGAACTCGGACACCTCCATGTCCAGCCGGCCGTCTGCAAGGGGACAAGGGACGAAGTGAGGGCACATGTCGCCGCCTGGGCCCGGGGTGTGTTGCCACACTTGGGGGGACTTTGCCTGCACTGTGCGTACACTTCAGATACAGATCATTAGTGGGGAGAAAAGTTCCGTTTAAACATGGGAAAGAGAGAAAGAAAACGAGAGAAAACACACAGAATCAGTCAAAAGGCGACACAGTTGGAGCCTGCACACTGGACGAGACCGGGCCTCTCCCGTGCGGGGACGATGTGTGCAGGGGGGTTTCTGGGGCCGACAGCCCTCAGTTGCGGGTTAGAAAATCCGCAGGCACAGCGGCTATGTACAGGGATTGCCCCCCTTGAGAGAGTCCCCCACACTAGCTGTCCTGGGGTGAATGATGCCCCCACAAAGTCAAGTCCACCCAGAGCCTGTGAATGGACCGTGGACACAGGGTGTCTGCAGACGGGGTGAGTGAAGGACCCGAGCGGAGGCCGTCCTGGGTCAGGGGGGCCTCCGTCCAATGACAGGTCCTTGGAAGAGACAGAAGAGGAGACGCAGACACAGAGGAGAAGCCCCGTGGGGACGGAGGAGAGACGGGAAGGATGGGCCCCCCGCCCAGGGACGCCTGGAGCCCAGGAGCTGGAAGAGGCTGCAAGGACCCCCCTGGAGCCTTGGAGGGAGCGCGGCCCTGGACACCCCGTCTCAGACGTCTGCTCCCCAGGACGGGGACGGTGAGTGAATTTTTGTAGTTTTAAGCCCCTAGGTGAAGGGTCGTGTGGAATCTGCCTGATGGGTAAAGTGCGTTCTCCCCAAAGAGCCCCAGGCTGAAGGTGGAAACGGACCACAGCATGACGGCCCCCAACTGCCGGTCAGCAGACCTGTGCCCACCCGCTGATGGGACGCAGTCAGGGAGCCAGGGGCCAGGAGCTCCAGCTCTGTCTTGGGGTCCTTCCGTGACCCAGGTCTTCAAAGCATCTATAATGACTGCTCAGGGTTTTGTGCATTTCGTAAGGACTTGTGTCACGGTAGCACGAGGTATACACGGCCTCCACCTTCCGGACCCGAAGATGTCCAAGGAGACGCCTCCGAGGCTCGTGTCAGGGGGCGGGGTTGTATCAGCAGTGCCGGGTGTTGCCCGGGGGCTCAGAGGTAAGCCCCCCACTTCCCCAGGCAGGGTGGGAGGGAAGGAGCGTGGTGCTCCCTGCTCATCCGGACACTGAGTCCTGGGAGCGACACCCAGAGCTGTGCCCGAGCTGGCCCGTCACCGAGAGTCCCCAGGCCCCACCACAGCCCAGGAGGAATAGAGCGGGCCGCATACCTTGGTAGGAGCAGTGGATGATGGCAACACCAGTGAACACACTGTGTTCTTTCCCATTCAACCTGCAAGACACAACCACGGACACGATGTGTCTCGGCGGGAACGGAGCGAGACACCTTCCCCGGCACAGGGCAATGCCCCCAGGGCCCAGGTCCTCACTTCCTGTCCGAGGCCTCCTGCCCCAACGCCCAGCCCACAGGCCTCCAGGTAACCCTTCCAGGAGTGGCAGGTGTGGGCTCATCGCTCTCCGAGCCGGAGGCACAGCTCTGGGGGTCGCTCCCAGGACGCGATGTCCGATGAGCAGGGAACACAGACCCCAGCAGCAAGGGGTGGCCATGCAGGGAGGGCCCGGACGGCACACCTCTCAGCTGGCTCTTCGGTGGGTCTCTCTGCTACCCTGGGACCGGATAGGGCTGACCCAGACCCTAAGCACAAGCTTTCGTCCTGGGCTGTGGGACAGGCGATCAGAGGGAGGCAGCCATGGGGAGGGCACCGCTGAGAAGGACGAGGGGGGACCAGAGCTGAAGGTCAGGGACATGTGGACCCCAGCTCGAGCCCCATTTGGGTGAAATCAACACAGCTAAGTTCAAAGGCTCTGGGTCCATCCTCTGATCTTAACCAGGAGTGACCAGTGAGCTCACACACGGACCCAACTAGGACCCGAGCCCCTCCCCGCGTCCCGGCACTATCGGCTGCAGGCTGCTTCGTGGGACGCGGTCCACGCAGCACCCACCTGGAGAGCATGCTGTATGCGTCCTGTTTGTCCATGGGCTTCTCCAAGATCAGCCCCCCGACCGCCTACAGGAGAGACCAGAGACAGAGGGGCATGTCCCCGCTAAGCCAGGCCTGTCCACTCTTTACATTCTTTTAAAATTCGAGCTGAGACACGCAGAGGATACAACTCAGCACATGAAAATAAAGTTCGGTGGCGTGTAGTACCTGCACCAAGCTGTCCTATTACGATTACTCTCTTGTTCCAGAACAATGTCATCGCCCCAAAAGCAGACCCTTTGTCCCCGTGAGCAGCCACTCCCCAATCCCGTCCCCCAGCCCCCAATCACCAACAATCCAGTTTTCTTGTCTATAAATTGGCCTGTTCTGCACATTTCTTAGAAATAGAATAAGGAACTAGGTGGTGTTTTGTGTCTTGTTTCTGTCACTGAGCATCCTGGGTTCGAGGTCCAGCCACGTTGTAGCCTGTGTCAGAGCCTCACTCCTTTTCATGGCTGCGTGATATTCCACTGCATGGACGGACCCTGTTCTGTTTATCTGTTCCTCCCTTAATGGACATCTTAGCTATTTCCACCTTTGGGCGATTGTAGATAGTACTGGTATGAATGTTCGTGGGCAAGACTTTGTTTGAACACATTTTCAGTTCTTTGCGGAGATATACCTAAGGGTAGGTGTATCAGTCAGCTTGAGCTGATGTAAATGACCTCAGACGGGGCGGCTTAAACAACAGAAATGTATTTCCTAACAGTCCCGGAGGCTGGAGTCTGAGACCCAGGTGTGGGCAGGCTGGTACCTCCGGAGGCCTCTCTCCTGGGCGTGTGGACGGCCGTCTGCTCCGTGTCCTCACGTGGGCGTCCCTGTGTGATCTGTGTCCTCACCTCCTCTTCTTATGAGGACCCCAGTCCTATGGGACCAGGGCCACCCAGTGACCTCGTTCTACCATAATCACGTCTTTACGGACCCGTCTACCAACACAGCCCCATCCTGAGGTTCTGGGTGAGACTTTTCACCAAGACCTGGTGGAGGCCAGCAGGACAGTCAGGTCTGGGACAGAGGATCATCCCCCACAGAATTTCATTGAGGACCAGTCTGCGTGACCTCGTATCATAGAGCACAACCCTCAGGGGCCCACATCTGTGTCTCTTGTAAAGCTGTGTCCCCCTAAGAGATATGTCAGGTCCTAACCGCGTCCCTATGAGTGGGAGAGTACGTGGAAATGCGGTCTCTGCAGATGTACTCAAATTTAAGATGAGGTGCTACGGGAGTCAGGCGGGCCCTCGATCCAGGAGGACCGGTGTGTGTAAGAGGACACACAGGCTCACGTAGAGGGAGAAGCCACATGAAGACAGAGCCGGAGATCAGGGTGATGTGACGAACCACTGGGGCCCAGGAACTGGACTCACCACTATAGTGTCTGCTCCGATGACGATATCAGGGGCCCGCAGGTCTTTCTGCAAGAAACCCAAACTCAGCTTTAGAAACGACTCGTGTCTTTCTCTTGACGCTTGACGCACTGGGCACAGCCTCCTGGGTGGGAAGCCAGACTTATTTCGGGGAGAGAGGCCTGTGTGAACTCTCGTGCTGAGTGGGACCCAGAACGCTCACCCCAAATATTTATACTACTTGGAACACTTAAATACCAACCTCCCACTGCCCAAATCAACCCACTAATATCCATTCGTGTATACAGTACGCATAGCATTAACTACAAGGCATCTATTGTTTAATTGCAATAGGATACTATTATAACATAGTGATAAGCTAAATTAATTTCATATTGTGAAAGACAGTACTATATTCTGACAGGATATTACACAGTAACACAGGGAAACAGATGTTACATTAATGTTATACAACGATACGATTATATTCATTACAGTGGCATATTACACAGTAACACAGTAACAACCTATCTCTATCATAAATGATGTTATCTTAATTACGACAGTATATTATATTGTAACAGAGTAATAGACAACCTATATTAATTCCTCATCGTAAATGATAACTGTTAACTACAACAGTGTATTATATAGTGAGAAAGCAACAACTTATGTTAATCCTTTATTGTAAATGGTAACCTTCTATTAATTACAATATTATGTCATATAACAACAAGGTAAGAAGCAACTTATATTGATCCTTTATCCTCAATGATACTATTAACTATGACAGGATATTATATAGTAACAAGATAAAAGACAAGGTCTATAACATAACTGTTACAGGAGTATAATAGTATATACTACACGGCAACACTGAAAGTAAATTCAGCTGCGCTAACACACTGTCAAGGGCATTCATTGTAATGTGTCTGTTTGAAACCTGAACACCCGCACAGCCAGAGACCCGAGGAGGTGGAGGGGGAGCCCTTACCTGGTGCACCCTTCTGGCTACGTCCAGGGCCTTCTGCTTGGCTGTTTCCATCGCGTATGCGTACGGGGTGGGGAAGGAGGCTTTATTGAGCTGCTCTTTAAACCTGGAAGGAACCACCTCGAACCTGAGACCCTGCAGCAGGAGAAGAGGGGGTATTGCGGGTTTGAGGGAAGCAAGGATGCAGGACAGAATGGGTAAGGTTCACAACAAATGCGGCCTGTCCCATGCACAGTCTGTTTTCCCGACAGCTGGACTTTCACCCAGGGCCAAATTCTGGACCAACAGGGGGCTGAGGGACCTGGAGGGAGGATCTCTGCACACGTCAGTCACACAAAGACCATGGGGCGATATTGACTGACATGCAGGGCGTACAGGTCATAGGGGTCAAAGGGCTGGCAGGGAGCCCCAAAGGCGGGTGCTTCACCCCCACAGGGATCAGGCGACTAAAAATATATTGCTGGGAAGTAACGGAAAACAAACAAAAAGCTGTGTGAGGGGGAAATGTGTCCTTTTAAACCTTTTCCCCTAATGCTATGACCAGGTAAGTCCCTGTAGGAGGCTGGTCACGGAGATGGACACGCTAGGGTCTGGAACGTGGCCTTGACCCCAGTGGATAAACTCGGCATGCCCTTGGCAGCCCTTCAGAGCACCCAGCTGGCTCTGTGCGCCCCCCCCCCCCCCGCCAGCTGCAGAACAGGGGGACCTGGGGCACGCAGACCCAGCTTGGCCCGCACACTGCAGGCGAGCTGGTCACTAGGCCACGAGACCACTAGGCCTGGCCTGCAGATCCTGACCGCACGTCATGTGGACTCCTGCTTCCCCAGCCCACAGACCGGACTCGACTGTGAGAACCTAGCCCGAAGACCCTGCCCCGGTCCCCACGGCCCCAGACGCTAGGTCTCAGCCTGAAGACCCTGGGCCGCACACCTTGTCACTAGACCCCGTCCTACCAACCCCGGCCCCCAATCACCAGGCCAGGGACCCCGGCCCCCCTTCCCATCACCAGGCTCCAGGGTCCCTGGGCCCCTGGTCACTCACTGGGGCCCCTGGTCACTGGGCTTCAGCCTGAGACCCCAGCCCCCTTCCTATCACCAGGCTCCTGGGTCACTGGGCCCCCCTCACCCAGTCACGGGCCCCCTGGTCACTGGGGCCCCTGGTCCCACATTGGGCCTCCAGGTCACTGGGCCCCCAGTCACAGGACCCTGATCACTGGGCCCCCCGGTCACTGGGCCCCCTGGTCCTGCACTGGGTCCCTTGGTCACTGGGCCCCTGTTCACGGGCACCCCGGTCCCTCACTGGGTCACTCTGGTCACTGGGCCCCCTGGTCACAGGCTCCCCGGTCACTCACTGGGCTCCCCTCCCCCCCAAGTCACGGGGCCCTGGTCACTGGGTCTCTGGTCCTGCACTGGGCCCCCTGGTCACTGGGTCCCCCTGGTCCCTCACTGGGTCCCCCTGGTCACTGGGTCCCCCTGGTCCCTCACTGGGTCCCCTGGTCACGGGCTCCGCGGTCACTCACTGGGCCCCCCTCCCCCCCAAAGTCACGGGCCCCTGGTCACTGGGTCTCTGGTCCTGCACTGGGCCCCCTGGTCACTGGGTCCCCCTGGTCCCTCACTGGGTCCCCCTGGTCACTGGGCCCCTGGTCATGGGCACCCCGGTCCCTCACTGGGTCCCCCTGCTCACTGGGCCCCCGATCACTGGCTCCCCGTTCACTCACTGGGCCCCCCTTCCCCCCACCACCGTCACTGGATCCCTGGTCCTGCACTGGGTCCCTTGGTCACTGCGCCCCTTGGTCACTGGGCCCCCTGGTCACTGGGTCCCCCCGGTCACTCACTGGGCCCCCCGGCCACGGGCGCCCCGTCACGGGGCCGCAGCCGGACCCCCGACCCCGTCAGCCGACCCAGGGTGGCGGCCCCGCCGGCGCGCGGCTCACCGCGTTGCTGAGGATCTCCTGGCGCCGCGGGGACGCGCTGGCCAACACCACGCGCTTTTGCAGCAGCTTCCGGACCACCGGGTACAGCGCCATCGCGCCGGTGCCCGCGCCCAGCCCCTCGGCGGCGCGACCTGCCCCGGCCCCGCTGCCCCGGCCCCGCAGCCGCCGCGCACGCGCAGTCCGGCCCGAACCCGCAGGGACCGCTTTAGAGCCGGCCCCGCCCCCAGGCACGTCTTCAGGCCCCGCCCCGCCCCGCCCCTGCGTAGTCCCGCCCTGTACGCGGCCGGAGCCGGCAGGGACTGCTTTAGAGCCGGCCCCGCCCCCACAGGCACGTACACAAGCCTCGCCCCGCCCCTCCCCTGCGTAGCCCCGCCCCGGACGCGTCTCAGCGCGCACCACCGGAGTCCCGCCCCTAACAAAGTTCCGCTTCCGGACCCGCTTCTGAGCCAGCCGGCCCTGCCCATTGGAGGCACGCAGCCCGACCCCGCCCACTCCAGGCCGAACCACGCCCCCCGCTTCAAACTCGGCCCCTTCCTGAGACCCGCCCCTGACGAGGCTCCGCCCTCATAAGCTCCGCCCGAATAAAGCGGCTCCGCCGAACCCGCCGCAGACAAACCCCGCCCCCTCTCGCCCCGCCCCCTCCAGGCCGCCTTTGGAGGAGCCTGGGCCCGGCAGGGGAGATTCCCCAGAACCTCCACTCGCGGGGTCCCTAGTGATCCATGAGTGGGGGCGGGGAGACGTGGGGTACTTGTGACTCGGAGGAGGGTCCCCGTGGACCCCTCGTGGGCACGGTGGGCGCGGTGATGGGGCCTGAGGGCGCTGTTGGCGCGCAGGGATGGGGAGATCCTTTGGGAGCAGAGATGGGGAAGTCCCTGAGGGCGCAGAGATGGGGGTCCCTGAGGACGCAGAGATGGGGGTCCCTGAGGACGCAGAGATGGGGGGTCCCTGAGGGCGCAGGGATGGGGAGGTCCTTTGGGAGCAGAGATGGGGAAGTCCCTGAGGGCGCAGAGATGGGGGTCCCTGAGGGCGCAGAGATGGGGGTCCCTGAGGACGCAGAGATGGGGGTCCCTGAGGACGCAGAGATGGGGGTCGCTGAGGGCGCAGAAATGGGGGTCCCTGAGGACGCGTGGGGGCGCAGAGATAGGGGTCCCTGAGGGCGCAGAGATGGGGTCCCTGAGGACGTAGAGATGGGGGTCGCTGAGGGTGCAGGGATGGGGAGGTCCTTTGGGAGCAGAGATGGGGAAGTCCCTGAGGGCGCAGAAATGGGGGTCCCTGAGGACGCGTGGGGGCGCAGAGATAGGGGTCCCTGAGGGCGCAGAGATAGGGGTCCCTGAGGGCACAGAGATGGGGGTCCCTGAGGACGCAGAGATGGGGGTCGCTGAGGGCGCAGAAATGGGGGTCCCTGAGGACGCGTGGGGGCGCAGAGATAGGGGTACCTGAGGGCGCAGAGATGGGGTCCCTGAGGACGCAGAGATGGGGGTCGCTGAGGGCGCAGGGATGGGGAGGTCCTTTGGGAGCAGAGATGGGGAAGTCCCTGAGGGCGCAGAAATGGGGGTCCCTGAGGACGCGTGGGGGCGCAGAGATAGGGGTCCCTGAGGGCGCAGAGATAGGGGTCCCTGAGGGCACAGAGATGGGGGTCCCTGAGGACGCAGAGATGGGGGTCCCTGAAAACGCAGAGATAGGGGTCCCTGAGGGCGCAGAGATAGGGGTCCCTGAGGGCGCAGAGATGGGGGTCCCTGAGGACGCGTGGGGGCGCAGAGATAGGGAAGTCCCTGAGGGCGCAGAGATAGGGGTCCCTGAGGGCGCGGTGGGGGCACGGACATGGGGGCCCCTGAGGGCGCGGTGGTGGGTGTGGAGATGTGGGTCCCTGCTCATGCATTGGGGGCTGGAAATGGGAGGGTCCCTGAGGGCGCGGTGGGGACACGGAGATGGGGGGAAGTATATCTATAGATAGATTGATGGGGGTGATGCGCAGACAGATGGGCAGAAACTCATGCTAAGGCAGCTCTCCCAGCCTCGGCACTAGTGACTTCTGGGGCCGGATCATTCCCTGGGGGTGCCCAGCGGGCTGACCAGTGCTTTGCAAGCTGTTTAAAAGCAGCCCTTGTTTCCTTCCACTAGATGGCAGCACCCTCCCTCCACGTTGCCACCAGGAAACTTGTCTTCAGAGGTTGCCGCCTGTGCCCTGGAGACAGAATCACTCCGCTGAGAATCGCGTTTGGAGGGATAGATGGAAGCTAGATAGACGGGGAGGGAGGGAGGGAGGGAGGTGGATAGATGGATGGATGCACGGATGGATATAGGAGATAGATAGATGATAATGATAGATAGATAGATAGATAGATAGATAGATAGATAGATAGATAGATAGATGATAGAGATACATACATACATAGATGATAGATTCATAAATACATCATAGATAGATAGATACATACATAGATACATAGATAGATACATAGTAGATGCATAAATGATATATACATACAAACAGATACATAATAGACACATAGATGATAGATACATACACACGTACATATGTACATACATAGATACATAATAGGTACATAGATGATAGATACATACACACATACATAAATACATACATAGATACATAATAGATACATAGATGATAAATACATACATATGGACATACATAGATACATAATAGATACATAGATGATAGATACATATATACATACATAGATGATAGATACATACACACATACATATATACATACATAGATACATAGATGATAGATACATACTAGATACATAGATGATAGATAGATAGACACATAACCTACATACATAGACAGATGATAGATAGATAGACACAAGCCAGTCACAAAAAGACACATAGGGTGTGATTCCACTTCTATGAGGTTCATAGACACAGAGTAGATGGTGGAGCCTGGGGCTGGGGGAGGGGAGGGGTGGTGCGTGAATCACCGGGGCAGAGTTCCAGCCTGGGACCACGAGAAAGTCCTGGAGATGATGGGGCGATGGTTGCCCGACACCGTCAATGAGCCCAACGCCATGGAGCCGTGCCCTGAAGTAGGGTGAGCACGGTGCATATTCGGTGTATTTTACCACAATTCCATATATTTCGAAGGAAATTTTAAAAAAAGAAACGCCGGTGTGCTCACTGGACAGAGCACCGTCCCATGGGCCGAGAGGTCCGGGTTCGATTCCCTGTCAGGGCACATGCCCAGGTTGTGGCTCGATCTCCAGTAGGGGGCGTGCAGGAGGCGGCCCATCCATGTTTCTGTCTCTCTCTTCCTTCCTCTCTCTCTCAAAAAATCAATAAGCCCTGGCCAGTTTGGCCTTAGCGGCTGGAGCGTCGGCCTGCGGACCAGAGAGTCCTGGGTTCAATTCCTGCTAGGGGCACGTACCAAAAAAAAAAAAAAAAAAAATCAATAAAAATATATTTGAAAGGTAAAATAAAAATGAAAACAGCCGACTGGAGAATGTTAGCTTCTTTCCCACTCAGCAATTCCGTGTGGAAACGCGTTCCGGCGTTCAGTGATACATTTCGTGGTGAGCAGTGTCTTCATGGGATGTTTTCCGACAGACCACCTTTTTTCCTGTTTTAGGAAACAATGATACACTGAAACCCGATGTTCCCTTTATCCACACTCTACCATTTTCAGTGACTAGCGTTCTGCCGTTTTCCTTTCGAGTCCACCCCCTGTATGTACACGCCCGTGTATACATGTGTGTACATGTGTACATGTGTGTGCAAGTGTGGCGTGTGCCTTTGTGTGCGTATGCCTGTATTTGCTTTTGATTTGAAAACAGACATTCAGCATCACATCATTCTTCTCTTTTTTTACAAAATATATTTTTATTGATTTTGAAGAGAGAGAGAAAGAAAGAGAGAGATAGAAACATGGATGGGCCGCCTCCTGCACACGCCTCCTGCACACGCCCTACTGGGGATGGAGCGCACAACTCAGGCATGTGCCCTGACCGGGAATCGGCCATCAAACCGGCACCTCTCAGTCCATGGGACACGCTCCGTCCACTGAGCCACACCAGCCGGGCAATCCTACTCTTGAATATTTGCAAACACAGCGTGAACAGGGGGAGGTTTTATCCTTAAAGCAACAATGCCAGCATCCCACCCAACCATCCATGATGCCACCGCCCACCCCGTCTGTCCGTGTGTCCCCGCCCTGATTCATGCCAGGTGCCCAGAGGTGACCAGATTCAGCTGAGGATGGAGGGTCTCGTCTTTGAAGGTCCAGGGGCCCGGCTGCTGGATAAAACGCAGGTTCCGTCTCCGGTGAGCGGCAGGCCCCCACGGACAGGGTCACTGTCCCCAGAAGTGGGGGCATCTCGATAGAAACTCCCAGCAACGCCCCAAACCCTGTGGGTTCGTGAGTGACTGCAGCCGTGTCTGGGGCTGTGCCGGCCGTGATGATGGGGGCGTCGGTGGCCTCGCCGGCTCACGGGCTGTGCAACCGGCAAATAACAGTAATAGCGGCAACACCACACCGGGCTGGGCTGGCATCCGTCACGGCGAGAGCCAGGTGCCCTGGAACCTGACATCCCGTGGGGGCCACACTGTCCTCCGAGTTCTGTCTGTCAGCCTACGAAAGGTGGCCCGGAGCCGATGGCGGCGGTCTGAGGTTTTTCACACGTTTTTGTTTTGTTCTCTGCATCCCACGCCCAGAACGCGGGTGTTGGTGTCTCGCTGGCTCAGGGTTTCGGACCACAGGAGTGGCCGAGCAGGCGTAGCTTTCTAGACGTTGTCTTTGGGGAGGGTTTGTGGAGAATTTGGGGTCCCAGCCTCTCTTCCAGGCACCTGAATTCGTCCGCAGAGGCTCAGGTGGCCCAGGACAGCTGACACGGGGCGGCCAGCTCCCTGGGCCCTTAAGTGCATTCAGGGCCAGTGGGCTTGGGCCCCGTCACAGACTCAGCGCTGTGAGCTGGCCCCGTGCATCCGTGTCCTGGGGAGAAGGGCGTTGAGGGGACTCTGAGGCCACTTCTCAGGTCCCAAGAGCCAGCGTCCACCTGGACATGCCTCGGACCCCCAAGGACATGTGGGCAGCAGGCCAAGGTGGGAATGTAGGTTGGATTCTCAGACCAGACAGCGAGGGGGTCTGAAGCCTTTGCAGGGTGGATACCAGGGTCCTTAGTTGACAGAGAACAGGTGACAGGCTGACCCAGAGTCTCACAAGGCCAGGACCCCTCCTCCCACCAGGACCCCTCCCTCAGAGCAGCCGTCTGTGCGGAGGGCCCCCCCGGGGGCGGCACACGGAAGGTGTTTCCTCCTCCGTCCAAGAGCCTTCCCCTGGCAGGTGTGCCGACCTGCCTTGCCGAGGGTGGGGCTCAGGAAGCAGGCCCCGCAGGGAGCCAGCGTGGGGCACTGTGGGACCTCAGTCACCCACCCAGGGGGCAATGCTTTGTGTCTGCCGGCGTCCTGGCCACAGAATCCAAGACCCTTACACATGTCTCAGGGTCTTGGGGTGGCCGTAACGAATGACCACAGACTGAGAGCTTAAAACCACAAACATTCACCCTCCCCCGTCCTGGAGACCAAACATCCGAGATGGGGTGTCCAGGGCCGTGCTCCCCCCGAGGCTCCAGGAGGGTCCTTCCGGCCTCTTCCGGCTCCTGGGCTCCAGGCGTTCCTGGGCGGGGGGCCCGTCCCTCCCGTCTCTCTTCCGTCCCCACGGGGCTTCTCCTCTGCGTCTGCGTCTCCTCTTCTGTCTCTTCCAAGGGCCTGTCATTGGACGGAGAGCCACCCTCATCTGGTAGACCCCATTGTGTGGTCCTGAGTGCATGTGGATTTGGGGGCGATACTATTCACCCCAGTACAATTGGGCTGTTTTCTTTGTGAGCCACAGTGGCGGGGAGCAGGCTCAGATCTCCATTAGCATCTGGGACTCTGGGTGGGGAGGCTGCCTGACCCCAGTGGCCCCCGTCCTGTCCCCCGATCGGCCTGTCCCAGCTGTCGGTCTGCAGGCTCCAGGCTCCCCTCTGCCAAGGGGCCGGCACCCACTGCCGTGCACCCTGTGACGGGCAAGGAGACTGAACTTCGCTCTCCTGGGCAAATGCCCAGCTCCCGGGCCTCTTGTTTCAGCAACCTGGGCACCGTCTGTGCACCCCAGGGTGTCGGCTCCCCATCCTCCCCGAGCGGCCTGGGTGCTGGGGCTGGTTCCGGTGGATCCCATGCGGGGAGCCCAGCACTGACGCGAGGGGTGTGGTGAAGACACCCCTGTGGCCTGTGTGGTCAGGCGCCGGATTCACCAAGGATGTCCTGGGTCGGGCTGGGTTCACGCTCACGGAGAGAAGCCTCCTGCGACCCCAGGGTGGGGGCCGGGCGTCTTGCCCTGGCCCAGGGCTGTCAGCCAGGAGCCGGAGCCAGAAAACGGGTGCAGGCAACCCTCGAGGAGGCTGCACCCCAAGAGTCTCAGTCAGGGGGTCACAGCCTAGCGGTGGACACTCTCCGTCCTTTCAGAGTGGCCTCCGCGGGTGCTCAGCCACCCGGCTGTGACCATGTTGAGACACATACACAAGGCCCTGGGCACGTCATCCTCGGGGAGCCGAGGCCCTGTGGGCGTCCCCGACCAGAGGCGGGTGGCTGATGCGGTGGGGTCTCGGGGGCGTCTGGGGACACAGCTGGGAACAAGTCCGCTTGGTGTGCTGCCACCGTCTCCCAAAACACCACAGTGTCTGTCTGTCCTGCTTCTGTGTCCGTGGGCCAGGCGTGGCGTCCGGGTGCTGGGACAACAGCCTGTCCGGTGGCATCGGGATGGCAGCAGAAGCATCGGGCAGGAAGAGAGGGACCCTCCCGGCCTCACCCGGGGTCCGCCGAGGGGCCCGGCTCAGAACACGCTCTCCTGCCTCTGCAGGAAGGGCCGGGCGGCCGCCTCCAGCCCGTCGGCGTGGCCGCTGGACACGGAGGGCGCCAGCAGCGTGCGGGCCGAGAACAGGCTGCTCCGGGGCGCGTCCAGGGCGCTGGGCCGCGGCCGCCCCGCGCGGAGGTAGTGCCGCAGCCGCAGCTGGAACTCGCGGGAGGCGAAGTAGTACACGAAGGGGTCCAGGCAGTTGTTGACGCAGCTGAGGCACAGCGTGAGCTTGTACACGTGGTAGTAGCTGGTGCCCACGAACAGGCGGCCGACCATGTGCGCCAGGAGCACGAAGTTGTTGGGCGCGAAGCAGGTGACGAAGGCCAGGAGGACCACGGCCGCCAGGCCCACGGCGCGGCGCCGCTGGCCCTGGCCCGGGCACTCCGAGTGCGGGGTGCGCAGCAGCTTCAGGATGGTGGCCGTGTAGCAGGCCACGGTGACCACGAACGGGATGAGGAACAGGACGATGAAGAGCGTGAAGAGGAACATGGCCCACATGGCCACGCTGGGCAGCATGGTGGACTTGAGGACGTCAAAGCAGGTGACGATGCCCAGCTCCTTCACGGTGTACGTGAGGTCCGTCCGGGCCAGCGGGGACAGGGCGACCAGGAGGAGCACCCACATGGCCACGCAGGCGGCCACGGCGTAGCGCCGCCGCCGCCAGCGCGCGGAGGCCAGCGGGTACACGACGCCCAAGAAGCGGTCCACGCTGATGCAGGTCATGGTGAGGATGGACGAGTACATGTTGGCGTAGAAGACCAGGGTCACGAGGGTGCACAGGCTGCGCCCGAACACCCAGTGGTTCCCGTTGCAGTGGTAGTAGATCTGGAAGGGGAGGACACAGGCCAGCGCCAGGTCCGTGACGCTCAGGTTGATCATGAAGATGACGGACGGGGACTTGGGGCCGATGTGGCGGCAGAGCACCCAGAGCGAGAAGGAGTTTCCCGGGATGCTGATGAGCGCGACCAGGGAGTACACCACGGGCAGGACGACCGCGATGGCCGGGTTCTTCAGCATGAGGAGGGTGGCGTTGTCCGGACGGGTCATGTTTATGTCCATGGTGGCTGGTGCCCGGCGAGGGCTCGGGACGATCTGGAAGGCAAAGAGCACGCGGATGAGAGTGGCAGAAGGGGTCCCGTGACCAGGCGGCTGGCCTGCTGGGGGATGAACCCACAGACAGAGGAGGGTCATCGTCTCCACGAGGGGCTCTTCCTGTAACTGCCCGCGACCCAGTCATTGCACACCTGGCCCTTCCCTGGCAAACTCCTTCTTTCCTTCTCCTTGGAAGCCCAGGGAGCGTGTTGAGACGCACGGAGCACTCGCAGCCACTTTGGGCCACGAGGATGCCCAGGGAAATGCAGCAGTTACACGTGTTACGAGGTTACTAAGGACTTGTCCTGCAAGGAACTCTGTCTCCAGGAGACACAAAGCTTCTGTGGCATTTCTGGGGGCCCGGTTTCCTCATCTGCCTGGTATCACACTGTGCCACAGGCATCGCAGGCCCAGGGGGTCCCTTCACACTGTCGCCCTGTGCCTGGCTTCCCACCTTCTCCTACCCTGAGGCCTGGTTGTCACCCCAACACCCCAGCTCCACTTGGAGGCAATACCAGAGCACCCACTGGGGGCCACTCATTAGGGTTGGGGGCATGTCGGAGCCCCTGAAACAGCATCCCTGGTCCTCTCTGCTTCCAAGGCACTGAAGTCCACACCCACTGTTCTCACAGACAGGGAGACAGAGCCCAGGCCAGTGTGGTGCCGCCGTTGGACGTCAGCCCGTGCACCGAAGGGTGGCAGGATCGATTCCGCTCAAGGGCACGTGCTCCGGCTGCAGGTTCGATGCCCAGCCCTGCTCAACGTGCGTACGAGAGGCAACCAATCGATGTGTCTCTGTCACATCGACGCTGTTTTCTCTCCCTCCCTCCCTTCTACTCTGTCTAAAAACCAACAGGAAAAAAAAAAATTGTCCTCAGGTACGATCGACACACACACACACAGAATGAATATTTGACATTTAACACAGGGGGCAGACAAAGCCCGGGGCTCTTCTCCCTTTCCAGGGGACACCCGCGTTGGAGTCAGTGGGGTGAGGGCATTTAGTGGGGGGCGGGGGCGGATAGTTAGTGAGCTTTGACGGGAGCATTACAGGGGCGCTGGAATGAGTCTCTCCAGCATGCCATGTCCCTTCTTGGGGTGGTCTCCAGGGCAGAAGGTCGGTCGTCCCGGGAGCCCAGCCCTGCCCACACCGTAACCTTGGACGGGCAGCCCCCAGGACTGTGAGAAACAGAAGCCCGTTTTCTAAGCCGCCCTGTCTGCGGTATTTTGGGGCAGCAGCTGGAGCTGCCCAGCGCGGCCACTGTCCTGGAGGCCTCGGGACACCGACCCGGATGGCCCTGACCCTGACCCCCGCTGACCCCCGCTGACCCCCACTGGAACGGCCACAGCGGCAGGGCAGGCTCCATCGTTTCGTTTCACAGAGTGGGACACCGACGTCCCCAGACCGGACGGCGTAGAGCTGAGACACGGAAGGACCCAGGTTGCTTAACCAACAGGTGGCATTTTCCGAACCGCGACCTCAGGCCATGCCCGCCTGGGGCACCTGGATTTCAGGGACGGCTCTGGGGCACCTGGATTTCAGGGACGACTCTGGGGCACCTGGATTTCAGGGACGACTCAGGCAGGTTATGGGGCGGCGAGGGAAACCGTCCCACGTCTGTGGATTCCCTGTCCCTCAGCTCACGGAGCCTTTGGTTCGGTCCTTAGGTCTGTCCGATAAACTCTGCCGTGTCCGCTGGGTTCAAGCCGTCCTCCGGGCTCCGATGGTCTGGAGAAACTCTGCTCCCCTGTGTCGGGGGCTCAGAAACCCCAGGCACGAGCTTGTGTGAGGAGCTGTGAGCTCCTCACGGGTCGGAGAGAGCCCGGTGCCCGGCGGGGTGACACCCTGGGTCTCCAGTGGGGGCTCCCAATCGTGGCTCCTTCCCCGTGCCTCGTGCCCGAGGTCCCGTAGTGCGTTCCTGCCGTGTTACGTTACAGGTGGCCGGGGCTCTGGTTGGCCCCTTGGAACCCAGAGTTTGCAAGATTGGGGACCCTGAAATCAGACGTAGGGCTCAGCTTGACACCGGGGCTCAACACACGACCATCCTCAGGGCTGGACACCCCAAAGCCACCCTCTGCTCTGGGGGATCCCCTGCCGCCTTGCAAAGGGTCCCAAGGGCAGCTAGCCTGGGCGCTGGCCATGTCACCCCGCGGTGGGGGGCCCTTCCTGAGCTCGTCAGCAGGAAACGCACGTCCGTGTGCCGGAGAGGCCCCCACAGGACTTGCAGAGTGGGGCTGGATTGACGGTCCCATTTCAGCTGTCTCTCCCTCCGAGGAGATGTCACCATCTGTCACCAGCCCCCGCACAGAGCTTCCTCAAAACCATCGGCGAACGGCCCCCAGCCCTCCGGGTTTCGCTCTGAGTGTGCACAACGTCCATGTGCAGCGGAGCAGTTGGTTATCTGTGCGCCGGCCCGATGCCCGCCGGCCGGGCCAGGCCGGACCTCGGGGGCAAAAGTCCAGTGCTTCCCAGAGTCCCCATGGTGCAGTGGACAGACGCACAGGAGGGAGAACCGGGCGTCATCTGGATGTGTCCCCCGTGGGGGGCCGAGAAGGGGACGTCCCAGCCAGACCCGGAGCCAGGAACACGATTCCTCCGTGAAGGACGGTGGCGTGGGGTGCCGTGGTTTCCGAGGGCGGCGGGCATTTGGGGGAAATTCGTTCTGTTTCTGCAGCACAGCTCTGAACACCCTCGGATCTGTGTGGGTCCCATTCAGGTGGCAGCTTTGGAGGATGCTGACTGTGCATGTCCCGCCCTCGGAAAGTCAGAGGACAGGTGCCCAGCCGGGTGAGGGGAGCGAAGGCGGCAGAAAACCCGTGGGCACCTGAGGCACCGCCCACCCGCCGCAGCCCTGACCGCTGACCCTCTGTCTGCATCTGTGGCATCGGCGGCGGGCACCGGACACCTACGTGTGGCTTTGTGGTGCCCGGGCCCTGGCAGGGCAGCTAGAGCGCAGAGGGGCACATGGGATTAATAAAATCAGCACCTGAACACCCGGGGCCTGTGGTGCAGACCTGGAGGAGGCCCGGGCGGCAGGGTGGAAAGTCTATGACCTGAGCAAACAGGGCCATTCGAGGTGCGTGGGGGCGGGCGCTGGGTGAGCGGAGGAGGATATTGCTAAAGGGGGGAGCAGGCCCGCCGAGCAGGTGACCGGCCACCGTGAGGGACTCAGAGGGGGCAGCACGCGGGAAGTCGTGTCTTAACACAGGCCTGAGAGTCAGCCCAGCTGTTTCTCACCCACCGAGGATGCTGGGTATCTTCCCACCATCTCTCTCTCTGTCTTCTCAACAGCTTTATTGAGGTATAATTTACATACCGTCAAGCTCCCTCGTTCAAAGTGTGCAATTCAGTGGTTTTGACTATCCTCACAGACGCGGAACCATCGCCAAAGGCCGACTCGTGGCATCTGCATGACCCCTGAAACCAACTCTCGCCTCTGTAGCCGTCACCCCCTCCCGCTCGCTCCGCGGGCCGTACTTACAAACATTTTAAAAGTGAGGTCCGCGGGTCATCAAACGAGGCACCTGGAAGGTGTGCGAGGCGGTGGCGTTGAGCAGATTTGCATGGTTTTGTAGCCATCACTTGTATTTCTAGAAGGTTTTTATCACCGGGAAAGGAGACCCACAGCCATGAGTAGTCACACGCCAGGCCCCTCCCCAGCCCCTGGCGACCACCAGCAGAGGTTCTGTCTGTGGGTTTGCCTGCTCTGGACATTGAATATAAATAGATGTACACACTCTGTGGTCTTTGGTGTCTGACCTCTCTCACTGAGCATCCCGTGGCCCAGGTCCATCCACGTGTTGCCTAAGATAGAGCCTCGCTCCTGTTCCTGGCTGCGTAATATTCCACTGTATGAATGGGCCATGTTTCTTTATCCATTTTTCCATCCATGGATGGGCAGCTTGTTTCTGAGTTTTGGCTACTGTGAGTAACACTGCTGATCCATCACATCCAGATCCAGGACCCCCATCTGAAGGCACACGGTTCTCACGGAGTATGGTGGTCCTTCCGTCTCGGTTGAGGTGGGTCGTACTCAGGTGGGGTGGTACAAAGGCCACCACCGAACAGCAACAGTGAGTCAAACTGATCAGTCCTCCTTTGGGACCCCCGTAGCTCTCTTTCCACAATAACCACTTGTGTTTCCTGAGTGCTGGGGTGCTGTCCCTCCCAGGGGTTGAGTTCACGGCGGTGACAAGAGGGCCCTGTCCCCAGGAAGCTGTGGCCAACCTCGTGCAGTGTGGGTAAGTTTTCCTCCTGGGTTTCTGTACACCCAGTGTGTGGTGTGTCGTCAGGGAAGCCATGGGAGACGAGGCCGCCCCAAAGGGCACCTGGGCCTCTGCATTGGAGACCTGGTGATGTTGGCTAATTCCAATGGATTCTCACCCTGATGACCATCCTCACCAGAGGGCACTGAACAATATCTGGAAACAACTTTGTCCCAACTGGGAGGTAGGGGTGCTCCTGGCCTCTGGGTGGAGGAGACCAGGGAGGATGCTCAACACTCTACAGTGCCTAGGACACCCCACATCAGAGTCACCAGCCCTAGATGTCAGTAGTGTTGAGGTTCAGAAACCCTGACCTAGCATGAGAGACACTGTCTGTCTTTCTTTCTTATCTATGTATTTATCTATCCATCCACCCTTCTATGATCCATCCATCCACCATCCAACCATTCATTTATCCATCCATCCATCCATCCATCCATCCATCCATCTATCCATCCATCCATCCACTCATCCATCCATCCACCCATCCCATCCATCCATCCATCCATCCAACCATCCATCCATCCAACCACCATCCATCCATCCGCCTTCAAACCATTCATTCATCCATCCATCTATCCATCCACCATCCATCCATCTATCCATTTATCCATCCATCCATCCATCTATCCATTCATCCATCCACCATCCATCCACTCATCCATCCATCCATCCATCCATCCATCCACCCATCCCATCCA